TGAGACGTAAGGTGGTGGAACATTGGTCACTGCGCCACGTGGCATCCATCCGATCCTGCAGCTCTGCACAGAGTGGAGGGGGTTTGGGGAGTGATGGGGGTGAAGGGCGGGAGTGGGGTGGTGGGATTGGAAGAAAGGCACGAGGGGCATGAGTGGAGGCGTAAGGTAGTAGGGCAGCTTTGCACACGAGGCATCCATCCGATCCCGCAGCTCTGCACGCCGGGAGTGAGGGGGATTGGGGCGGGGGGGGGGGGGGTTGAGCGGGGATTGCACAGGGCATGAGGGGCAACAGGGGCATTAGGGACATCAGGTGGAGACTGAGATGGCATTTGAGAATTCTCATAAGCGACCTAAGGTGGCACAGCAGCTGTTGCTTCATAATGCCCCCTGTTGCCCCTCATGCCCAACGGCAGCAACATGTGGCATCCATCCCACAGGTCTGCACAGAGTGGAGGGGATTGGGCGGTGGGGAGATTAGGGCTGGGAGAAAGGGATGGAGGGTTTGGGGGGGAGGGGGTTAGGCCCTATTGAAACTATCTTAATCTGGCAATTGATTAATCCCATCTCGAGCCTACCTTGGTCTGGCAGCTAGGCAAGCACCCTCTTTTATGTGTTCGATTGGCTCAGCAGCTCTTAATTGGGCAACCCTCTTTGACCGCACCTTGATATGTCACCCTCTTGACCGCACCTCGCGCACCAGCACTCCGTACATATTGAGAATTCTCAATCGCACCTTGGTCTGGCAGCTGGGAAAGGACCCTTTTCCACACGTCCGGTTGGCTCAGCAGCTCTTGATTGGGCAGCACTTCACCCTCAAACGTGCTTCGTAATACTTGGTCGTATGCCCGCCTGGGAGGGTAAGGGCGAGATGAATGATACAACACAAGGTAGACGAGACGGTCATATGACATGGAACAGGAACAGAGGTGTTACAGAAACGAACAAAAACAACCAAAGGTTATAAAATCAAGTTCCTTGCACTGGATGTTACACTCAAAGAGTAATCCTGGAACCGAACTAGTGGAAGGAAATATGCTTTCTGCACATAAGAGAGGTCATGAGCAGCAACGGAGAAAAGCACTTCACTTTGAAACCCGAAAAAAAGGAAGTTTAGAACATCATTTGGTCACATGAGGGAGGGTGCTTTGCTCACATAAGGGAGGGGTGAAGAGCAGCACCAGAAAACGACACCTTGCTTTGAGTTTTGAGTTGACTCAAAAACATCTCTTGCTCACATCAGGGAGGGTGCTTTGCTCACATGAGGGAGGGGTGCAGAGCAGCACCGGAGAAAGACACCTTGCTTCCATTGGCTTCAGTTCCCTGCATATCGTGTTGTTATGGCGTTAGTGTGGTGTTGACGGCGTCAGTAGAACGTGAGTCATAGAGTCCACTTCTATGAATGCACATTACAGCTTTCAAAATCCATTTCACCTCAAATAGCATTTTCCTTCAAATGATCTTACAAGTGCATGCGTATTCAAATGACGGCTATCCCTAGTACCTTATACACTCGAAAGTATTCAGCCACTGCGGACCGTTGCTCATTTGTTAACCTGGCGACGGTTGGGATGGGGATGGGGCGGAAGCGGAGGAGATGCTGTCAGGTGTGCACGTGAGCACAAAGTAATTGCAGACTTTGCAGGAACAACCATGACAGGAACTTCTAACCTCCCAAAGGTGGAACAAGCAACCTCCCTGCCACCACTATAGAAGTAACCATATCTGTTCATTCAGTGCCCAGCCCGATTCTTTGGAGTGCCCTCACCTCCTTGCTCGTCTGTCGCACACCCAGCAATGCACGCCTCGTCTGCCACTGAACACCCACAAGACGTGCTCGAAGCCAAAGTCCTCTGGTGGCCAGCGGGAAGAGATATGCGCAGGTAGGGAGGGAGAGCGCGAGTGAGAGAGAGAATGCGACTATTAGAACTGTGCACAAGACTTCTGCCTCTGAACACCCACAAGATGTGCTCGAAGCCAAAGTACTCTGGCAGGTGGGTGGGAAGAAGACAATTGTACAGTGAGGGATGAAGAAAAGCGGAAGATAGAAAATTTTTATAGAATAGGCGAGACGAGAATACTGATTGCAGGTTAAAAAAAAAGGTGGACTAAGGGTCTGTCATACAATCCGTATCCTCGAAACAAATACCCTGGCACCCAACAAAAGACGTACTCATAAGAGTGGGTTCTGAAGTGCCTACGAATGGATTTCAAGGCACAAAGACGAAAAACAGTACCTCTAAGAGCAGTGTCGACAACTTCAAAGGCATTGTTATAAGCGGCGAGCACTTGGAGTCTTTTGAATCGACTCAGGAACGTACCTCTAAGGGCAGTGTGACTTCAATAGCTGCTGTCATGACCGGCCAGCACTTGGTGTGTTTTGAGTGACTCAAAACCGTACCTCTAAGAGCAGTGTCGACAACTTCAAAGGCATTGTTATAAGCGGCGAGCACTTGGAGTCTTTTGAATCGACTCAGGAATGTACCTCTAAGGGCAGTGTGACTTCAATAGCTGCTGTCATGACCGGCCAGCACTTGGTGTGTTTTGAGTGACTCAAAACCGTACCTCTAAGAGCAGTGTCGACAACTTCAAAGGCATTGTTATAAGCGGCGAGCACTTGGAGTCTTTTGAATCGACTCAGGAACGTACCTCTAAGGGCAGTGTGACTTCAATAGCTGCTGTCATGACCGGCCAGCACTTGGTGTGTTTTGAGTGACTCAAAACCGTACCTCTAAGAGCAGTGTCGACGACTTTAATGGCTGCCGTCATAAGCGGCCAGCACTTAGCGCACACCGATGCTCCTGAGCAGCAGGTTCGCACATCGTCGTAGTCGCTTATATCCTGTAATGAGTCAGACAGAAAGGGAGATAATAGAGGCAATGCGCGCCATGGACAGCCAGCATTTAGCGCACATCAACGCCTTGTGCAACAGGTCCGCGTATCATCATAATTGCTTATAGCCAGCAGCACGAAAGATATCCATATAGCACAGACTGTTTCCCCGGTTCAGCAGGTTCGACCACCGCCGTGGTCGCTAACTTTATGTAAAGAGAAATAGAGGGGGGAAACTGACGTCGCTATCGTGAAAGGAACGGGTACGCTCAAAACACGGGGTGAGTTCTCCGCGTGTGCTTTTGGGGTGTACGAAAGACGAGAGGTGACAAAAACGAGAAGTGGCAACGTACGATGTCGAAAACAAGCTCCCGTTCCACAGGAGCGAACGCGCTTTCCGACCCGATTCCCTGATACGCCAATCGTCTCGCCGGCTGTTACCATGAAGGGAGAATGAGATGAAAACAAAGACTGACTATATCAAACACAGGAACGAACGCGCTCCGACCCGATTCCCTGATACACCAATCGTCTCGCAGGCTGTTACCATAACGGAAGAATGAAATGATTACAAGGAGGAGTGATTATATCGAGCACCAGAGCGAACGAGCTCTCCGACCCGATTCCCTGATACGCCGCTCGTCTTGCAAGCTGTTACCAAACGGGAGAAAGAGACGAAGAATGAGAAGAGATTATATCGAATACTAGAACGAAAACGCGCTCTTCTACGCAATCCCTCATACACAGCTCGTCTCTCGCGCTGCCATTGCGAGAGGGTAGAATCCTGAATGAATTCTTAGTATACAACTCAAAACTCGCCGTCTGTCATCGCAGGCACGGAGAAACTCACGCGCGATTCGGAAACTCAAAATCTCGAAAACGGTGGTGAAAAAAACGGCAACTCTTACGTACGTCGACGTTGTAGACGGCTCCTATGTCGATCTTAAGCGGGTTCTTATCGCGGATCGCGGCCTCCATGTCCGCGGCGTCGCGGAACGACTGGTACCGCACGTAGATATCGTGCTCTAGAGTGAATGAAAATTCGCGACGCTGAAGATACGACGCGTCAGTTCCGGGAAGTTTCCTGTCGTTGCCGTACGAGAGCCAGCGAGCCATGTCTGCGTAGGGGAAGAGGCGACGATAGTAGATTCTTAGTAGGTCCGTGCTGAAACACGATTCGGCCGCGGACGGTTTACTATCTTGCGGCTCGGCGACAGCAGGGTCTTTATCTTCTGATCTCGCTGAAGGTTCGGAATGTTCTGTCATGTTCTCGTCGGATAAAATTGGACTACCCATTGATTAGGAGCAAAGGCTGCAGATTGGCCGAGTCAGAATGAGCGGCACACAGCTACTAGAATAAGCTGCACGCTGCCGCTGTAAGAGTAGAGAATTTGGAGCTGAAGGGTGGCTTGAAATGGACGCAGACACACGAGCGCTATCAATTGTCATGTCAGAGCATGAACGGAAACGAAGCAGCGGCAAAAAAAAGTCTAGTTGAACTGACGAAACAAGGGAACTCGGAGGGCTGTTTTTGGCGGGAAACATGTTCAGAAGGGCATTTGAATTTGCAAATACAACCGATAGAGTCACAGTGGTCATCGATATCGTCAGAAATCGATAGTACAGTGAGCTATTCCAAAGTAGTGCTATTAAAATTACGCGGATACAAAAGAGGTTCAGTCGCATGATTTCCTCGAGGACTTGTCGTCAGAGGTTTTGTGGCCAGATTTCTTTCGCCGCAAAATCGCCAGCTTTCGCGTCCAGCAAGGTAGGAGGCTTTGCCCTGACACTTCGGTCTGCCTTTGCAGCTAACTAAAAACTTCCAAGTTTCTCTCTTATGCTTAGAATAACTTGCAGCAATACCTCATGAGGACTCGATTCTGGCCTCTTGAACTGCCCGCACCTGAAAATCTTTCCCACCACCACCGCCATGGAAACCCTCAACCGAAATCTCCACAACCCATTGAAGCCACTTGCCTCATCTAGCCTTCCCCCTGCACCTGCACTGAGCACACACATACACACCTCACCCCACGTCCATCCAGTGCTGGTCTCTTTTGATCCAATACTAGTCCCCTATCCTCTCCTTTCACTTCCTTTCCCCGTTTCCGAAGGCACTCGGAGCTGCGTATCGCTAGAGTTACCTTTGCTGGATAGATTCGTCTTCCAGGATGGAGTCGGTTCCATTAGCTGCCTTAAACGGCGACTTTCCGTACCGTCGCTCGCAAGCGGTCGAATCTGGTTATACCGAGAACGGATGGGTTGGCGTCGACGGTAGTGGCAAAGGAGGGAAGGCCTCTCATGGCAAGCGCCATGCGATTCGCTCGTCCGCGCCTTACGCGAGACCTACTTCCGGACGGCACGCTGCTGCTGGCTACGCAGCAGCAGCGATTCGAACTGCCACGTCGGCAGCGGGATCTCCGGGGGAATCTCAAGGCCGCGCAGACGCGTTGCAAGAAGCGCCGGGGAGGATTGGTGAAAGGAGGGATGAACCGAAGCAAGACGGAGTGGGAAGCGCGGGAAGCGGCTGGTTTGGCTCGTGGCGGAATTCGATTGGATCGCTCGTCCGATGGCCTTGGAGCTCTCGAGGTACCTAATAACGGATCTTAATCTACAGATATACATTTTGCGAGATCGCATCAATGCCGTGAGCTTTGACGATGCGTTTCGCGTGGTCTGATTTACGTTTAGTGACCTAACTCGAAGTTATCGATCCGCTTACTTCACTTTCTAAACCTTAACGCATGTCTGTAGGTTTCCGACGTCTCAAACCGCGTTAGACAGCATTGTTAAACAGCCTAGGCTAGTATCGAGTCGCCTTGTTGACGCATCCCGTCATCAACGTTTTCAGTAAATCACTTCAGATTCATTACCCTTTTCTGATGTTCTGTCCAGACGGTAACCGGCGTAACGCGAAAGGCGAGCAGCAAGGCGTGTCGGACAAGCGACCGTCGGAGGGCGCAACCAGCGGCGAGCCGGCGGAGGGAGCGAATGCTGGTGGTGCTGCTGGTGCTGCTGGTGATCCTCGGGATCGACTGGCGGGAGGAAGGAACGGGAAGCAAGGGAACGAAGGCGCAGTGTTGACGGAGGTTGAGCAGCTGCTGAGACGAGGGACGCCGCTTTCGCTGTACGTAACGATGCAGATTCACGGGTCACCCTTTATTTTGGGGGTAGGGTATGTCGCGGTTAATTACGAGAGATATAGGGACGAAGGTGCAGTGATGAACTGTCGAGCAGCTGCTGAGACGAGTGACGCCGCTTTTGCTCTACGTAACTCGGATACGACGGTAAAACGTTTTATTTGTTTACTGTATACTCGAGGCGTTTGTTTTCGACATTCGCAATCCCCGCAGGTTGTATGTAATATAACTTCTATTGTAAAAGAATCACGTTCACTTTGAAACTACTCGCTTGCGTGTCCCGCCATGCTGACGTGTCACGGTCCCTACCCTACAGGCGCGAGTTTCAGCGGCTGAATGAGCTGCTACGTCAGCACGTGGCGAGCGGCGAAGCAGAGAGGGAAGATGGCAAGCAGGAGGAGAAGGATGAGGAGAACGAGGAGGGGAGAGGGGAGGAGGAAGAGGAGGGGCAAGAGGGGAGGGTGGTAGCATCTGCGGGGAAGAGGAGGAGGACTGGGGGCAGTGGCAGTTGGGTGGCGGCAGATGGAATGGGAGGGCGGGAAAATGCAGCTAACACTGCACACGTTGCACCTCGGGTTACACCTCGGGTTACACCTCAGGTTACGCCTCGGGTTACACCTCAAGTTACGCCGCGGGTTACACCTGATGACATCTCTGGGGGCGCTGATGGCGATGGAATGAACGTGTCGCCTGTGGACGTGGCGAGGGCGTTCATGCGACCCAGTATGGCCGCCTTTCCTGCAACTAAAACCCCACCTGCTGCACCAGTAGCAGCAGAAGCGGCTGAGAAGGTGAGTGCGTGAGTGAGTGTGTGTGGGAAAATTGATGCCTGTAGACGTGATAAGAGCGTTCCTACGACCCAGTATGACCTCTTTTCCTGAAACCAATCCCGTCCCACCCCACCCCACCCCTCCCCACCCCTCCCCAACCCACCCCACCCTTCTCATTGCCCTGTGGTTCTGTCCGTTACAGGGAGTGAGCCTCCGAGCCTGGACGCCGTACCAAACCCAGCTGACGCCAGCAACCAAGGTGAGGCGTTGGGTGTGGAATGGAAAGAAAAGAAAAGCGAGGAACGGGACTGGTTTAAGCTTATGGAGCGAGTTACAAGACAGACTTCAGAGATGTTTTGTTTGTTGAAAGCAATGATTAGCAGTTATCTTATTCCGCTGTCCCACTGCCCCTCTGTTCCTCTTTTCCTTTGTCCCTCTGTCCCTCTGTTGCCGTTGGCAGTCTCGCAAGCGCAGCAATGCACAACTGCATGAACCTGCCCCAACCAGCGAAAGTCCTTGGGGTGCTGTACCCCTTATAAGCCCCTCCGCTGTTCCTCATAGGCGCAGGGGCAGCATCGTTCCAAGCGCAGGAGGTCTGCGTAACGGTGGGACTGGTAACCAGAATCGCCAGAGGAGAGTGTCGTTTTCGCCAGCAGTGCTGGCAGCAGCAGCAGAGGGAGAGGAGGATGAGGAGGAGGGAGGGTGGAGCAGGAGGATGGGAAGAGGAAGGGCTTTAAGAAGGCTGAGAGAAGGGGATAGGGATGATTGGTTTCCTCTGCAGCAGCAGCAGCTGCTGCAACAGTTAAAGAGGGACCAAATATTAGCAAGCGTTCCTTCCCGGTCAGCTCAATCTGCCCGGAAAATACTGGACACGTTGGATCGGATGGCTGGGGCTTTGCCTGCTGCGGAGGGTTTTGGACGGGCAGGGGAGAATAGGAGATTGAGTGGGGGTAGTGAGGTGCGGAGATTGAAGGGGAAAGAGAAGGTCGTTGAGGGGGAGAGCTGTGAAGAGGGAGGGGAGAATGGGGCCATAAACAGAGAAAAGGAGCAGCAGTCGCAGCAGCAGCAACAGCAGGGACAGCAGAAACAGAAGCAACAGCAGCAGCAGGAGCAGCAGCAGCAGAGGGGTGATGGGCTGAGGAGGGAGAAGGAGGGGGTGAGGGAGGAGGAGGGTGGGGAGGTGAGGCTTGGAGGTGCTTTGGTGGACGGTGGGAAGGAGGATGGTGGGCAAGGGTCAAGGAGAGGCCGCCACGGGTTCAGAATGTCTGTGTTCGAGGTGAGATTTCAGATGGGAATGAATGGGTTTGGCAGGGTTTGGGAGGGTTCAGAAGGGTTCGGATGGGATATTAACCGTTTGCAAATGTCAACCACCTCAACTCTTTGCTAAAGCCCTCAAGTACAATATTTACCATTTTGCAACGGCTGTAGTTTCGTTTCTCTCCTACCCACTCTTGTCCTGCTTGCTCCACCCTGTTCTCTGCTCCACTCGGGTCTATGGCCCACAGGAGGACGAGGAGGACAGGCCTAGCCAGGAAGCTGCAGCAGCAGGAGCGGCGGGAGGAGCAGGAGCAGCGGGAGGAGCAGGAGTCGGCAAGGTGGCGGATAGAGAGGCAGCTAAAGCAGGCACAGACACTGCTTCTGCGGCTCCTGCTGCTGCCACTGTTGCTGCTGTTGCTGCTGCTGCCATGAAGCGAGCAGGGGAGGGGGCAGGGAGCAGAGTGGGGCCTGGTGGGCCGCAGAGCGGGCAGCAGCGCGAGGGGGAGAAGGGGGAGGAGCAGAGCAAGGGCGAGAGAGGCAAGGAGAAGAGCACACCCGCTGTTACTGGAAGGTGGGATGGAGGGTGGTTGGGAGGGTGAGGGGCTTCCTGTGTGAGGCGCCTAAGAAGTTGAGTGGAAGATGATGGGTTGGAGCGTGGAGGGTTGCACATGATTGAATGATCATGCTTAGTTGCCCATTCGGCCGTTCCCACAATCCCTCATTCCCCTGTTTCCCTCTTAATTTTGCCCATTCTCCTCATCTCCTCGCCCTTTCCCCCCTCCTTTCCATTCCACCTCTTTCCACTCGCCCTGCCCTTCCCATGCCACCCCCCCCCATGCCCACCCCTCGCATGGCCGTTACAGTTTCGTTGGCTCAGCAGCGCATGCGGCCACGTTCTTGCGTTACAACCCACATCTGCCAAGCCAGCAAGTGGTTTTAGAGAATTCTCAAAAACCGCTCTTGCGTTACAACCCACCTCTGCCAAGCCAGCAAGTGGTTTTAGAGAATTCTCAAAAACCGCTCTTCCGTTACAACCCACCTCTGCCAAGCCACCATCTCCAAACTCCTCTTCTGACTCCTTTCCATGTCACCGCTTTCTACTCTCCCTGCCCCACCATACCCGCCCTGCCCCTCTCATCCCCGTTTTCAGTTTCTTCGGCTCAGCAGCGCATGCGGCCACTCTCGCGCCACAACCCACCACTGCCAAGCCAGCATCTCCAGACTCCTCTTCTCACTCCCTTCCGTTTCACCTCTTTCCTCTCACCCTGCCCCTCTCATCCCCGTTTTCAGTTTCTTCGGGTCAGCAGCGCATGCGGCCACTCTCGCACGGCAACCCACCACTGCCAAGCCGCCATCTCCAGACTCTTCCCAGGGCAAATCCACAGCAGCACCCCCAGCAACAGCAGCAGTGGCAGCGCCAGCAGCAGCAGCAGGTGCATCCTTTGGTGCGTCTGGGTTCAAGGCCTCTACCTTTGGCTCTTCTGCTGCTGCCACTGCCTCTTTCTTCGGGCCTTCTCCTTCTGCTGCCCCTGCCCCTGCCCCTGCTGCTGCTGCTGCTGCCCCTGCTGCTGCTGCCCCTGCTGCTGCCCCTGCTGCTGCTACCTCTGCCAGTGCTCCCTCCTTTGGCCTATCCTCTACACCCTCCATCCCTCCTTCCACCGCTTCTCAATCTGCAGCAGCAGCAGCGCTAGCACCTGCAGGAGCTTCTGCTGCAGCAGGCCCATTGTTTGGCTTCAAGCCTGCTACCGCTTCCGCTGCAGCAGGAGGAGCTGCAGCTCTAGGGGCAGCGGCAGGGGCAGCAGGTCTGTCGTTTGGCTTCAAACCGGCAGCTGACTCTGGTAACGCTGGGAAGGATAATGGAGCGGCAGCTGCTGCTGCTGCTCCGACTGCCTTCGGCGGTGGTGATGGGGGCGACAGGGGAAGGAAGGGAGGGGAGGAAGGGGGTGATGTGGGGAGGAGGGGAGGAGGCGAGGAGGAGGAGGAGGCAGAGCCGAGGAGGAAGCGGAGGGTGTCGTCTTCGCCTGTGGGAGGGGGAGCGGGTGGTTCGCCTCCTTCCCTCTTTGGCTTTGGGAAGCCCCCTGCAGGTATGTGCTGGTGGCCCATGCAGGTCTGTGCTTGCTGATTGCTACCGGGTGTGTAGGTGATGTTTGAATCGCCTGGGGGAGGGGAGGTTTGTTCGCCTCTTTCCCTCTTTGGCTTTGGAAAGCCCCCTGCAGGTGTGCACTTGTTGCTTGCGGCATGCTACGTGCTGTTTGCCTGTTTGCTGGTTGTGGCATGCTGCTTGTGGTTTTGTAAGTACTATTCCTCTGCTGCTTCCTTCCTATCATTTCTCCCTCGTAGCCTCCCTCCCAGTCTCCCCTCCTCCTCCTCCCCCCCCTCCTGTCTCCATATTCCCCCTCCATCCTCACTTTCCTCCTCTCTTCGTCTCCACCCTCCCTCCCTCATCCTGTCTTTTGTCCGAATCCTTCTGTTTTCTGTTCTTCTTTGCCTGATTCTCCCCCCATCAGCGTCCACCTCTCCTTCGGATGCTGCAGCCCCCCTCTTCGGTGCAGCTTCTACTGGAACTGCTGCCACCACCACTGCTGCTCCTCTTGGCACCTCTGCCGCGCCACCTTCCACAACAACCACCACCACTCCTGCACCTGCCTGTGGCTCGGCATCTACCGCACCTGCCTTCGGTTCGGCATCCACCGCGCCGGTCTTCGGCTCAGCATCAACCGCACCTGCCTTTGGCTCGGGATCAGCACCGTCATTCGGCCTCAGCCCATCATCCACCCCTGCAGCTGCTTCTACCGGTACCCCTGCTGCCTCTACTCCAAGCACTGCCGCTACAGCCACAGCTACAGCCACAGCCTCCGGTTTTAATACCTCCTCCACCCCTTCCTTTGGTCTCGCTGCTCCATCCTTTGGTGGCACCTTCACCGCCACTCCTTCCTTTGGCACCTCATCAGCCCCTTCCTTCGGCACCTCAACCACCCCATCCTTTGGCCTTTCTGCATCTGCCCCGTCCTTCGGCCTCGCCTCAACGCCAGCTTTCGGTGGCTCTTCTTCCTCTGCTGCAACTGCAACCACCACAGCCCCCCCCACCACCACCACCACTGCTGCTGCTCCCTCTTTGGGCAGTCAGCCCGCTCCGTCCTTTGGGGCATTCGGCTCTGCTTCCTCTGCTCCCGCATTTGGCTCTGCTCCTGTGTTCGGCTCTGGTTCTGCCTCTGCCACCACAGCGACCACCACTGCCGCCACTGCTTCTGCCACTGCAGCTCCTGCTTTTGGATCGTCTGCAGCTACCCCTGCTTCAGCCTCTGCCCCCGCATTTGGCACCTCTGCTGCCCCAGCGTTTGGTGCTCCATCCTCCCCTGCCTTTGGGGCTGCTTCCTCCCCAGCATTCGGCGCATTCTCTGGTTCCTCCGCCCCTGCGTTTGGCTCGTCCACTCCTGCTTTCGGCTCCTCAACCCCTGCATTCGGCTCCTCAACAGCTGCTGCTGCTCCTGCTGCTACAGCTCCGCTCTTTGGCACCACAGCCACCACCGCAGCACCTGTTTTTGGTGCTCCTGCTGCCGCAAGCACTGGCGCTCCTACTGGCTTTACCTTCGGTGCTACAGCATCTTCAACCCCCTCTGCGTCTACCACCCCTGCTGCTGCCGCCTCCTCCTCTCCCGCTCCTGTTTTTGGATTCTCCGCCGCTTCTTCCGGACCTGCCGCCGCGCCTGGGTTCACGTTCGGCGCCACCGCACCTGGAGCTCCGGCAGCAGCAACGGCACCAGCAGCATCGCCGTTTGGATTTGCCGCATCTCAGCCTGCCTCCTCCTCTCCTGCTCCGTTCTCCTTCGGAGCTTCACCAACCACAGCCGCGGCAGCAGGAGGAGCAGCAGCAGCACCAGCACCATTCACCTTTGGCGGTGGGGGAGGAGCAGCGGCAGCGCCAGGGGCACCTGCAGCAGCAGGAGCAGCCGGGGCAAGTCCCTTTGCATTTGGCTCCACTCCCTCTCCCTCCGCTGCTCCTGGTGCCTTCACCTTTGGTTCAACCGCTGCCCCTGCTGCCTCTGCCACTCCCTTTGGATCAACCCCAGCCTTCCCAGGAGCCACTGGGACCACCAGCAGCAGCCCGTTTGGGGGAATGCAGCAGAATACAATGTCTATGGAACCAGCGAGTACGAATGGATTCAACATGCCAGGTGGCATGCCAGGTGGCATGCCAGGTGGCATGCCAGGTGGCATGCCAGGTGGATCTACTCCTCCTGTTGTTTTCGGAGCCTCGCCGTCCCCGGCAGGGGCTAGTCCTTTTGCGTTCGGGCAGCCCGCAGCTGGAGGTGCTGCCCCCGGCGCTGCCCCGTTTTCGTTCGGTGCTGCCCCGGGTGCTGCTGCTTCGCCAACGCCTGCGGGGAGTGGTGGGAGTGGTGGGTTTGCTGCACCGTCTATGGTGTTTGGTGCTGGTGCTGGTGGGGGTGGTGGGGGTGGGGCTCCTGCTGGTGGCGGTGGGTTCTCGATGGGAGCGGGTGCACCTACACCTGGGAGAAGAGTGGTCAAAGCCAAGAGGCCAACAGCAAGGCGCCGATAAGCAATATTGCTCGATCGACAGTGAAATAGCGTGGCGGGTTTTGCTGCACTTCTGGGTGCTGCTGCTGCAGGTAATTTAGGTGGGTGATGGAAATATTGAAAGTAGTTTTTATTGGTACGTGCGACAAGATACCACAGAAATGGTTTCGGTAGTCTTCATTGATGGTTAGGGAGCAGCAGACCTGATCAGTTTTGGGACCAGGCTTCCCTAAAACAGTTGTATTATCAATGTTTTGGCATATGATTTTTTACTGTTAAAGTGTGAGGCTTTGTATCTTATCGGTCTCACTCTTTCGGATAGTTCCGTCTGCTCAACTACACGTGGCGTTCAGTCCGAAGTCTGAAGAGAATCCCGCTGCACTGCATCCAGCCAATAAGCGCCATCCGCTGCATCCAGACGATTCGTGCGTTTCTTGTGGCAGCTTTCCGCCCCACCTTCTGCCCCAGCCCCAAGCCTCGCCCCAAAACCGGAGGCTGCTTTCTGCACAACCTCCCCCCTGCGAAAGGGGCTGCGGAAGGCAGTGAAATAGCGCAAAAGAGGGGTCGCGCAAGCCAGGGCTTGCGCCAACCAAGAAAATTGCGCAAAAAAAGCTTGCGCAACGCAGGGGCTGCGGAAACCAATTTCCGCTGACCCTCCAGGGAGTTCCTCCGCTCCCTCTCCCCCTTCTCCCCTCCCCCCACCCCCCACGCCGCCGCGCGGGGGCTGCGGAAACCAATTTACTGTATCCCGCCCGTCCGTACCGTACAGCACTGGTGACATGGCGGCAACCCTGCGGCGGCTAATTTTGCTTGCGCGCCGCGCCGTGGATGCTGCCGCGGATGATGACGTCACCATGTGGGGGTGGCATTGGGGAGGGAGGGTAGGATGCAACGGATGCGGCGTGATGAATGCACGCGTGCGCTGCGTACAGTATGCCATATGATGAGACAGAGTCTATGATCAGCTAATCGTACGATGATGAGATGAGTCGGGCCAGGGGGCCTTTGCTGCTCCACCTTCTCTCTTCGTCTCTCTCGTGACTCGTCTCCGATCGGATCGGACATTCTCCCCGTCAGTCCGTCGCTCGTCGCGAGCGAATGACGACGAAGCATAACATCGCCACGTGGTTTGACATCTTCTGCACGGTTCCACTGGAATCGTAGGGCACCAGAATCCCGCGCGATTCGTCGTCTTTGGTGCGAGTCCGCGAGGTTTTCCCAGGAATGATTCGGCGGCACAGTCATGATAGTCCTTCCATGCCTTCCCTTCTTGGTGCTGGCGAAGGCAATCACTCTATGGTGCGCGCGTTGTTCTAAGCGGCAACGCTAACACTGTTAGTGGCGCTGGAAACGATTCTTCCTCAGACGAGGTCGCCGCGACTCACGGAGAGGCTCATCGATCGTGGCCGTTCATCGCGGATCGCCGCGCGCTGAAGCATTTTCCGCGCGCGCCATTTCCGTCGCGGATTGCCCCACACTAAAGCAGTACAACTAGCGCGAGCCCTTTTCCGTCGCAGGGGATTTCCGCGCGCCGAGCATTATTAGCGCGCGACCTTTCCCGTCGCGGGGATTACCGCGCGCCGAAGCGTAGTTATTTGTGCAGCGCGCCCCGCCAGAAAGTCTTAGTCGTCATGGTTAAATCAACGGTCGAGATCAGTGAGGACGTCGAGCAGCCTCTACTGTCAGAAGAATCCCGACGGCTAGCCGTCCATTCTGACAGTTTCCGTCAAGTTGGCATTGTCCAAACTAACGATTTGCACGAGGCAGGATTTTGGGGGGAACGGCCTGAAGGCCTGGAGGGACTGGAAGGGCTGGAAGCTGGAATACCAAAATTAACGATTCCCTCCATTTTCGAGGGGAATGTTAGTATTGACCCTCAAAGCCTGCTTGGACAGAAGGGAGTTACTAAAGGGGGGAAGGAGGGGGAAGAGGGTGAAGATGCGTTTCTGTTGGATAGCGCAATTGGCGGCGGCGGGAGCGGCAGTAGGAGCAGTGGCGGCGAGAGGGGGGGGCGGGGGGGTGGCGAGTGGACGAGCAGGAGACGTGTCACGGCAGCAAGTGACAACCTCGAGAGTTTGGATTACGAGTAGGTGGTGTGGGGTGATGGTCGGTTTGGTGCGGTGTAGCAGGTAATGGCTCCAGCCGGAATCGGCAAGCGGCAATCTAGGTGATGTGGGTGATGGTCGTGGTGATGGTCGGTTTGGTGCGGTGCAGAAGGTAAGAATCCAGCCAGATTATTCTTCTTGTTCGTGACCTACCGGTATGTGCTGCCTCTCTCTGCCTCTCTGTGTGCACCTCTCCTCTCCCTCTTTCTCTCTGCGTCTGTCTGCCCATGCCCCCCCAGGGTCCTCGATTCAGAGTGGCATCACGGCCAGTGGCAGGCAATGACTCAAGCAGACCGTATCTTCCACACTACCCTGCGCTGGCTGCTCATACAGTTCGTTCCTGTCCCTCTCTGTCCCTTCGCGTCTCTTCACCTCTGCCTGTTCCCCCGCAGGGTCCTCGATTCAGAGTGGCATCATGGCCAGTGGCAGGCAATGACTCAAGCAGACCGTATTTTCCACACCACCCTGCGATGGCTGCTCGTTCTCCTCAGCTTCACATGCTTGTGTGTCTCTCTCTCTTTGTGCGTGCGTGAATCCCTCTCACAGGGTCCTCGATTCAGAGTGGCATCACGGCCAGTGGCAGGCGATGACCCAAGCAGACAGAATCTTCCACACCACCCTGCGATGGCTCCTCGTGCTGCTCATCGGCACGTGCACCGGCCTCCTCGCCTTCTTCGTCAACATTTCAGTCGAAGCCATTGGCGGCGCCAAGTTCGGTCTAGTCTTTGCCCACATCAAGGGACAAAAGTAAGCGTCACCCTCAATGAGTGCCAATGAGGGACCTTTTCCTAACGGTGCTGCTCATCGGCACATGCACCGGCCTCCTCGCTTCCTTCGTCAACCTTTCAGTTGAAGCCATCAGCGGCGCCAAGTTTGGCCTCGTCTTCTCGCACATCAAAGGCCAGAAGTGAGTCCTTCCTACAAGGTGACTTTTGAGTCGACTCAAAAGTCAATCTCTCAGTTCAAGCCATTCGTGGCGCCAAGTTTGGCCTAGTTTTTCCCATATCCCCACCCCAATCTCCCTACTTCTCCTCCCTTTTTTCTCCCTTCATTCGTTCAGCTCCGTAGGAGGCTTCGTGGTTCTGGTAGCAACAAACCTTTTGAGTTGACTCAAAAGTCAACTTTCCAGTCGACCCAAAAGGCTTCCTGGTGCTGGCAGCGATAAACCTCGGCCTTGTGCTTGGACCAGCCTCCAGGTTGTGTCTCGTGTTGTGCCAAGCACTCGGTTCTCAGTCCCCCTCCCACCTTTACTTCCCTTCCTTCTCCCTTTCAGTTTCCTAGGAGGCTTCCTGGTGCTGGCAGCGACAAACCTTGGTCTTGTACTCGTTTCAACGTGCCTCTGTAACGGGATAGCGATGGAAGCAGTGGGATCCGGTATTCCCGAGGTGAAGGGGTACCTGAACGGCGTCAGCACGCCTGCTGTGCTCTCCGCTAAGACCCTCATTGTCAAGGTGATAGCCATTCCCTCCCGGCAAGTTGAGGTGCCAACATCCATACTCTTATGAGGCGCCTCAAATGCCACCATCCATGCTCCTCTCATCCTAGTACCTCAAAAGCCAGTGGGGGTCTGCTCCGGTATTCCCGAGGTGAAGGGGCACCTCAACGGCGTCAGCACGCCTGCTGTGCTCTCCGCCAAGACTCTCATTGTGAAGGTATAGAACCCGCCAACTCACGTCTGCTCCGTTCCGACAACCATCTGGTCGCCCGTTCCGACAACGCTCGGGCAGTTGAAAGAACCCTGCGGAAATGGTTGAAACAGGAAGGGATGGCTGAGCGTTGAAAGAACCCTGCGGAAATGGTTGAAACAGGAAGGGATGGCTGAGCGTTGAAAGAACCCTGCGGAAATGGTTGAAACAGGAAGGGATGGCTGAGCGTTGAGAGAACCCTGCGGAAATGGTTGAAACAGGAAGGGATGGCTGAGCGTTGAAAGAACCCTGCGGAAATGGTTGAAACAGGAAGGGATGGCTGAGCGTTGAAAGAACCCTGCGGAAATGGTTGAAACAGGAAGGGATGGCTGAGCGTTGAAAGAACCCTGCGGAAATGGTTGAAACAGGAAGGGATGGCTGAGCGTTGAAAGAACCCTGCGGAAATGGTTGAAACAGGAAGGGATGGCTGAGCGTTGAAAGAACCCTGCGGAAATGGTTGAAACAGGAAGGGATGGCTGAGCGTTGAAAGAACCCTGCGGAAATGGTTGAAACAGGAAGGGATGGCTGAGCGTTGAAAGAACCCTGCGGAAATGGTTGAAACAGGAAGGGATGGCTGAGCGTTGAAAGAACCCTGCGGAAATGGTTGAAACAGGAAGGGATGGCTGAGCGTTGAAAGAACCCTGCGGAAATGGTTGAAACAGGAAGGGATGGCTGAGCGTTGAAAGAACCCTGCGGAAATGGTTGAAACAGGAAGGGATGGCTGAGCGTTGAAAGAACCCTGCGGAAATGGTTGAAACAGGAAGGGATGGCTGAGCGTTGAAAGAACCCTGCGGAAATGGTTGAAACAGGAAGGGATGGCTGAGCGTTGAAAGAACCCTGCGGAAATGGTTGAAACAGGAAGGGATGGCTGAGCGTTGAAAGAACCCTGCGGAAATGGTTGAAACAGGAAGGGATGGCTGAGCGTTGAAAGAACCCTGCGGAAATGGTTGAAACAGGAAGGGATGGCTGAGCGTTGAAAGAACCCTGCGGAAATGGTTGAAACAGGAAGGGATGGCTGAGCGTTGAAAGAACCCTGCGGAAATGGTTGAAACAGGAAGGGATGGCTGAGCGTTGAAAGAACCCTGCGGAAATGGTTGAAACAGGAAGGGATGGCTGAGCGTTGAAAGAACCCTGCGGAAATGGTTGAAACAGGAAGGGATGGCTGAGCGTTGAAAGAACCCTGCGGAAATGGTTGAAACAGGAAGGGATGGCTGAGCGTTGAAAGAACCCTGCGGAAATGGTTGAAACAGGAAGGGATGGCTGAGCGTTGAAAGAACCCTGCGGAAATGGTTGAAACAGGAAGGGATGGCTGAGCGTTGAAAGAACCCTGCGGAAATGGTTGAAACAGGAAGGGATGGCTGAGCGTTGAAAGAACCCTGCGGAAATGGTTGAAACAGGAAGGGATGGCTGAGCGTTGAAAGAACCCTGCGGAAATGGTTGAAACAGGAAGGGATGGCTGAGCGTTGAAAGAACCCTGCGGAAATGGTTGAAACAGGAAGGGATGGCTGAGCGTTGAAAGAACCCTGCGGAAATGGTTGAAACAGGAAGGGATGGCTGAGCGTTGAAAGAACCCTGCGGAAATGGTTGAAACAGGAAGGGATGGCTGAGCGTTGAAAGAACCCTGCGGAAATGGTTGAAACAGGAAGGGATGGCTGAGCGTTGAAAGAACCCTGCGGAAATGGTTGAAACAGGAAGGGATGGCTGAGCGTTGAAAGAACCCTGCGGAAATGGTTGAAACAGGAAGGGATGGCTGAGCGTTGAAAGAACCCTGCGGAGGTTCTTTCTTCCAACAACCATCTGCTCTTGAGGTGAGGTGCCTCTGAAGCTTGAAGGGGTACCTGAACGGCGACAGCACGCCTGCTGTGCTCTCCACTAAGACTCTCATTGTCAAGGTGATTGATAGTCCCCCTGCATATTCAATCAGCACTGCAAGCATCACCAACATCTTGGGTCAACTGTAGAATGTATGATTGTCTCCCCTCCCTCCCTCTCCTCCCTCCCTAACATCAGGCGTTGGGCTGCATAACAGCCGTGGCAGGAGGGCTAGCAGTGGGAAAAGAGGGCCCTCCGGTGCACTGTGGGGCATGCATCGCCCGCCAGCGTCCTGTTAATCTTTCTCTCCTCCCGTCCTCCTCCCTTGTCTATCAGGCGTTGGGCTGCATAACAGCCGTGGCAGGAGGGCTAGCAGTGGGAAAAGAGGGCCCTCCGGTGCACTGTGGGGCATGCATCGCCCGCCAGCGTCCTGTTAATCTTTCTCTCCTCCCGTCCTCCTCCCTTGTCTATCAGGCGTTGGGCTGCATAACAGCCGTGGCAGGAGGGCTAGCAGTGGGAAAAGAGGGCCCTCCAGTGCACTTTGGGGCATGCATCGCCCGCCAGCGTCCTGTTAATCTTTCTCTCCTCCCGTCCTCCTCCCTTGTCGATCAGGCGTTGGGCTGCATAACAGCCGTGGCAGGAGGGCTAGCAGTGGGAAAAGAGGGCCCTCCGGTGCACTGTGGGGCATGCATCGCCCGGCAGCGTCCTGTTAATCTTTCTCTCCTCCCGTCCTCCTCCCTTGTCTATCAGGCGTTGGGCTGCATAACAGCCATGGCAGGAGGGCTGGCAGTGGGCAAAGAGGGTCCTCTGGTGCAATGCGGGGCCTGCATTGCCAGCATCCTGGGTGATTGACTGAAGAATGTACAATCATTCCCCGTCCCTTTCTCCTGCCAGGCATTGGGCAGCATAGCAGCCGTGGCAGGAGGGCTAGCAGTGGGAAAGGAGGGTCCCCTGGTGCACTGCGGCGCATGCATTGCCAGCATTCTGGGCCGTCTCAGCCATTGGATCTCCGCGCGGCGCGATCTCAGCCGTCCGCGCAAGCCGCGGATCCAGACAGCTAGCTCTTTCGCCTCGTTGGGACTGTTCAATCACGGGTCGATCAAGGCTTTAAGAACGCCGGTGTGGGTGCACAGCGACAGGGGTTTAAGGGACCTGGTGACGTGTGGCGCTGCCTCGGGGATTGCTGCTGCGTTTCTTGCTCCCGTGGGCGGTGTGCTGTTCGCCCTGGAACAAGTCACCTCCTGGTGAGAGGTTGGGTTGAGAGTGGTGCATGGTAGTGATTGCGGTGCTGCCTCGGGTATTGCTGCTGCCTTCCTTGCCCCCGTGGGCGGCGTGCTGTTCGCCCTTGAGCAAGTCACTTCATGGTGAGATGGGGAGAGATTGGAGGTGCTTGGGAGCGGCTGATAGAGGTTGGGAGCGGTTGGGAGTGGTTGGGAGTGGTTGGGAGAGATCTGGGGTTGATTTGGAGTGTTTGAGTGCGGTTGGGAGCGATTGGGGCTTTAAGGACGCCGGTGTGGTTGCACAGCGACAGGGGTTTAAGAGACTTGGTTACATGCGGTGCTGCCTCGGGGATTGCTGCTGCGTTCCTTGCTCCCGTGGGTGGTGTGCTGTTCGCCCTGGAACAAGTCACCTCCTGGTGAGTGGTTGGGAGTGATTGGGAGTGGTTGGGAGTGGTTCTGAGCAATTGTTACCCATCTTCTTGCTCCCGTGGGCGGTGTGCTGTTCGCCTTGGAGCAAGTCACGTCGTGGTGAGTGGTTGGGAGTGGTTGGGAGCATCTGTTACCAACTCCTTGCCTCCGTGGGCGGTGTGCCGCTCGCCCTATAGCAAGTCACCTCCTGGTGAGAAGAGGGACCCTATCCTCTCCCCCATAACCCCATCTGTCCTTCCCCTCACAGGTGGCGCAACTCCCTCATGCGGTGCATCTTCTTCACCAATGCAGTCGTAGACATGCGTCTGTGAGACTCACCCCACCCTATCCTCTCCCCCGTAACCCCTTCTTCCCTTCCCCACACAGGTGGCGCAACTCGCTCATCTGGCGCATCGTCTTCACCAACGCGGTTGTAGCTATGGTGCTCCCCACCTCACCCTATCATGTCCTTCCCCCCACCCCCACCGCACAGGTGGCGCAATTCGCTCATCTGGCGAATCTTCTTCACGAACGCAGTCGTAGCCATGGTTCTGCGAGTTTTCCAGCTTGCTTTCATTGCCCTCTGAACTTCAAACTCCCGGCACTATCCGCTGTTCTTCACACACAGGTGGTGCAACTCCCTCATCTGGCGCATCTTCTTCACCAATGCGGTCGTAGCCATGGTGCTGCGAGCCTTGGCATGCTCCCCTATCAACCTCCTCACCCGCATCCTCTCGTTTTATCCCTACCTCCTCCCCACACAGGTGGCGCAACTTCCTCATCTGGCGCATCTTCTTAACCAACGCGGTTGTAGCCATGCTGCTCCCCACCTCACCCTATCATGTCCTTCCCCCCACCCCCTCCACGCAGGTGGCGCAACTCCCTCATCTGGCGAATCTTCTTCACCAATGCGGTCGTAGCAATGGTGCTGCGAGCCTGCATCGCCCTCTGAAACTCCCCAACCATATCCTCACCTCTCCTTCCCCCCCTCCCCCCACCTCGCACACACAGGTGGCGCAACTCCCTCATCTGGCGAATCTTCTTCACCAATGCGGTCGTGGCCATAGTGCTCCGCTGCTCCCGGCATTCCCCATCCATGGCCTTTCCGATCTTATTCCCCCCACCTCGCACACACAGGTGGCGCAATTCCCTCATCTGGCGCATATTCTTCACCAATGCGGTCGTGGCAATGGTGCTGCGAGCCTTCCAGCTTGCTTTCATTGCCCTCTGAACTTCAAACTCCCAGCACTATCCGCTGTTCTTCACACACAGGTGGCGCAACTCGCTCATTTGGCGAATCTTCTTCACCAATGCGGTCGTGGCAATGGTGCTGCCAGCCTCACCCCACCCTATCCTTTCCTCCATACCCCCATCTCCCCTACCTCCTTCACACACAGGTGGCGCAACTCGCTCATCTGGCGAATCTTCACCAAATGCAGTCGTAGCAATGGTGCTCCCAGCCTCACCCCACCCGTGTCCTTCCCCCATCTCCCCCCCTCTCCCCCCATCCCCCCCCCTCTCCCCCCGTCTCCCCAACTCTCCCCCCGTCTCCCCAACTCTCCCCTCGTCTGTCCCCCTTCCACACACAGGTGGCGCAACTCCCTCATCTGGCGAATCTTCTTCACCAACTCGGTCGTGGCCATGGTGCTCCGAGCCTGCATCTCCCTGTGCGAGGGCGACAGGTGCGGCGGCAGCTTCGGGTCCCGAGGCTTCATCCTGTTCGACCGAAGCAAGTCCCGAACCGACTTTGGGCTGCTGGAGGTGGTGCCGGTGGCTCTGCTGGGCGTCGTTGGGGGCTTGCTGGGTGGGTTGTTCAACCACCTTAATGTGAAGCTGTGTGCTTACAGGAAGCACAGATTACACAGGTGAGAGGTATAATTGAAGGGTTACACACCACGTGCTCAACCATCTGACTGTCAAGCTCTGGTGTCTTTGAGTCGTCTTATCAGAGTCTTGAGGTGTTTCAGAACCTTTTCATTCTCCGCTCTTCTCCCCTCTTCTCCCCTCTTCTCCCCTTCCAATTCCTCTCTTACCTGTATCCCTGCCCCACTCACAGGCACGGGGCATGGGCGAGGGTGCTAGAGGTCCTCCTCATCTCCCTCCTCACCTCCTCTCTTCGCTTCTATGGCCCTTTTCTAGCCTCCTGCCTGCCCTGCCCTCAAGACCCGGATGGGGGAGGGGACCTGCCGCAAGGTTCTTTCAACTGCCCGAGCGTGGTCGGAACGGGCGACCACAAGGCTTTCGCCTGCCCGGACGGGCAGTATAATGATCTCGCAAGCCTGGTGTTTACGACAAACGACGACGCCATTGGAAACCTGTTCCGTACGGGGTCGTTTGGAATTTTCACGTGAGTTGGAAGTGTTGCAAGCGCGTAAGTTACACATGCACCGTCATCGCGAAGTGACACCGTCCGTGTTGCACCGTCCGTGATGATGCCATTGCGAACCTGTTCCGCACTGGATAGTTTAGATCTTCACGTGGGTTTCTTACAAATGTGGCATGATTTGCATGGTCACCCTCTTCAGGAATCAAGAGGGCACACCCTCCTTTCCTCCTCGTTTTCCCTCTTCCTTCCCTCCCACTCCCACTTCCCTCTTCCCTCCCTCCCACTCCCACTTCCCTCTTCCTTCCCTACCAATCAAGAGTTAACAATCAAACCGCTTGTTTATTCCTTTCCTCCTCATTTTCCCTCTTCCTTCCCTCCCACTCCCCACCCCACCCCACCCCCACCCAGCTACTCCTCGCTGCTCCTCTCCTTCACCACATTCTTTCTCCTCGCCACGCTCACATACGGCACAGCAGTCCCCGCGGGTCCCGGCGGGTCTCTTCGTCCCGTCCATCCTCTGTGGTGCTTCCTACGGCCAAATGGCAGGCATGCCTGTGGTAACCCACCTCTTCGGAACACACAGGATGGGGGAAGGCACATACGCTCTCCTTCCCTTCCTCCTCATTTTCCTTCTTCCCCTCCCTCCCCTCCCTCCCTCCCCTCCCCCTACCAGCTACCCATCTCTTCTCCTGTCTTTCACAATCTACTTTCTCCTCGCCACGCTCACATACGGCGCAGCAGTCCCAGCGGGTCTCTTCGTCCCCTCCATCCTCTGCGGTGCCTCCTACGGCCGAATGGCAGGCATGCTCATGGTAACCCTATTCGGCCAACACCGGGTGGGGGAGGGCACCTACGCGCTCCTCGGCGCCGCGTCTTTTCTGGGCGGGTCGATGCGCATGACCGTTTCGCTCTCGGTCATCCTGCTGGAGCTCACGGGCAGCTTGAAACTTTTGCCGCTGGTGATGGTGGTGCTGCTGGTGTCGAAATCGGTGGGGGATTTGTTCAATCGGAATATCGACGACTCGCATATGGACTTGAAAGGGATTCCGTACCTCCCGGAAAACTGCACGCATCAGGATTTCACTTTGTTCGAGGAAGACAGTGAGGAGGGTGAGGGGCGGAAGGAGGGTGAGGAGCAGCACCAGCAGCAGAAACAGCTGGTGACAGGGATGGGAGGCACTTTTGATGCAGCTGGTATCTTGTCCCCCCATTCCCCTCCAACGACTCTTCAACAAACCACCCCTTTCCCAAGATCCCCCACAGTAACCTTCGTGGTTACCCCCTCAACAACCCCCTCAATTACCTCCCCTGCGGTAACTCCTTTGCTCGTTTCCTCCCCATCTGCTACTCTCCTCAGTCCCAGATCCCCCACCATTCCTTCTGGAAGCTTCACCAACCCTGTCAGTCCTAGGAACCCGCCTTTTAGCCCCCGTGGCACAACCCCCTTCACCCCGAGAACCCCACGCAGGCGTGCAACTGCTGGCGATGCTGTTGGTGCCGCTGGTGCCACTGCTACTACTCCTAAATCTGCTGCTTCTGGTGTTGCTGGTGGTGCTGCTGGCACAGCTGCTGCTGCTGCTGCTTCTGGTGCTATTAGCACGGGCTGCCTGGTGGCTTTAGAGGGTGTGACTACAGTGAAGCGAATCATTGACACCTTACGAGCCACGCAGCACAATGCGTTCCCTGTTGTTGATTTCATGGGTGTAAGGGCGGATGTAGGGCAGGACACAAGGGAGGGGGCAGGAGATGGCGCAGAGGAGAGAGCAGGGGAGGGGGCAACGAGCAGGAGCAGTAGCGGCAGCAGTAGCACGAGCGTGGTTAGCAGCGGCAGCAGCAGCGGCAGCAGCAGCGGCAGCAGCAGCGGCAGCAGTAGCACGAGCGTGATTAGCAGCGGCAGCAGCAGCGGCAGCAGCAGCGGCAGCAGCAGCAGTGGAAGCAGCAGCAACAGCAGCATTGTTAACACGGCCAATTCTAGTACCGTCATCACAACCAACAGCAGCAGCAGAGCCAGCAGCGCAGGGGATGGGTTGCTTCGAATCAGCAACAGCGGCAGGGTAATTACCCCAGGGAATGTTCAAATTACCCCCTCCCAAAGAACAACCTTCTACGGGCTCATTCTCCGGAAGCATCTTCTCGCCCTTCACTCCAAGAAAGCATTCTGTACCGCATTGCAACGCAATTCAACCACCTGCACCACTCCAGGTGGTAACAATGCGATTTACCCCGATGAAGAGAGGGCAGAGATCTTGCAAGACTTTGCAGCCTCCCTGTCCTTGGTAGGGAAACTCCAAGTTCAAGACCTGGAAATTACCCCCGAGGAGGAAGGGATGCTCGTGGATCTACACCCGTACAGTAATCGGTCGCCGTATATTGTTACAGAGGCCATGGGAATGCAGAAGGCTTATACGCTGTTCCGGAATCTGGGTTTGAGGCATTTGTGTGTGGTGCCTAAACCCACGGATGTGATAGGGATAATAACCCGCAAGGATTTTATCAATGCTATGAGTAGGGAGATGGATGCACCTGAAAATCACTGTAGGTGACATGATTTCGCAATGATATAAAGCTTGGCATGTATTTTTCTAAGAAAACAGCATCTTTCTCATGGAAACACGGAGGCTGCATGATCAAGGAATATGCTCAGCAGAATCTGGAATCACAGCAGACAGTCAGATGAATTATATAACTGCAGCAGCAAACGGAATACAATGCTTCTATTTCTCCATCCAATGTTGACAGCACATCAGCACTGGAACACCTTACTAGTTTAACTCCACTGCGAAAAACATAGCCCATAAGCTGATATTCCTCTACCTAAAACATGAAAAGGAAATAAAAATCTATGCGTAACCATGTCACAGCTTTGTGAGCACTGTATCAATGATCATTCTTGTGCTTTCCACCCTTTTTCTTCCCACCACCCTTCTTCCCTTTTGGCGGGGGCGGTGGGGGTGGGGGTGCGGGAGGGCTAGGAGGGGGAGGAGGCAGAGGGTCGGGCCAGGGGGTTGACTTTGCATGGACCGTGATTGGCAGTTGCGGTGATATGACCCACCTGTAGATCATGAAGGGAGGGGAAAGAAGGAATGAAAATGAGTAAAGCAAGGAGTGGGAAGAGGCCAGGGTACAGACAAACGGGTGATTTGGTACAGACAGAAATGAGCAGATGTAGGGAGACAATCCACCAGCGAATGATCAAGACCAATCACTCTGCACCAATGGCACCCTCGCACACCACATTAGCACCAAACATACCCACCCACTCTCCAGGGAACTTCATGTTTTGGCGCACCTCAGCCCTCCACCGCCACATGAGCAAATTCTCTCACTTGTCTTGCACAATGCTTTTCAAAGAGATGCACCCTTGATTCCACACACAGCACGCCAATACCAAACTCACTCTCTGCACAACCCAAGGCCACTCACTCTGCGGGGAACTTGCTGTCTTGCCGCGCCTCAGCCCTCCACCACCACACAAGCACGCGCCGTCCGCATTGGCCAATCAGCCGAACCTCCCTCTCATCCCGCACCACCGCGCCTAGCAGGTCAAACAGCCGCCCCTCCGCTCCCGAACCTGCCACCGAACCTCCTTCCGCATCTTCTTCCGAGCCTCCTTCCGAGCCTCCTCCCAGACCTCGTTCCAGCTCAGGGCCCCATTCCTCCCAGCCTCGCACCCAATCAGGAAGCTCCTCTTTTCTAGCCCATAGTATCCGTGAGTTAAAGACATACCCATGCCATAGCATGCCCCTCCGTTGCTCCCCCTCCGACCCTAGGGAGTTGTAACTTGGTAACCCCAATAGGAGACGATCTGGGTGGTGTACCACCGTGTGCCATCCGATAAGAACAGATTCGTTATTGCACACAGGCCCCTGCACGGGCATCTGATAGCGCGTCTGCTTGCCTGCCCTCAACGTACTGGAAGACGCTGATTGGCTACTGGCTTGTAACAGCCTGCGCTGTGGTAACCGCATTTCTTTTTGCACATCCGCATCGCCAGCCCCATCCCCTCCCCCTCCTTGCCTCCCCTGCGTCTGCTGCAGCTTTTGCTGCTGCGTCAGCCACTCCCCTTGCCACTCCTGTTTCCTCTCACCCCCTTGCTGCGTCTGCTGCATTCCTCCTCTATCCTCACCACCCGCCGATAAATCCAGTTTCGCTGTTTCTTGATCTTTGCGCTCTTCCCCCCGCGCCCCCCCACCCGCTCCCCCACCCGCTCCGCCACCCGCTCCCGCTGCTCCGCCCGTCTCTTTCCCTGCCCCTCCGCCTCCCCCACTCTCTGCTGCTCCCCCTCCTACCGCTAACCCCATCCCCGCCGTTGTCGCTGCCTCAGCAATCCGAACACCACCATTCACGCCACTGACGCTGACGTCACCACCACCACCAGCAGCAGTAGCACCACCATCACCGCCACCACCACTGGCACCATCGCTACTATCAACCTCATTAGAGTCGGTGCTCGCAATGTGTCTACCATGCCCATGCCCGTGCCTCTTGCTCTTCCCGCTGCTCCTCCCAAGCCCTTCCCCCTGACCGCTCTGCTCTTCCGCCTGCTCTTCCGACCCAAAAAGCTGGGGGAACCCGACCGGCAGCAGCACGCCTACAGAACCTGCGCCGAACCAGGGCACGCGCTGAGCCTCGGCAAGGAATTTCGGGGAGAAGACCGAGCTGTCGTCTGCGAAGACCACGATGCCGTCGAGCCTGTGCTCCCGAACGTACCTGTGAGGTTCGGAAGAGGTTCGGAGGTCAACATTTGTCAGACATATGGTGAGCCGAACAATTTAATACCAGCCAATGACGTCGCACCCACCCTCTCTCCGCGCACATCCACCCCCTTTCCTCTCTCACCCCCCCTTTCTCCCCGCACACCCCTCTCTCCGCGCACCCCTTCTCCCCGCACACCCACCCCTCTCCCCGCCCACACGCACCTTAGTCCCACGACTCTCATCCGTTGCTCCAGCAGAACCCGCTCGTCCCAATCCTCGGGCATTTCCTCCTCCACGCCTAGATGCGCGATTTCCACCTCGGGATTCTCCGCCCCGCTAGTAGCCTTCGCGATAAGCCGTGCGGTTTCTTCCGTCTTGGTCGCTTCGATCACTACCCAAAGTAGCGGTGCTTGTACCCGTTTTAGGGAGTTGATCAACCCTAGCATGTGTAGCTGTTGGAAAGTTCGCTTGTAGGTCGGCGTGATGACTATAACGCGGCGAGGGTGCGACGTCAGCCTTCCGTCCTCCTGCGCGAGCAATCTCAGCCGTTCGTTCTCCTGGAGCAGTCTCAACAGCGATTGGCTCACGACCAGCTGACGGGGGTCGGGTGACGGGTTCGGCCGGATGAGAATTTCGTGACGGCCGATTTTCACGCCAGCATCCTCCTCGTCAATTCCCGCTGGCACGTTTAACGGCTCGTCAGATGTGAAATTCCAGTGTAAAGCCAAGTCCCATTCGCAAGCCAAGGGATCGTGGAATTCTTTAACCACAGGTTTCGGCTGATCAAAACGGGACATTGTCGGAGAGATACCAGTTTCAGCCATCAGAAAGCGGTCTGTAAACGCATGAGGATCGCCACTTGGTACTATATCGAATCGGGCTAAATCGGAGCTGTAGGAGCCTATACTGGAGCCCGGACGGAGGATAAGAATCTCCCTAGCGAGACGTAGGCCGAAGAACATAGCTGCCGAGCAGGCGAAGAAATGAACAGCGACGGGTAACACAAACGCGATGTGAACCATGAGCCATCTAAAGAGACCTAAGTGGTGTATACTATGTAAATGCGAGTACGAGTCCATTTGGCTTCGTTTTAGAGCACTATTTTGTCGCATGCCGCTGTGCGACGAATCGTTACTATTCGACTGATCGGAGTCTGAGGCCGAGCCGCTGCCACTACGACCAGATACGCGACGGACACGGATCATCAACGCACGAGCAGCTCCCAATACCTTATTTGTCATACAAGCAATGTACGAACTACTATTCCTAACCTATAAACCACCTCAGCGAGAGATACTACCTTCGAAGCCTAAGACTAGGCTAGGCGCGTTGCGACCAGCGCTTGTTGCGCCGAGACTCCCGCGCCATGGCTCACGAGCCTACCCGAATATGCTTGCTCTACCCTAAATATAGCACCACGATAAGCTGACCCAGGCTGAACACAGGGATGAGACGAAGAGGGAGGAGAAAGGCCGGCGAAGGAAGCTAGCTGGCTCTGGCTGGTCAGGTCGGGTCAGGGGGAAGGCTTGGCTTACGGGCTGCTCAGTACCGAACTCAAGATTGGCGATTCGTCCTAGGCACACACGGACTAACCTCAGGCGTAAATGAGTGACAGTAACGAGCGAGGAGTTTACGGGCTCCAGGTCAAGGGGCTGAAGTAATCGAGGAGAGTAGCCAGGCAAGTCGTATGGCGATTCGTTCCTGCGCTGCGGCTGCTGGCTGAGCTGGCAAGCGCGTTGCTTGAGTTGCGAGGAAAGTGGCTGGAGAGGGAGCGGCGACAAAGGGGGTACTGCTTGCGGGATGGGCTAGGAGAAACAGATTCAGGGCACAGAAATGAAGGGCAGGCGAGAAATAAAAAATTGTTGCAGCCCCCACATCCCGAGATTTGGTTTGAGGGATACGAGACTCCCAAGGGAGGGTAAAAAGACGGATGCGGGGAGGGTGGGCGAGGGGGGTGGTGCGGGATGTGTGGTGAGGAGGGGCGGAGGGGGCAGGCCTGTTGGGTGAGGTGTACGTCGTCTCCCGCCAAATGAAATGTGACTGTGGCGGGGGGAACTCTGATCCGATCGCCATTTGTTATCTTTAACGGACAAGATGGGGCTAGGGCGAACCTCATCGAAAGATCGATGGCTGGTGTGAGGTGGATGTTGACAGAGCTATGGCCTCGGAGGCGCGGGGGAATGGAAGGGGAAGACCCGCCAATGGGGAGGTTGGGCTGCTGTTGGCTGACCTTGCGGAGCGGTAGTGTAGGGGTCGAGGCGCGAAATATGTTTGTCACAGCAACCGAAGCAAAACTTTCGATAGTGGATGTACAGGACAGCAGTGCTGCGCTGAACCGTACCGTACAGATTTGCGGGCATCTGTTTCAGGTGACCGAAATCAACCTGTGCAGTTCTAGCTCATTCTCCTGTGATTGGTCACGCGCTCAACCCAGCGCTGGGCAAGGTGGCCTGGGCAGGTCCGAGTCGCAGTCGTGTGCTTACATCGAGTGAATAAAGCGCGGCACCTTCATTGTCAGAGACGTGCCCAGAACTTGACGTCGCACAAGAAGGTGATTGGTGACGACTGTTCGTGTGTCTCCCCTTGGTCGCAGCGCAAACTCCACAACAATAATATACCACTACAGTAGGAGGCCGAACGGGAAGGAGTGTAGCCCAATTCCCATATCATAGCATTGACCAATTCAAAAGAAACCCATAAGTAGATCTCCTTTCCTTTGCAATGTTCCCGTAAGGCACAACTGTTGCCTATTTCAGGTGCGGTATAAGGACCTTCTCTCCACTAGATGATGTCAGGGACTCTAGCGTCTTCGACTTAAATGCATGATAGTGCACATAAATTTGGTGTTAGGAATAAACAAGATACACACACTAAAAGTCCTCACATTCCACCAAAAGTGGAAATCGTCATAATAGGAACCCTGGACGAAAAAATGGACGCACCATCATCACAACGTCCACCCCCTTCATCCCTATGGCACCTGGGGTCTGTCCCTTGCCGTACCAACCCACTTGTAAGGGGATCAGGCCCAGGAAGAGTTGTGATGAGCGATCCCAAGCCAACACCACTAAATCCCACCCCTGGTGCTAGAATAGAGGCAGCTGGAAGGGCTGCAGCAGAACCAGTGAAAGCTGTAGTGGAGGTTGCAGCGTCGACCTGAACAGTGGTTGTGACGGGGTTTGCAGATGCTGTTTGCGTCTGTGAGTTCTCCTGTTGCACGTTGGCGCTCCCCAGCCCTGTTCCGTCTTTCACGGCTCGAGCTGCTTGGTTGTTCACTGCCCCCTGATTGTTAATGCTTCCTGCATTGCCCAACTGAAACGGCAGGGAAGAAAGTTATGCAGAAGGTGGTCGTTTCTTCTCTGTTTTTAATCAAGGTACAGATGGACAAGGTGAAATACACGTTGCACCGCCTTTCCCCGTGAATTCTTACTTGTTTGTAGTAGACGTTTCCTGCACCCGGACCGACTTGTTTTCGGCTTAAGTGGCCATCCTGAAGGAAAAACAACCAGCAAAAAAGAAGTCCGGTTGAAACCGGCGGCTTGGTGCAGAGTCGGATAAAGAGGAGCAACGCCTGACCTCTATGACTGATCACAGCCGTCTACTAAAAATTGCACAAGGCGGAATACCAAGTACTAAACGAGAAGGAATTCAAAAAAGTTTAACGAGTAACGCACGAGAAGGAAGAAGACGTCAAAGTGCGCCCAATCGAGCCTCTTTGAGAGGTTTCCTTTGCCAGAACGAAGAGGACGGCCGTCGCCAAGTGATGACTGTAACAAGTAGAGAAACGTCAAGAGAAACTTGAAGCTTCGAAAACGGGGATTCATGACGGCGGCCTTATAGAGGCTTTCGTAGAGGCAAAGAACACCGAAATGGGACACAGATGACAGAAATACATCGTCCTTCTCATTACTGTCCCGGAATGACTAAATCTCCACATAATCGGGAGAAACGGGGAAGGGAGCAGAACAAAGAGCACGCTCGCGTTTCCTAATGCTCATGCGAGAAAATCGAAGTGCGAGCGGCGAGCTAATCAAGACGGGAACGAGTTTCCCTACTATCTGGTTTCCCTATTAGGTAAGGAGTTGTGCTGGCGGACTAATCAACCACGTTGTGTGGAGGAAATTGCTTGATATTACCACCGATGGGGCGCATATTTTCAGCTTGGGAACTTTGGTTCGAAAGGTTCAAGCGAAAAAAAGGCCCCTCTTGTAACCGAGTTGAGCTGCTCTGCCGCGCCAGATGCCCCAAAAGTGAAACCTGATTGGACTTGTGAGACGTAACCACTTCGAATCGAATTCTTCGCAGCGCAAAGATCGCCCAGTTTCAAGCAAGGGCAAATGTGCTCGGGTCTTCGTTGATTGTATCGCCGCACATTTTCGCCTTCAACGGCTGGCGAGTTGAAACTGTTTTGAAAGTGCCGTGCGAGAACCGAGTAACCGCTTTTGAACCGCTTCTCGGGAACTTCGCTCAGCAAAGCCTCGCGGAAATTGTGCAGCCTCCGCAATTTCGCAATTTATACCAAATCCCCTGCCGAAAGCCTAGCACTTTTCCGCATCCCAAGGAAATTCTTCACAGGAATCAGTCCTTCGGCAATGGCGCGAACGCAGCATTCTCGGTCATTGATTTGGCTCAAATTTAGGGAAATTATTGAAAAAATTCATGAGGTAGTATTCTTATTCGGTCTGTCGTTCTTCCTCGTAGCTGTTTTTCCATGCGCAGCTTCGTCAACAGAAGGACAGCAATTTGTAGCTGTTGATTCGGCTGCGCGACAGTGGCCAATGGTGGTGAACGTGTGGCCGTTTCTCGAGGCCAATAGCCGGGCATGGGAGGTGCTGAGACGTGGCGGGTCCGCACTGGACGCGGTGGTGGAAGGATGTAACGTGTGTGAGGTGCTTCAATGCGATGGATCAGGTGCCACGTCAGCATAATTTGTATATCAAGAGCCCTCCTTCAGCTTGCACCGACCACTTATCTCGTCCAATCTCCTTGTGTATCTTCCCCTTTGCCCCTTACAAGCCCCCCTCTCCTTTCCCTTCTTGTGCAAACCCTTCCCCCCTCTCCATTCCCTTCTCACACACTCCCTCCCCCGTGCTTTTCCCTTCAGTGAGGTATGGAGGAATTCCGGACGAGATGGGGGAATGATACGCGTGGTTGGATTCGACTCGTCACCGGTCCCCCTCCCTCTTCCTCCCCGCCCCATCCTTCTCTCTCCCCATCCTTCAGTGGGGTATGGAGGAAGTCCGGACGAGAAGGGGGAAACAACACTCGATGCCATGGTCATGGATGGGGTGAGACGGGATGACGTCATGGTCATGCATGGGGTGACATGAGATGACGTCATGGTCATGCATGGGGTGACATGAGATGACGTCATGGTCATGCATGGGGTGACATGAGATGACGTCATGGTCATGCATGGGGTGACATGAGATGACGTCATGGTCATGCATGGGGTGACATGAGATGACGTCATGGTCATGCATGGGGTGACATGAGATGACGTCATGGTCATGCATGGGGTGAGATGGGATGCGTGCGTGGCTGGCTTGCGCCAAGTCTGTCTCAAAAATCGTTTTTCCTTCTCTTGCCCCCTTGCCTCTCCTCTCTCCCCCCCCTCTTCCCCCACCCCTCACCCCGTTCCCCTTACCCCCCCCCCCCTCTCCTCTCCCCCCCAAGGACTCCATGGACGTGGGGGCAGTGGCATCCCTTGCCGAGTCAAGACTTTCCCAGTCTCTTCCCCCCATCTCTCCCCCCTTTCTCTCTTCCCCCTCTTCCCCCCCCCCCCTCTCAAGGACTCCATGGACGTGGGGGCAGTGGCTGGCCTGCGCCGAGTCAAGGCGGCAGTGCGGGCGGCCTATCTTGTCCTTTTGCACACGTACCACTCGCTGCTGGTCGGCGACGCAGCAACCGATTTCGCCCTGGAAATGGGCCTGCCCGGCCCGGAAAACCTCTCCACCAATCGCTCGCTCGCCATCTGGCGCCAATGGAAGGCCGCCAGCTGTCAGCCCAACTACTGGCGCAACGTGGCTCCTGATGCTGCCCGCTCCTGCGGGCCCTACCGGCCCGCTCCAGAAGCATCTGCTTCCGAACCACGTGGTGGTGAAACAGCCGAGCCTCAGGGGGGCGAAGCAGGTGCTGCACCTGGTGCCGGACCTGGTGGTGCCGGACCTGGTGGTGGCGCACCTGGTGCCGGACCTGCCACAGGAGCTGGTGCCGGACCTGGTGGTGCCGAACCTGCAACCGGACGTGGTGGTGTGAGCGTGGTGGGGTGTGATCCCAGCCTTGTTGGCAGGCAGCAGCAAGGGTCGTTGAGGAGCACAAGGCGGATGGCATCGCACGACACCATCTCCATGGTCGCCATAGCTCAGGTGGGGCGCGGTGGGGCGCGGTGGGGTGCGGTGCGGTGCAGTGAGATGGGGTGCTGTAGTGTGGGGTGAAAGGCTGGATGGGTGAGTGGGCTGTTGTGGTGGCAGGCAGGCAGCAAGGGTCATTGAGGAGCACAAGGCGGATGGCATCTCACCACACCATCTCCATGGTCGCCATTGCCCAGGTGGGGCGCGGTGCGGTGAGATGGGGTGCAGTGGGGTGAAAGGCTGGATGGGTGAGTGTTTGGTGTGGCAAAGTGACGCTGCTGTGGTGACAGGAAGCAAGGCTCGTTGAGGAGCACACAGCGGCGAGTGACTCATACACAACACCATCTGCATGGTCGCCATAGCACAGGTGGGGTGGGGTGCGGTGACAGTTGCTGGGCTGTTATTGCCCCAAGGGCCAGCCAAGACTGCTCTCCTGTGCCTGTTCTGATCTTATCTGATTTGATCCGATCTGATCTGATCTGATCTGATCTGATCTGATCTACAGACTCTTTTGAACTGCACTGCACGTGGACGTAAGCGCCCCACCATGCCCCCATATGTTTGACACCGTCACCTCATGTAAATACTATCATCACCCCATGTGTGTCACGTCATCAACCCATTACATGCCCATGCCATCAGAACGGCAGCATGGCTGCAGCAACATCCACCAATGGGCTCACCTTTCACATCCCTGGGAGGTACGGTGCAATCCGTGTCATGATACGCATGTCATCCCAACCATGCCATACCGCCCATGTCATCCCACCCATGTCATCCCACCCATGTCATCCCACCCATGTCATCCCATGTCATCATGCCCATGTTGACATACCTGTGTCCTCATACCCATAGTATCCTGCTCCCATCGCAGGAGCAGGTTCCAAATTGGACTTACTTACTCACCCACCCACTCACTCAAACTCTCACTCTGTCACTCACAACCCCTCTATCCTTGCTCTTCTCTCCAGGGTGGGTGATGCACCCATAGCGGGGGCAGGAGCATATGTGGACTCTAGAGTGGGGGGGTGTGGGGCAACAGGCGATGGTGACGTTATGATGAGGTTCCTGCCATGGTATGCTGACGTCATGGCCGTGTGCTTACTGATAACTCAGCACTTGCTGACATCACTTTATTTCGCATGGAAACCAATACATGGATTTTTCACGTAAACACATGTTCGATAGAGCTTATCCCCTCTCACTCCTCCGTACCCCTCCCCTCCACTCTCCGCCACTGATTCCTTTCTTGCTGCTTTCCCTTTGTTGCTCTTCCCTTCAATATTTCGCTCTAGCAGTGGAACTCATGCGAATGGGCTCTACCCCAGCCTCCTCTCTTCCATCCCATTGTCCTTCCTCTCTTTCTCCTCTCCCACATTCCTCTCCCCTTCACTATTTCAGCTTCCTAGCAGTCGAGCTCATGCGAATGGGCTCTACTCCAGCTTCGGCTGCCGAAGCTGCCATCAGTCGCATCCGAGCCAAATTCCCAACCTTTGTGGGAGGCTTGGTGGCGGTCAACAGGTTCGGGGAGCATGGAGCAGCAGTGAACAACTGGGTGCTACAGTACACTGTAGCTTCGCCTCTAACTGATGGTACACCAAGAGTGTTTACGGTTCATCCCAAGTGTTGAGGAATTGCTTCAAGTTTAGTTTCAGTAGTTCAACACTAATTAAGTATTACAGTAGTACAGTACCTGTTTGTTTGCTTTCTGTGGCGAGTAGTTGTTGATAGGTATCATCTTACCTGTCATGTCAACATTACTTGTATGATGCTATAGGGGATGTACCAGTATCTGCTATAAGCATGAGGTTAAGCAAGCAGCGCTACGCCTATCGTTGACTCCAAATCCCTCAAAGATCTTAACCCACAAACTCTTCGAAAACCTACTGCACTACGCGTTGAGGGGACCCGACGTAACAATGACTCCAGGGAGCATATCCCTGATCAATTCTTCGACCTCGTACGAATCAGTTGCAACCTTTTGGAGGCACTTAAGGCCCTTGAGCCACTTCATGCCTGAAGCAGTGATGCTCGCATCCCGCAGCGACAGCTTCTCGAGCAGTTTCATATTCCTCAAGTGCTTGATCCCCGAGTCCGTCACTCCCGGAGGCAGCATGAAATACTTGAGAGACGTGAGGCCAGTCAGATGCTCCAGCCCATCCTCTGTCACTCCACTCCCATTCAGCGTAAGCCACTCCAGTGCCGTCATTTTACCCACATCCACCATGCTCGCAGATGTGACCGACGCACACCCGGCTATGCACAGCGCGGTGAGCGCAGACAGCTCTTGCAGCCTCGCCACTCCCGCATCGGTGATCCTGGTGTGATTGGCAATAAAGACGCTCAGGCTCTTCAGCTGGCCAATGCCTTCCAGGGCAGCATTAGTCACGCCAGGGGTGCCCAGCTCCAGACGAAGCAGGCCTTTGAGAGAGTAGAGTTTCCGCATTCCTGCTGCGGTGAAGCCGGAGGAGCCTCGGAGGTTGAGGGGGGTGAGGGAGTGCAACGAGGTGAGGCGCGTGAGAGCCGCGTCAGTGAGGCAGGAAATGCCGGAAAGGTCCATTTGAGTTTGGTCTGGAGCAGCTGCCGCCCACAGCGTGAGCATTGCCTGCAAGTAGGGAAAACAAAGGCAGACGCGGACATGTCTATTTCTGAGGCGCCTCAAATGAGACGATCTTTTAGGCCCCTCAAACAGCATTTGGGTTTGGCCTGGTGCAGCTGCCGCTTACGCGTGAGCATTGCCTGCGGGTAGGGCAAGTAAAGGCAGACGCGACGCAAGAATGACGGAAAGACAGCCACAAGCGGGTACGTCACAAGTGAGGGCGATGTGGCTCGGGTGTGTACGTACCACCAGCCACTGATGACCATATTACAGCAGCACGTGTAAGCAAGAGGCAAGCCACCAGTTCTATCGTGCTGCCAAAAACATAGAAGTCAAATCATCGAACCACTCACCTCCCATATCATCTTCCCTTCGCCACTCGTCTTCTCCAGCTTCGCCACTTTGCATGCCAGTGAGTCCACCCGGCCCTTCAGCTCTTGCCGTTCAACCTCCCATTTCGTATCGTCCGCTGCATCCCGCTTTTGAATAGAAGCAGAAGATTCGAGCGCTGGTAGTGCACCTCCGCAAGCAGCGGCATCGGGAGAACCACCTGGTTGTGCCATCTCGTCCCCCTTCCCTGCCTCCTCCCTCTTCCGCCTCTTCCCCTCGCGCCCCTCCGCGCCCGCTTGTTCCCTCGCGCTGGCGTCGGCGTCGCTGCGCTCGGCGCGCGGCGCGTCCTTCTCCCGCGGCGCGTCCTTCCACTCCGCCGCCGCCAGCTCCACGTCGTTCATCCGCGCGTCAATGTGCGCCGCCGTCGCCTTCACCTCCGCGATCTCCGCCGCCTGCCGATTAACCATCGCCTTCACCTCGCTCGCCGCGCCCCTCGCCTCGCCTTTCGCCGCTTCTAACTGCTCCTTAAATGTGTTTTGAGACGTCTTAAAACAAACTTTCGCCGCCTCCAGCTGCTCTTTCAATCCTCGCACTTGCGACTCGAGCTCGTCCCGCACGTCCTTCACCCGCGCCGCGATCATGGCCTCCACCAGGGCCATAAGCGCCTCGCCCTTCTGCGGCGGCGGCGGCTGCGCTGGAAGGCCGTCCGCGTCCTTTCCCGCTGCCGCACCGCCTGCGTCGTGGTCGTCCCCCGCTCTCATCAACTCCAATGCCCCTTTCGCCAACGCGCGCCTCATTTCGTCCACCTCTCGTTTCAAAGCAGCCATCGCCTCCCCTTGCTTCTTCACCTGCGCTTCCAACTCATCCGCTCGCTCTTTAACGTCTACGGTTATTTTCCCCATCTCTCCCGCTGTTTCCGCTTGTTGCACTTTCACAACTGCTCCGTTTAGCCTCAGCTCTACCCCTCCCATCATCACCATTTGCAACTTCGACCGTACAAGTCGAACTCGAAAACGACCGTACGAGGAAAGCTGGAAGCTGGAATGAGGTCTGAGCTGAGGCTGTTGAGTTGGGAGTGCTTTGGGGAGCGGAGTGTTTGACCTCGAAGTTTTTTTCCAAATGATGGATGTTGGATTTAGTGGCTTGCTGGTCGCTAGCTAGCTTGAGAGCAGGCTCGTCTTCGTGTCGGGTTGGGACATCACGAAACCAAACCAAACATTCAAATGAACAACCTTCATTCCACACACATTTCTGTCTTTGGAACACATTGTTGTGTACAATAAACCGCTTTGCAACTCGTCGTTACCGTTCAATAACCCAGAAAACAGCCAGGACTCAAATTTCGGACACGCGTTCCGAATTCAGGAGCAATTTCGTGAGTATCACTCCTGTGAACCGGATCCATCTCCTGGGATCGCGCTGGTACTTCCCGCTAGGAACCACTTACTCGTCCGGGCGATTAGCAGCTGCTCGACCTTAGGATTTTTAGGTTCCTACGAAGAGTTTTCCATCACGAAGAACACGAGCGGTTCTTAGAATTGGCAATATACTAGGGTCTTAAAACGGCGATCCGCTCAACGAGCCGCGAGTTGTTGACCTTGAACCTGCATTCGGCTCCTCTGCTGTTCACCATGGCGTGTGTTGTTTCTTCATCCCCATCAGTCATTTCGATCCGAGGCCTCGACTACACGCAGATCTGTCTCCGTCCTTGCGTATCCCTTGATAAGAACCACGTGTTTTCTGTCAGATTTGTTTTTCCATCATGGTCGAGCCTGTACCAGCTCAGATTCGGCCCATTGGACCACTCCTCACGGAAATCCTTCGTCAGGATTCGAACCCCTGACCGGAGAGTTGCGGTCAGATGCAATGCTAAAAACTCTTCCGTGGCAGCAGACTCTCCTGAGACGGAGGACGCAAACTTTAGATTTGAACCGACGGCCGATGACAAGGCGAACGTTGGGGCGGAGTTTGAGACGCGCGGTGTGGGGAAAGTGGAGGTGGGTGCTGATAGAGAAGTTGGGGAAAAGCAGGGGGTAACAAGTGAAGTTGGGGGTAAGAGGGGTGGGAGGAGAGCAGGCAAGGCGAAAGCAAGAAGCGAAGGAAGCGGGAGTAAGAGCAGAGAGGGAGAAGCATCAGAGGAGGAGCGGGAGGCAGTGGCAGTGATTGCGCAAGCGCTGATGGAGAAATACGGACCTCAGATTGTGAAAGAGGAGGAGGCGGGGGAGGAGGGGATTGGGAACGGAAGGAATGAGGGGCGGGAGGAGGTGGAAGGAGAGGCAACAGCGGTGGTAAGGGCAACAGCGGCGGCGGCAGCGGCGGCGGCGGCGGCCGAGGAGGAGGATGGGATGGGCACAGAAGTGAAGGAGGAAGAAGCGGAAGCAGAAGCGAGTGAGGAGGGTTCACCGAGTGATGAGGGTTCACCAAGCATGACATCTCGTCCCACACGTGCAACCTCTCGCTCCTCCCTCCTCTCCCTCTACCGCTTCTTCTCCTCCCACCTCGGCATCTCCTCCCCTTCCACTGTCGCTTCCATTCTCGCCTCCAACCCCCAACTGCTCCGCTCCAATCCCACGAATGAGTTAATGCCACGTGTCCGCCTCCTCCAGTCGTTTGGCATATCCGATGCTGACATTGTCAACATCACTGTGAAAGGAGCAGCCTGGCTACGAATTTCCATTCAACAGATTCAGAACACCCTTGAGTTTCTTTTGGCTAAGGGCGTCCGCCGAAGCAGATTGGGCTTGGTGCTCCGACGTGGACGCAATCTACTCTGCTCAGAGGCTCGTTCAACGAACCTGGACATTCTGGTGGAGAGAGCAGGGGTTCCTGTGGACAAACTGGGTGTGATTATCCGGCCATCTTGACTCGAAGCAAAGAGGCGGTGAACATACAGCTTGAGACGTTATCATCTTATTCTAAACCGAGATTTGGAGGAAAGGTAGAAGCAGATAGCACCAGCACAAGCTTCCTGAAGCAGCAACTAGATGAGCCGCAGTCCTTGACTTCCTCAGACACCCCTTTCATTGCCTCTTTGCTTTGGCAAGCCCCCACCATCCTCAGTCTTTCCACAGAAACTCTTTTAGCTAAGCTCCGGTTCTTTGTGGATCTGGTGGGGGAGGAGGCAGCAGGAAGAGTGTTGAGGAGCCACCCGACGGTTCTGAAACTATCGAAGGAGAACCTGCAAGGCAAGGTGGCGGTATCGGCTGATTTGATTGGCCGAGAGAATGCTGTGAGGGCGGTGGCAAGATTTCCTACACTGATGAGTTCTAGTGAAGATGCAATCAGGGAAAGTTTTGGAGAACTTGTGCGAGAAGTGAAAGAGGCATTGGAGAGCAGTGGAGAAGTGGGAAGTGGGAGGCAAATGTTGGGGTATGGTGATAGAGGTAATTGTTTGTTTAGCGTCGAGAGATGCAGGGCTCATCGATTGGTGGTGGATCTGGTTATGAGGTACCCGTCGTCTATCCATTACTGTTGGAAAGCGAACCTGAAGCCCAAGATGGAGTACTTGAAACGGGACATGGGGCTCTCTATAATGGAGGTTATTGCATACCCTTCTTTTCTTGGGTTCAGTTTGGATCGGCGAATCAAACCGCGACATGTGGCACTGGTGCGAATGGGCTATGAGGTTGTGGCGCGAGAGATGGCCAGTCGGACGAGTGTTGGAGCTGAGAAACAAAGGAGCAAGCTGGATTCTGTGTCTACCATTGCGGAGGGAGTAGAGGGCGAATGGGGAGCGGAAGAAAGAAAGAGTGGACCGTTGCTTGGGGTTGTTTTGAGCAATGCCGAGTTTGGGAAGAGAGTTGTTTCAGAGCAGCAGCTTGTGAACTTGGAGGCGACTAAGAAAACGGTGTGCTTGCAGCAGTTTCTCCAATGTGCAGACGAGCTGTTCGAGAAGAAGTTTGGGGCCAAACTGTAAGGCTGGTGTTGACGGGCTTCTGTGGCTTCCTATGAGTGATAATGTACATTTTTCTGGGGATGGGGAGAGGGGCGTGTTAGCAGGTAGAAACAATAGCTGGTGGACGGCAATTGCAGCAGGGATGGTAGGATGTCCTGTTCTATGGGCTCTGCTTTTCTCTCTTGTTTCTCTTAAACCAGGTGCTGGGGGGGGGAGAAGGGGTATTAGCAGAACTAGCAGCAGCGGCAGGAGCAGGTGGGGGAGGGAATGTTGTGAGCGCTACAGCCTTGTTGCTGGGTTCCTTGTTGCTGCTGGATGGGACTGGCGGGGGTGTAGCTGCTACAGCTGCCTCTGCCACAGCTGCCTCTGCTACAGCTGCCTCTGCTACAGCTGCCTCTGCTACAGCTGCCACGGCCATCCCCCTGCTGGACCTGCTACAGCTGTTCCTGTGGGTGGCAGTGTCGCCGGCTGTAGCAGAGGAGCTGCTGTTCAGAGGGCTGCTGCTGACGGCCCTGCCAGAGAGGCTCGGCATGTGAGAGGCTTGGCAGGAGGCTCAGTAGTGAGATGCAGTGCGGTGCGGTGGAAATGTTTGACACTTAGGTGTAATGCGGTGCAGACTGTACAGCGGTTTTATGACGCGATTGAGACATTTGTGTCCAGAGCGGAATGTACCCTCATACCGTAAAGGCGATGAGATACAAGATCACAACTTACCGTAAACTGAAACGCTGCTTTTTTCGAGGTAGCTTGAAGCTCAATCGTGCGAGCATCAGCATTGAATCTTTCGCTGGGCAGCAACCACTGTTACAGTAGTTGGCGAATACAGCTTCGGAGCGGAGGTCCTTTCGTTCGGTCAAAATCTCACGCCTGCGCGAAAAGTTCTAGTTAATCTTGAGGGCATTTGCTAAAAGAACCTGCTCAACCACTCCGTATGCCAGTTTGACAGTTTGTAAACGCACAGCACCTGATCAAGCCGCACGGCTTGACCTTTGTGATCGTCACACTCGTCTCGTCGGTAGCCTCAAGGAACCCAGGTTTCCAGCATTGAATCAGAGGGGATCACTGTCATGGAGCAGCTAGATGCTTGTGATGCTAGGTTCTAGTCCGTGCACGCGAAGCTGACTTCACGATTCGCGTCGCCAGCCAGCCAAGGTCAGCGAGGGTTCAGGCATACACGAACAATGGGAAGCGTTAGACGAATTCGACAAATGCAACGAAATAAACGAAATCATGAACTTCTACGCCGCCTCGCGAAGATCAGCTCGCCGATCGCTATGGCTAGTACTACCGCATACGTCACGGCCATTCGTAGATCGAATTTCCAGATATATTTCTCGTGAGACATCTCAAACGCACCGAGTACTATCAGGATCTTCGGTTTGTTGCTTGCCAAGCCTCGATCGGATCGGCGTAAATCCAAACGAACCTGCGCGGAACACGTCTTTTCAACTCCGAAACCCAAGCCGAAGCTTTGAGTCGCCTCAAGAGTCCTTATCATCCCAAGGCCGAAGCTTCGCCGCATGGTCTGCTGCTGGTGCGTCTTTCAGGCCAGCAGACGCAGAAGCTTTCGAGGCGGAGACTGCTATCTCTGGGTCGAAATCACTTTCCAAAATCAACCCTCAAGTAGCGGTGCATGCGGAGCTTAAAACGAGTACGGTGAAGGACGAGGAGAAAAGGGATGGGGGACGAGGTCAGAGGAGCACTAGGAAAGTGGAAGGGAGAGAAAAGGGAGGTGGGGATGGGAGGATTGAGAGGATAGTAGCTGGGATTGAAGCGGGGAATGCAGGGGGGAAGAGTGAGGAAGGCGGGAGGAAGAGCTACGGGAGGAAAGGTTGCAAGGAGGAGGAGGAGGAGGCGGTGGCAGTGATAGCTGGAGTGCTGAGAGATAAGTTTGGTCCTCAGATTGTGAGAGAGGAGGTAGAGGAGTGGGGGAGTGGGAAAGGAAGCAGCGAGGACGAAGAGAAGGAGGAAGTAGAGGAGGAAGAAGAGGAGGCAGAGGGGGGTGTAGAAGGAGTTGGGGAGGAAGAAGAAGTAGAAGCAGAAGCTAGTGAGGAGGACGCTGCTGGCGCCACATCTCCTCTCACACCCCTTCCTTCTCCACTCAACAGCCGGCGGGTCGTATCTCCCTCCTCCCTCCTCTCCCTCCACCGCTTCTTCTCCTCCCACCTCGGCATCTCCTCCCCTTCCACTGTCGCTTCCCTCCTCATCTCTAAGCCCCAACTCCTACGCTCCAGTCCCACCAATGACCTCTTTCCACGTGTCCGTCTCCTTCAGTCATACAGCATATCTCGTGCCGACATTGCCTTCATCACTGAGAAAGGACCAGCCTGGCTCCGAGTCTCCCTTCCACAGATTCGATACACCCTTGAGTTTCTCGTGGCCCATGGCGTCCACCGTAGGAAATTGGGCATGGTCCTCCGACTTGACTTTTGAGTCGACTCAAAAGTCACCTCGTTTCTCGTGGCCCATGGCGTCCACCGTAGGAAATTGGGCATGGTCCTCCGACTTGGATGGAACTTACTCTGCTGTGAGCCACATTCATCGATCCTGGACATTTTGGTGGAGAAAGCAGGGGTTCCTGTGGACAAGCTGGGTGTGATTATAGAGAGATGCCCGTCCATCTTGAATCGGAGAGAAGAGGTGGTGAGTACTCAGCTTGACGCATTATCAGCCTATTTTAACACGGGGTGTGGAACTAAGGTAGAAGCAAGCAGTACCAGCACAGGCCTCCTGCAGCAGCAACAAGATGAGCCGCATCTGGACACAAGCCACCTAAGCAGGCTTATCGTTAACTGTCCTGCCATCGACACTCTTCATCCCTATCACATCGCAGAGAATATCGCCATTCTCCAGTCCTTCACTCCCCCAGGCACCCCCTCCATTGCCAGCTCTGTGCTCCGTCGTGCCCCCAGCATCCTCAATTCCAGCAAAGAAGCTCTCTTAGCTAAGCTCCAGTTCTTTGTGGAGCTGGTGGGGGAGGAGGCAACGGGAAGAGTGGCGAGGAGCTACCCACACGTTCTTGGCCTATCGAAGGAGAACCTGCAATGCAAGGTGGCGGTATTGGCTGATTTGATTGGCCGAGAGAATGCTGTGAGGGCGGTGACTCGTTTTCCTACACTAATGAATTCCAGTGATGATGGCCTGAGGGAAAGTTTCAGAGAGCTTGTACGAGAAGTGGAAGAGGCATTGGAGAGCAGTGGAGAAGTGGGAAGCGGGAGGCAAAGGTTGGGGATAGGTGATAAATGTATTTTTTTGGAAGGGGAAAATGATTCTCGAGCACTAAGTGTCAAGAGATGCAGGGCTCGTCGGTTGGTGGTGGATATGGTTGTGAGGTTTCCGCCGTCTATCCATTACAGTTGGAAAGCGAACCTGAAGCCCAAGGTGGAGTACTTGAAACGAGACATGGGTCTCTCTGTGGTGGAAATGCTAGCCTTTCCTGCCTTTCTTGGGTACAGTTTGGATCAGCGAATCAGACAGAGGCATAAGGCACTGGTGCGAGTGGGGTATGAGGTTGTGGCACACGAGATGGGCAGTCGGACGAGTGTTGGAGCTGAGAAACGAAGGAGCAAGCTGGGTTCTGTTTTCGATGTGGAGGGAGTAGAGGGTGGAAAAAGAAAGAGTGGACCTTTACTTGGGGTTGTTACAAGTAATGACGAGCTTGGGGATAGAGCTGCTGCGGAGCAGCAGCTTGTGAATGTGGAGGCAACAAAGAAGATGGTGTGCTTGCGCCAGTTTCTCCAATATACAGACAAGCAGTTTGAGGAGAAGTTTGGGGTCTCACTGTAGGGATCGTGCTGATGGACTTCTGTGGCTTTCAATGAGCGATAATGCAATTTTTTCCAGGATGGGGAGAGGGGAGTGTTAGGGTGGGGGGGAACGATAGCTGGTGGAAGGCAGTTGTAGCAGGGGCGGTAAGGGGTCCTATTCTATGGGCTCTGCTTTTCTCGCTTGTGTCCCTTAAAACAGGTGGTGGAGGAGAGGTGGCAGGGGTATTACCAGAACTAGTGGCAAGCAGCAGGAGCATGAGCAGCAGGAGGAGGCGGAGGGGATAGCGTGAGAGCTAGGGCCTTGTTGCAATGTCATTTGTTGCTGCCTGATGGGACCGGAGGGGATGTGGTTGCTACAGCTGCCGCTGCTACAGCCACTGTGGCCCTCCCCCTGCTGGACGTGCTACAGCTGTTTCTGTGGGTGGCGGTGTCACCGGCTGTAGCAGAAAAGCTGCTGTTCAGAGGGCTGCTGCTCACGGCCCTGCAAGAGAGGCTCGGCAGGTGAGAGGTTGGCAGGTGAGAGGCTTGAGGTCTGGCAAGAGGTTAGCTTTTGTTCTAAGTTGGGTAATTTCCACACCTCACCAAGTACAGTCTTTCCCAGCAATCCAATTCCATAAGGTTTGGTGATTCTTTTCTTACCCTTGCCTGCCATGGTACATATCAGCCTGTCATGGTACATATCAGCCTGTCATGGTACATATCAGCCTGTCATGGTACATATCAGCCTGTCATGGTACATATCAGCCTGTCATGGTACATATCAGCCTGTCATGGTACATATCAGCCTGTCATGGTACATATCAGCCTGTCATGGTACATATCAGCCTGTCATGGTACATATCAGCCTGTCATGGTACACCTCAGCCCGTCATGGTACATCACAGAACTGAAGTCAATAAGTCAACGCGAATAATGCTTGTCAACTCAAGTCAGCAGGCCAAGACTTGTTTTGACTAACTCAACTTTCTGCCCTATCCCCGTCCTGCCTCTCTCTCCCTCAGGATCGATGCTGCCATGCTGTCTGCAGCCCTCTTTCGCCCTCTTCCACCTCTCCCTTTCACTGCTCTTCCCCAACATGGCCCTTGGGATTGCCGCCGACCTGATCGTCATCCACTCCAATAACGTGCTACCAGCTGTCGCCCTGCACACCACTTTTGGAACAATGCATCTGCTCTCTCTATGCACTCATGGCTATGGCTGCTGCTTCTGTTTAGCAAAGAAGTGCCTGTGTTCTCGCGGATGTCTTTCAATATGTTATGGAGCACATTGCACAGAAATAGTTGTACCGCATATCATTTTTCCAGAAGCCAGGTATGGCAGGCCAGGAATCAGCAAGTAGAGGTTTCTTGTCGTGCCTCCTTAGTGGCTGTGGACCACATGACAGCTGGTGGAGAAACTATAGCAGAAGTGGTAATTTACTATATGTCTTGGTGTTTTAAATCCACATTGGGTAAATATTGAGTGCGTAAAAAAACACTATACCGGCACATAGCACGGTAAGGATTGAGGTGGCCGTGGGGGAAAAGGTGCCTCACTATCTAGTATTCAGGATTGTACAGCGGGGATCATGGACACACATACACCCAGCGATGCTCCCTCCAATACGGCATTAAACCACAACAGCTAAACTACTGACGCAGGGCTTGCGGCGGCTGCGCCCCGTGCCCAAGGGGCCATGCGTGGGTATGAAGGAGAAGGTGAGTCAGTGCATGTGGCTCCACATTATCAATCACAAAGCCCCCAGAAGCAAGCCAAACCAACCACTCCCTGCAGATCAAACTACAAACTCAAGGCTACTAGCGCAGGGAATGTGATGGTTGTGCCCCGTTGTCAAGGGGCAATGCATGAGTGTGAGGGAGCAGGTGAGGCCGTGCGTGCGGCTCCACATTGTCAATCACCACAACACCCCTACCAGCCAGCCACTCCCAGCAGTGACTAGTCAGCTACTGCAGGGCCTGTGGCTGCTGCACACCGTGCCCAAGAGGCCATGCGTGGGTGTGAGGGAGCAAGTTCGCCTGTGCACTTCTCTCCACATTCTCAATCACAACGCCCCGAGCCGCCAGCCATTCACGACACAGCTCCCGGACCTTAGGTGCGTTCCGAGCCTCATGCATGATGAAAATCACATCGTTGATGCGACTCTGTAACGGGTACACCGACCCAAACCCACCCCCACCGCTGCTGCTGCTGCCGCCGCCAGTGTTGGTGCTGCTAGCACTGGCAGCAGCAGGAGTTGCAGCACCAATGAGTTGAGACTGGAAGTGGCCCGTGGCGATCTGAAAGGCCAGGCGCAGCCTGCGACATGCCACGTTGAAGAGAACCTTCCTGGCAGGTGGGAGGGGGATTTGGAGAGGCATGTGCAGGGTGGATAAAGGAGTTAGCACAAGGCTAGTTATGCTAACTGACTCACTTCAGCAAAACAAACTCCTTCTGTTAAGTGACTTACTTTTGCTAATAGACATACTTAGGCTAATTGACTCACTTATGCTCGTCTGACAGCATATGAATAAGTCGGTCGATCTGTTCCTTGGGCAGCTTCACAGATCGAGACATGTCTTGCCGCCCGGTGAAGGTCAGGGAGAGAGTAGAGAGCTTGACAGCGGTGTGGGTGTAGACCATCACTGCTGCTCCAATCACCTGAGGACACGTGTGCAAATGGGAGGATGGCGGAAAAACAATGGCAGGAATCAGGGTTGCAGGTAGTGAGGTATGTGAGGTATGTGAGGTAGTTGGGAGAAAGAGAGCTTTGGCACCATGGGTGGCTGGGAGCTTTGACAACTCTCACAACAATGAACCCAACAACCCTGGTTGGCACATCTCCCAACTCACAGCTCACCTCATCCAAGACAGCCGGAGGCAGCATGTATTTGATCCGGTCCATGAGCCCCTCTAACAGCAGTCACAGTCAGTACGCCCCTTGCCATGCATTTAACAAGTACGCATATTCTCACCCATCCATGTCAGCGGGTGGCAGCATGTACTTGATCCGGTCCATCAACCCTTCAAACAGCACACGGTGCTGCTTCTTTCTCAAAAGGAGAGAGAGTGAGTGACAAGTCTAGATGCGGTACTGAAGAGAAGAGACAGTAAAGTCTTACCTCATCCATGTCAGCGGGCGGCAGCATGTATTTGATCCGATCCATGAGCCCTTCAAACAGCACGCGGTGCTGCTGCTTCTCCGCCAGCGAGGCTGCCACGCTGGCGTAGATCTGCACGGCTGGCAGGTGCAGGAAGTTTATCACCTCCAACGCCAGGTCAAACTCCCGCTCCACTAGGAACTCTGTCACTTCAACCCGCCGCCTGTTGGTGGGGTGCAAAAGATAGAAATAAGCATCTGCACGGCTGGCAGGTGCAGCAAGTTGATCACCTCTAGCGCAAGGTCGAACTCCCGCTCCACTAGGAACACTGTCACTTCAACCCGCTGCCTGTTGAGAAGGAAGAAGAGGAGAAAAGCCAGGGGACATGATCAGCCAGTGCACGGGAGCAGGTGCAGGAAGGCGATTACCTCCAGCGCCAGCCAGGTCGAACTCGCGCTCGACCAAAAACTCAGTCACCTCCACACGGCGCCTGTTGGTGGGGGAGACAGGGGAGCAAGGCAGTGACATGATCGGCCAGTGCGCCTTCGCGGCTGGCAGGTGCAGGGAGTTGATCACCTCCAACGGCAGGTCGAACTCGCGCTCGACCAAAATTTCGGCCACTTCAACCCGCCGCCTGATGGTGGGGGAGACAGGGGAGCAAAGCACAGACATGATGCGCCAGTGCATGTTCACAGCTGGCAGGTGCAGGAAAGTGAACCATCTCAATTGCCAGGTCGAACTCCCGGAACTCTGTCACTTTGACGCGGAAACATGATGCAGGGGAAAGATGCAGGGGCAACAGAAGTCGTAGGAAAGAATCAGGCACAGATCTGCACGGCTGGCAAACCCACATTCCATCATCACACCCAAACACATTCCCATACACATACTCTCCCAAACACAATATCCCATACACGATTTCCCTGACACGCGCTCACTTGTTTGTCCATCCGTCATTGGGCGCAGCAAACATTTCATATTTTTTAGTTGACTCAATTCTCTTTGAGTCTTCTCAAAAATAGGATACACGCTCTTCCAAACACACACTCACTTGTTCGTCCGGCCATCGCTGGGAGCACCAAAGAGCGCCACGCTCCACGGCGCCTTCCTGGCCGCTCCCACGAGAGGCAACCACACACTCCCTCACATACTCCCTTGCATGCTCTCCCAAAGAGCCACTCACTTGTTCGTCCGGCCATCGCTGGGAGCACCGAACAGCGCCACGCTCCAAGGGGCCTTCCTCGCCGCTCCCACGAGAGGCACGCCGCTGCTGTCCCTGCCACTGCCCGCCCCCACCACCCGCACCACCTCCACCTGCAGCTCTGCCAGCCGCTGCAGCCGCAGCAGATCTTCATCCGATATCTTTGCTGTCGCCGCCCGCTGCTTGCCGATCAGCGCCAGGCTGGCAGCAGCACTGGCAGCTGCGCTGGCGGCAGTGCTGCTAGTGCTGGTGGTGGTGCTGCTGGGAGTGGTACCTGCTCCAGATATACCTGCCCCTCCTGCAGCAGCTGAGCCTACCCCAGTTCCACCTGCAGCAGAAGTGCCAGCAGCAGCGGAGGAGGAAGAGGAGGCGGCAGAGACGGCGAGTCTCTTGCCGGCAGCAGCAAGAGGGCCGATCGATGCTGCCAGATCCGCTGCTGCGTGCTGCCTGGCCTCCGTGCCTTTCTCAAATAGCAGCTGGGGAGAGCGGGACGGGAGGGATTTGAGAAGGAAGAGGAATTGATACCCAGTCAAGAGTAGCAAGCGCATTGCAGCTGCTTGCCAGGTCTGCTGCTGCGTTCTGCCTGGCTTCTGTGCCCTTCTCAAAGAGCAGCTGAGGAGGGGCATAGGAGAAGGAAGGGTCAGCAGATACAGAAAAAGTGAATCTGGGCATGGCATGTAAATCTGCAAAACCACCCACCCAGACACTCAGACAAACAGACACCAAAAGTGAGACAGACGAAGGACCAGCTGTGACCAGCTTTCTCCAACCTGTGCCCTGTTCAAGCCAAAACTGCCCTGTCCCACCCACCTGTGCCTGCTGCAGGTGCGTTGCTGCGGTGCGGAGGTCAGGCGAGTAGAGGAAGAGCTGGATGCTGCACAGCCCTGCTGCCACGTAGTCCCTGGCTAGCAGCTGAGAGAGTGAGAGGGGGGGAGGCGGGTGGAGGGGTTGAGGGCGGAGAGGGAAGAGGAAGGGAGGTAAGCACTGGGATCAGAAAGAGGAAGAGCTGGTTGCTGCAAAGGCCAGCTGCCACGTAGTCTTTGGCTAGTAGCTGAGAGAGGAGCAGGGAGAATGGGGGAGGGGAATGCGGAAGAACAGAAGGGACTGGAATAGTTAGGGAGGTTTGGATGTTGTTACATTGTCCCTGGCTAGAAGCTGACGAAGAGAAAGGTAAAAGTGGCGATTGGTCTACCGGCCTAAAACAGAGAGGAGGCATTCTGCATATCTGCTAAACGTTGTTGTTCCTTGGCTGATGTCTGACGTAGGTAAGAAATCCACAGCGTAACTCAGGCTAACTTGGGCTCACCACAAATAAAAGAGAGTGGATTGTTATTTATTCCTTCTTCCTTATGAAATTGAAGGCCCTATGAGTCATTAAGGGAGCGACCATAAAAAGAGGGAGGAATGCAGCTTACCAGGAATGGGAAGAGGAAGGGAAAAAAAGAAAGGGACGATTGGAGCTTACGAGGAATCGAAAGAGGAAGTGGAAGTTCTTCTGAGACTCGAAGAATGTGCAGATGCGGGAAAGAGCGGCCAGGAACTTGACACTGCCACTCGCCCATGCTGCTGACACTGGCGATGTTGCTGCTGCTGATGATGGTGCAACAGATATCACACTCCAACCAGCAGCAGCACCACCACCAGATGCAGCAGCACCAGTACCACCAGCACCATTTGCTCCTCCTGCCGCACTCCCTCCTAGCGCCTCTGCAACCACTCTTTCCAGCACCTCAACAGCTCCGTACGTCACACACAGGGCGCACAGCTCTTCCACTGTAGCGTACTCTGACTTTAACGGATCCCAGTCTAATAACGAGGACAGGGTGGGCCGAGCTGGGCTGAGTGAAAAAGCGGGTGGCTGAGGTGCCAGGGGGTTTGAGAGAGAGGCGGTGGCAGTAGTGGTGGTGCTGCTGTTGTTGGTGGTGTTGTGCTCGGGTGTGGATGAGAGAGAGGGGGAGGAGGAGGAAGGGTGGGGAGAAGGAGGGAAGAAGAGGAGCCAGCAGGCAGAGCGGTAGCGACCGTGCCTGAACATGAAGGGGAGGAGATCCCGAGGGGCATGCTGCAGGGGAGACAGAAGGGGAGATCGTGAGACAAAGAGAAAATAAACCAGGCAGGTATGACCATACGAGTGTCAGGAGAGACAGACAGGAGCCAAGCTTGGGTAATCAATAAGTCAGTGTTTGTAGACGTAGACTACCCAAGCTAGGGCTTTGAAAGGAGGTAGCCACGTAAGAGCTACAACAACTCAGGGTAAAATCAAACAAGGCGTAGACTACAGACGTGCAGAAGCACTACACGATGGGAAACAAAAGGAAAACGAAGAAAAAAGTCCCAGCCACTCACTCTCTTGAGCAGCTGAGTGCACTCGTTGAACCTCTCATCATCCAGGTACGAAAACGTCTCCCTCTCCTCATCCTCCACCACTGCAACCCCCTCCCCCTGCCCCTCCCCTCGCCCCTCCCTCCCTTCTCCCTGCCCCTCCCACTGCCCCTCCTTTTCTTCCCCCAGCCCCTCCCCTCGCCCCTGTGAACTCTCTTCGCCCTGCCCTGACCAAGCCGAACCCTGCGCGTCAAACGCAGACTGGCGGGAATACAGGCTTGATCCTTCTCGCCCTCCTCCCTGTCTCCCTTGGTTAAGAGGCAGAGTAGCAGGAGGGGGCATGGCCCCTAGGATTGGAGAAATACCAGCCAAAGCGGCAGCAGCAGCAGGACTCGCACCAGAGAGGTTACTAGCAGCAGCACCGGAAGCAGATGCAGGGGGTGGTGCTAAGGAGGATGGGCGGGATGAGGAGGAGGAGGAGGAGGAGGAGGGGCGGAGAGTGGGAGAGCTGAAGAGAGTGGAGGTGGAGGTGAGAGCACCGAGGTAGGACTCTGCTGTGAGGGAGTCCTGGAAAGAATCTGCTACCGCCTTTTCTGTCTGGGATAGACTGAGAGGTGGGGGAAGGGAAGGGAAAAATAACGTTGACTTAAGTTAACCTGACTCCGTTGGAAGGAGGTGGAGGTGAGGGGTACGACTCTGCTGTGAGGGAGTCTTGGAAAGAGTCTGCTACTGCCTTCTCTGTTTGGGATAGGCTGAGGGTTGAAGGGAGACGGCACATAGAGATGCAGGGACATGGGAGAAGGAACAAAAGATTGACTGACTTCTGTGTTGACTTGTATTGATTCTGATGAGGAGGTGGAGTGGAGGAGAGAGCACCGAGGTAGGACTCTGCTGTGAAGGAGTCTTGGAAAGAGTGTGCCACTGCCTTCTACGTTTGGGACAGGCTGAGAGGTGAGAGTCATGAAAGGAAGAGGTAAAGGAAGAGGAAATTCTGAGTTGCATGGTTCTGAAAACAGCACATGTTGTGCACGCAGCAACCAAGCAGCATGCTTGCTTGCAATATCATGTTAATGAGACCTTCAAAGCCTGCCCACTCAATGAATGATACTCACAGCAGCTGAGTGCCGGCCACATCGGCAGGAATGCACGTCTCAATAAAACGCACCACTTCCCGTGCCACCACTGCCATCCTCTCCCCTCCTCCCCCTCCTCCCACCGCTCCCGCTCCCACTGCCCCTCCTGCCCCTCCTGCTTGTCCAGTGCTTGCACCCACCCCTCCACGACTCCTCAGCACCTCTCGCCCCCCTCCTGCTGCTGACGCTGCACCTGCCCCTCCCACCACAACTCCCTGTGAACCTGTAGCAGCAGCAGCTGCTGCAGCAGAGGAAGAGGAGGAGGTGGATGAAGAAGAAACGCGCCTGCCGGATGTGCTTGCAGGAGCAGCAGCAGCAGCAGGAGGAGGAGGAGGAGCAGAAGTAGCAGAAGCGGCGGTGGGAGCTGAAGAGGAGGTTGGGTTGAGGAAGCAAAAGAGGCGCCTGGAGTCGAGGGGGAAGAAAGGTTGAGAAGGGAAGAGGGATCAAAGGTCAGCGATCCCATCCAAACACAAGGACATGACATGATAAGCCTGATATGGCTACAAAGAGAGAGTTGGTTTTGAAGATTCATAAAAACCAAAACTGTCCTCTCATGAGCCGTTTGTTAGGACTCACTCTAGGATATGCGGGGCCTGGTTGCTATTTTTTACTCGAATGAGAGACATCGGCCATGCCCTTGTACACAGGGCAGGGATCCACATGACTCGACTAATATATGCACGCACTATCCATCCTCATACTCACACTAAGATATGCCGGACCCGGGTGTAGTTCTTCACTCGAATGAGGGACCTTGCCCGTCCATGCCTTGTACACACGACAGGGGTCCTCATGACACGATATATGTATGCTCTAGCATTCCTTCTTACACTCACTCTAGTATATGCCGGGCCCAGGTGTAGTTCTTCACTCGAATGAGGGACCTTGCCCGTCCATGCCTTGTACACAGGACAGGGGTCCAGATGACTCGACGGATATATGCATGCCCTACCCATCCCCATACTCACTCTAGGATGTGCCGGGCCTGATTGTAGTTTTTCACTCGAATGAGGGACATTGCCCATGCCTTGTACACAGGACAGGGGTCCACATGATGACACGTGTCACACAGAGCAGCTGCCAGCTCATAACACTCCTCCTTCACCAACCCGTCCCTGAGAGCCACTGTTGCGGACAGGGATGCCTCCCGAGCCTCTGCTTCTGCTTCGGGATGCATTCGGGGCTGTGCCGAGCCGTGCCGGTGCTGCTGTTGCTGCTGCATCGACCTTGGTCGCTGCGTCTGCTGCTGCTGGTGCCACCGCTGCTGGTGCGGCTGCTGCTGCTGTTGCATCTCAGTGCTATGACCAGAAACTCTACCCCAGCCCATGTCCCCTCCCGCTGCTCCCCCTCCTCCTCCCCTTCCTACTGCCACACCCCTCTCCTCTCCTCCCATCACTGAGTGAATGTACAGAGAGGCAAAAACCCAGGAGAACCAGGCTGGAAGTCAGGGTCACCCCCACCAAGCTCGTCAATCCCCACCCCCACATTCTCCGCCAAGAACCTTCTCAGAAGCTTCACCCGAGCAATCCAAGCCTCTGCCCGAACCAGCAGCTGCTTCAGCGTCTTCAGCTGCATCCGAACCTGCGCCGGGTCTCGCCCCCGAACCTGCACCGAGCCTCTCGCCCGAACCTGGGCTGGTGGCTCACGTGCCGAGCCTGAGGTTCGGGTGGCAGGTGCGGGCTTGGCAAGTTGCATCTGGTATGCCAGGAGCATGTCTCTCACAATGGTGAGTGCCTGTAGATGAAGGGAAGGAATAGATAACGCATCAGAAGTGAGAACAGACTTTCTGAGGCGCCACAAAAGCTTGGCAAGTTGCGTATGGTATGCCAGGATTATGTCTCTCACAATGGTGAGTGCCTGTAATGGGAGGAAGGGGCAGATGCAACAAGAGACGTGATTTTGGAGTCGAATCCATAGCTGTTGTCAGCATTTACAGTCATGATCTTCACTCCTTTACCTCCTTTCCCTCCGTAACCCCCTACTCCCCCGTTGGCCCCCCGTTGTCTGCTCTCACTCACTTTGAGGTAGGCTTTCGAGAAGAAGGCCGACTGAGTCAGCGACAGCAGGTTGGTGCCACGTGGCACGCTCTCCTTGGCCAGAGCCACGCCAGCCTGCTCCACCACCACCGCCAGCAGCCCTTTCACCACTCCGAACCTCTTTGAACACAGCGAAGCAAGCGACTGGAACAGCGAAACATCTGGCGTGTCTGCAAACACATGGTGCGCTCTTGTCTCATTATCCCGCGTCTCTTCCCCAATCAGGATCGCTCCTTGCTGCATGTCCCGCGCTCCTAGCCTCCCCAATGCCTCCTCCTCTCCCTCCTCGCCCTCCCCGCCTCCACTTCCCCCCTCGCACACCTCGTCCAATCCCGTGCGGCCACCTGGCAGGTAACCAACAGGCTGGCCAATCAGCTCTGGAAGAGACATGGAGCTTATTGTAACAGCCGATTTCAGCCGTCCGGAATTTTCCGCCTTGCCGGCAGCTGCTCTGGCAGCTGTAGCGGCTGTAGCGGCTGTAGCGGAGCCTGCTGTGCCGTGTGGGTGGTTCAGTGAACCTGGACGCGGGCTGGTTTGCAGGCTGGCAGTGCCGCTGCTGACTGTCCTCCCTCGTGCTCCAAAACGAGTTGCACCTGCAGTAGCAGCAGCAGCACCACCACCACCAGCAGCAGCACCAGCAGCAGCAGCACCAGCAGCAGCAGCAGCAGCAGCACCAGCAGCACTAGCGGCAGCAGCAGCACCTGCAGCAGCAGCAGCAGCAGCAGAAGCGGCAGGGTGAGAAGCAGAGGTGCGAGCAGGAGAATCCAAAGAAATGGAGGAGGAAAGCCGTGACTTTGCTGCCTCTGCAAGAGTTGGCGGGCGATCAACCCCCACTGTTCCCCCACTCCCTTTCCCCGCCCCCACTCCCACTCCTCCCCCTCCTCCTCCTCCTGCTCTCCCTCCTCCTATCCCTCCTAGCCCATGGAAACCACGAGGGGACGGAACAGGGCTTGCAAAGACATCACTAGAAGGAGCAGCAGCAGCACCACCACCAGAAGCAGTTCCCCCCCAGGGAAAGACACGGGAGGCTTGCTGCTGAATGCGCAGAAAGCTGCTGGTGATGGGTGCGGGGGGGACGGAGGGTGGGCGGGGGACAGCGGTGGAGGAGGAGCGGAGGGAGTGTTGGTGAGGGAGGGGAGGAGGAGGGGGAGGAGGAGGGGAGGTGGCAGATGGGTGCGTGGTGGAGGGAGAGGAAGAAGCGAAGGCGGAAGAGGAGGAGGAGGAGGAGGAGGAGGAGGAGGAGGAGGGGGAGAGGGGGGAGGGAATGAGGGCTTTGCGTGCGTAGGAGAGGAGGAGGGTGTCGTTTCGAAGGGCAAGGAACTTGGCAAAGATCTGCCAGAGCCACAGGAACAACGAATGACGACAGGGAATAGTATTTAAGGATTCTCAAATTCAACCTCCACAAAAATGAGAGGAGGGTGTCGTTGCGTAGGGCTGGGAACTTGGTAAAGATCTGCCAGAGCCACAGGGACAAGGAGTGACAGGGAATAACAGGGAATGAGGGCTTTGCGTGCATAGGAGAGGAGGAGGGTCACAGGGTGTCGTTCTGTAGGGCGGGGAACTTGGCAAAAATCTGCCAGAGGCACAGGAGAAAGGGGAGACAGGGGAAAAACTGGTTTTGAGGGGACTCAAAGGAGGGAGAGAGGGGCGATGGGAGCAGGGCTTTGCGTGCATAGGAGAGGAGGAGGGTGTCGTTCCGCAGGGCAGGGAACTTGGCAAAGATCTGCCAGAGGCGCATGAAGAAGTGGTGACAGGGGATAACAGGGGGGTTAACAGGGGTTAACGTGGGGTAGCAACAGGGGATAACACGGAGTAATGGGGTAACATAATACGTATAGAATGAATGAATGAATGAATGAATGAATGAATGAATGAATGAATGAATGAATGAATGAATGAATGAATGAATGAATGAATGAATGAATGAATGAATGAATGAATGAATGAATGAATGAATGAATGAATGAATGAATGAATGAATGAATGAATGAATGAATGAATGAATGAATGAATGAATGAATGAATGAATGAATGAATGAATGAATGAATGAATGAATGAATGAATGAATGTAAACCCTAGACCCTACCTGTGGCAGCAGGGAAGTGTGTTTCTCCATTATAAGGCTCTCCACTATAAGCTCCGGCTGCAGCAGCACAGCCACATGCTGCCCTCCCAGCCGCTGCTGCCACTCCGCAGGGAAGGTTCCCAGAAGCTGCAGGCCCAGCTGGAGCTGCCTGGCGTCTGCCACGTCAGCAGAAGGCAAATCCGCCTCTGCAGCCCGCTTGAGGACAAAATTCACCTTTTAGGAGGTGCAGGTGGGGGGGTTGGGTGGAGGTGTGTGTGAAAAAGAGGGGCCATGAGTTTGGGAAGGCTGCTTGTTTGAGCACAGGGTTCACTTTCTAGGATCAAGACAAGGAACAACGCAAGCATGCACATGGATGGTACGTGAATGAGCTTCTTGGAGTGCAGAGACGAGGTGAGGTGAGGTTGAGGTGGGGTGAGGGTGAGGTGGGGGTGAGGTGAGGGTGAGGTGAGGGTGAGGTGAGGGTGAGGTGAGGGTGAGGTGAGGGTGAGGTGCCTATTGATTCGAAAAAGAAATCACATGGATGGAAGACAGCAAGCAAGCACATGAGAATACTTTTGGCATGCAGAGACAGAGCCCACCGTGTGGCCGATACCAAGGTGGGGTGAGGTGACTAATGATTTGGCGCAAAAGGCACATGAATTGAGCGAAACAAGCACATGGAGTTACCAAGATGCCGCAATACATACAATGAGCTTCTTGGCATGCAGAGACGGCGCCCACCGCATGGCCGATAGCACCACACCCATCACTCCCTCCCTCCCCTCCACTCTCCCCCTCGCCTGCCCCCCTGCCCCTCCACTCCCACTCCCCACACCACCAGCCGCCCCCACTGCGGCAGCAGCAGCAGCAGCACTACCAGCAGCACTAAAATCATCACCACCAGCAGCAGCAGCACCACCACCAGCAGCACTAAAATCATCACCACCAGCAGCAGCAGCAGCAGCACCAGTCACACCGACACCATCGCCCAGATTCTCTTGCTTGCTATCACGCCCCTTCGCCCCCTCCTGCATCAACCTCTCCAGGTATCTCATTCCCACTGCAGGGCCTGAGTCACCCTGTAACGGATCCCCCCCCATCAGCTCAGCCAGATAGCGCCCCCTCAGCTCTGCTAGTAACGCCCCCCCCCACCCTCCCTTCTGAGCCTGCCCCTGCTGCTGCTCCTGCTGCTGCCCCTGCCACTCCTGCCGCTGCTCCCATTGCTGCTCTTCGAGCTGCTTCAGCAACCCCCGTCCCCCAGATACCACTAGCAGCAGCTTCTGTTCCCACTCCTGCTCCTGCTCCCACTCCTGCTCCTGCTCCCACTCCTGCTCCTGCTGGTGTTTCTGCTAGTGCAGGAGCAGCAGCATGTGCTTCAGCTAAGGACACAGCCTCCTTGACCGCTCCCTTGGCGGCCAGCTGGCGACACACGGACTCAGGGTCGCCGAAGCAGAGAGAACGAATCTGGAGGGGAAGGAGGAGAAGGGGGAAGTGGAGACTTTTGAGACGTCTCAAAGCAGCAGCAGCATGTGCTTCAGCTAAGGACACAGCTTCCTTGACTGCTCCCTTGGCGGCCAGCTGGCGACACACGGACTCAGGGTCGCGGAAGCAGAGCGCGCGGACCTGGAGCGGAAGGAGGAGAGGTGGGGATTGGAGAGCGGGGAGGAGAGAGGGTTGACGTTTTATTCAAAGAGAAGCCTATGAATTGACTGCCTCCTTGCGCACAGCAGGCGACTAACGGACTCCAGGTTGCAGAAGCAGAGCTACATGGAAGTCCGTTAGTCGCTTGCTTGCAAACCTACATGGAAAACAAAAGAGAGTAGTAGACCCCTTTGAGATCGTAGACCTCTTTGACCCCAGATTGACGAGTTCAACCCTTGAAAACTCTCAAAGTGACTCTAATCTAATGTTGCTCCGGAGGAATTCGGTCGGGCCATGAACGAGAATGCATAGGAAGGCAGAGCAGGGGAGGCATGAAAGAGCCACTAACCTGCTGCCACGTGGCAAGTGTTCTGTCGTTGAGAATGGAGCGGATGCGAGTGTACTGATCCACAGCTGACTTGCAGGTGAGGATCTTCAGAGGGACAGGGGAGAAAGCGGGGAGGGAGAGAGGTGGGGAGGGGAGAGATGGCAAGGAGAAGGAGGTGGGAAGCGAAATGGAGCGGATGCGAGTGCATTGGTCCACAGCTGACTTGCAGGTGAGGATCTTCGGGGGAAACCGGAGGGAAGTGGGGTGTGGTGTGGAGAGGTGGGAAGAGGAAAGGGAAGGCACGAGGGAACAAAGACATCTTAGAGAATAGAGCGGATGCGAGTGTACTGATCCACAGCTGACTTGCAGGTGAGGATCTTCAGAGGGAACATGGAGAGAGTGGGGGGGATGAGCGGTGTGGGGAGGGGAGAGAGTGGGGAGGGGAGAGGTGTGGGGAAAAGAGGGACGTGGGAAAGGCAGAGAGGTGGAAAGGGGAGTGGAAGGGACGATGGAACAACGACATGTGAAGAATAAAATCGTGTGAAGAACATGCAATCCCATGTTGCATTACACACACAGACAGGAGCAGCTGGTGCGATTGTAAGCGTGGCTATGTATGATCATACCTGAGACCGCAGGGGCGAGTGCGCGGGTAGGTGTGAGAGGCAGGTGTTGAATACGGTGTGGATGTGTGACAACTGCCAGCTGTGGTGGTACCTGTGGTAGTGCATGGGAGCAGACACAGCACCAAAAACCACACACATGCACACACATGCATGGCAGCACACAGACACAAGATGTGAGCGTGAGGTGTTGATTACTATCCGATGGCGCACCAGGTGCCAGTTGTGGTTGTACCTTATGTACACGTGCATGCAAATTCAGGGGCAGATATGCACACACACCCGCACACACCCAAACAATCACACCCACACCCATTCATCCACACACGCACACGCGCGCTCACGAAATCGGACACATACAGATACTTGCCGAATCAACACTTGATCTAAATGACAAACAAAGAGAAAAAAGAAAACCAGCAAAAGGCTGTTTGATAAGATACCATCCCATGTTCCGGTAATCCGTCCAATTATCGCGTCAGCCGCAGTGCATTATAGCAGCCATCATGCATGAGATCCGACCCCCAGTACTATTGGTACGACTTCTGAGAATTCTCAAAAGCCATCCTGTGTTCTGGTAATCTGTCATATTCTCGCAGCCATCATGCATGAGATCCGACCCAAAAGTCAAAAGTCCCACCTGAGAGCCAGGGCCGCTGCCAGCTCCTTGTCAGCCACGCGAATCACAAACCGCCAGCTGTCTCCCGCTGTCACCGGCTTCCTCACTGCCTTGCCAGCACTGCCAGTGCGACCCCCTGCCTCACTCCCCCCACTCGCAGCAGCAGAACCTGCAAACCCAAGTCCTCCACTCCGTGGGCTCTGCTGCAGCCTGCTTGCCTGTGTTACAGGCACCTTCTGAAACCGCATATTGTCTCCTCCTGACGTGTGCGTGTGAGCAGCAGTAGCACCACCTGGGCGCTCAGCCTGTTCCACGAGCAGACACAGCAGGTGATCTGGCGCCCCCTCAGGCAACCACGTGTCTGCCAGCTCAAGAGCCTCGGCCAATCGCGAGTCAGCAATCAGGCTGGGGCAATAAGAAAACATAATAGGCAGCAAGAAGGTGGGGAGGAAGCGGGAAAAACAACTTGATTGATAGAAAAAGCAGGCTTCAGCTATAGATTACATTTGTGAAGATGACAAACGTATTTGTTTGTTTTTCATCTTCTGACTCACCTCTCCAGGTGAATCCGCACAGGCCGCAGATCCTCCCACTCTGTCAACAGAGCCTCCAACCGACCACTTGCCATCGCCACCCCTGCCGTTTCTGCTGCCCCTGCTGCCCCTGCTGTTGCTGTTGCCCCTGCGACCCCTGTTGTTGCTGCCGCCCCTGCTGCCCCTGCCGCCTCTTCTGCCCCTTCACCAGTTCCCTGCTCCTCCCTCACTCCTCCTCTCACTCTCCCTTCGTCTGTATCTGAGCCGCCGCCCTCAGCAACACCAGCATTCACATGTACTGTTTCCTCCACAGACAGTGAACCCCCCTCCTCCCCGTCTCCTGCCTCAACCGCATTCATTTCAACAGTAAGACGCCGTTTTGTGCCTCTTCCTCCTCCCTCACCCACCTGTCCTTTACCCACTAGTCCAATGGGACTCTCTGCTACCCCTCCTGCTCCAGCCAATCTCGCACCTCTCACTCGCCTTGGTGTTCCCTCCTGCCCTGCAAGCAGCAGCGCTGACCCGGTAAACCCCTTCCCGCCCCTCCTGCTGCTGCTACCAGGTGAATGCACCAGCATGGTCCCTACAAGGCTAGAGCTACCCCAGCCTAAAGGCTGATCCCTCAACGCCTCCTGTTGCCCTATCAACACTGCTTTTCTCTGCATTCCTCCCTCCTCTGATGCTCGTACCCCTGCAACCCCCACCATTCCTGCACCCTTTCCACCCAACGACCCACCTCTGTCTCCGCCCCTCTCTGTGGCCCTCCCACCTGCTGCTGTGGCGGCGGTTCCTGGTGCTGCTGCTGCTGCTGCTGCTGCTGATTGCTTGGGAGGGCGAGAGGGTGCTTTGGCAGCAGCAATGGCGATAGAATGGATGGCAGATTGCAGAGTGACCCACTGGTGGATGATTGGAGTGCTGGGGAGGACGTGAGGATGGAATGGAGTGGAGGGAGAGAAATGAAGAAACCGGTGGTCCCTTTTTTGCTCACACTTCTGCAGCGTCCCCTCCTCGAAAAGTGAGGAGGGGACGTCAAACAACAAAAAAAGGGACTGCACATGTGAAAAACCACCTCCGGCAGAGGCATGGCAAAAAAAAACCTGAATAGAGGAAACGTCCAAATGTGTACGCGTGCAGCAGAGTAGACTCCTCATAATATACTCACCCAGCAGAGTGCAAGCGTGCATACTCCATCAGCTTCTTTGCAGCTTCCTCCTCTGCCTCCACTGCACTCACCCCTCCTCCCACTGCTCCTCCCTTGCCCCTGCTCCTATCACCGCCCAACACACCACCAACACCACCACCACCGGTAGCAGCGGCAGCGCCACCACCACCACCGGAAAATGCACCAATTGATTTCAGGTCACGCTCCCTTTCCTTCCGTCTATGCATCTGCAATATCTGCTGTTCTGCTCCCAGCACACAAGCCAACACAGCATGCACCATAGATTCCCTCGCAAGCAACTGAACCACATCCATGCTCAGTGCAAATCGCGGCGGCTCATACGGGGAAGGCACCAGAAGCTTCTCCGAACTTTCCGGCCCTCCCACTCCTCCTGCTACCTTGTCCCTACCGGGCCTACTCTGTCCCGGGCCTCCTCCGGACCTTCCCAGAAGTCTGCTTCGGAAGCGCCGAGCCACGGAGCAGAGCTTCAGGCTCGGCACAGGCGGCAGCAGGCTCGGGAGAGCTGCGGGGATGATATCAGCAGGTAAAGAATCCCTACCCATAATCCCAGCCACGTGCGACGCAGCAGAAATATCCCCTCTCACAAACACAAGCTCTCTTAAAAGCTCCACCGGATCGATGTTTAGTAAAGAGAAGTAATTAAAGGGATGGCTGGGGTCACTGTCGTCGACTATATCTCCAATCTGAACCACGTAGTTTAAGAAGACTGGCAGGTAACCCTTGGGATGATCCCAAGGCTGCTTTCCCGGCCCTCGCAACCCTGCTGCTGCTGAGACTGCTCCTGCCGGCCCTCCTTCTCCACCTCTCTCTCCTCCTGCCCCCTCTCTCTCCTCCTCTTCCTGCTCCTCCTGCTGCTGTTCCTTCTGCTGCTCCTGCTGCCCCCCCACCAGTGCCAGAGCCTAGAAGGGACTGAAGTCCTACCACTGTCTGCCCCTCTCCTGCAGCAGGCTGCTTGGAGTTGAAAGAGAAGGGCCAGAGACTGGGCATGGAGGATCGCGGCACAGGAGGGAGTGGCGCAGACGCCCTGGCGGCCCCACCTGAGGAACCACCTGAAGAAACACCTGAGGAACCACCTGAAGAAACACCTGGAGCTGGAGGAGCAGATACGCGTGCAGATGCAGCAGCAGATGGGGCGCTTGTGATGGTGGTGGTTGTGGAAGGGGGGGGCATGCTGACCGCACCTACAGAGGAGCGTGATGGTACTGAAAGGGGAGACGGAGCAGCAGCAGAGGATGCAGTAGTAACGGCAGTGGAGGGAAGAGGGAGGGAGCTAGACCTGACTGATCCTCCTTCAGAAAAATCTTCAAATGCTGCTGCTTCCAATGCATCAGAACCGGCACCTTCTCTTGTTGCTCCTACCGAAGAACCACCGGTGACAGTGGCAGCAGCAGCAGCAGCAGCAGCAGCGGAGAGGCCAAGGCCAGAGGAGGAGCGGGTCCAGCGGGGGGAGAGAGGGGGCGTGTGCACTGGCGACCCTGCTGCCACTCCCACTCCTCCCGAACCTGTTGCCGAAGCTAGGCCTGCCACTGCAGCTGCAGCAGCCACCGAGCCTTGGGAGTCGGCTCGGGCGGATACTGCAGGCACACTTCCTGCTGCTGCTCCTCCCCCTACTGCTCCTCCTCCCCCTGCTGCTCCACCTCCCCCATGCAACATTCGCCAGAGAGAAAAGGAGGAGGAGGAGGATGAGGAAGGTCCCACAGCGGCATCAGAAGCAGCAGCAGCAGTAGCACCACTACCAGCAGCAGTAGCACCCAGGGTATTCCCTCCACCTGTACTACCTGCACCAGCAGCACCCACTGCACCAGCAGCACCCACTGCACCAGCAGCACCCACTGCACCAGTAGCACCTGCTGCACTGGCAGCAACAGCTGCTACAGCCGCTGGTGCTACAGCCCCTACCCCTGCTGCTGCTGGTGCGGTACTCAGCCCAGAAACACCGGCTGCACTAGCAGCAGCTGTAGCACCGGCTGTAGTGGCTGTAGCGTCTCCTGTGGCTGCGGCAGCATCAGCTGTAGCGTCGTCTGTAGCAAGAAGCTCTGGCAATATCACGTCCAGCCCAATGCCAAAGCCAAGCCCGCTGCCAGGAGGGGGACACGTGGCGGATCCTGATTGGCCAACGGCCGTGGCAGGTGCGGGGATGACCTGGGAGAGGGGGTCTGCTGCTGGTTCGGGATCCTCTAAGGCTCGGATGAGATTGTGGAGCTTGCCTGGAGGGGAAGGAACAAGAAGCAGGGAGGGCCGGTTGTGGGTATGGGGGAGAGGAGCAACATAGGAGCATTAAAGAGGGTATGCTGTTGGTTCGGTTGGGGTCTTCCAAGGCTCGGATTAGGTTGTGGAGCTTGCCTGGTTGGGTAAGGGATTGAGAAGACGGGAAGAGGGGCAATGGATAGCTCAGGTCTTCCAGGGCACGATAGAAAATATCCAGATTTCAAGACGAACAAAGAAGAAGAAAAGAACCACATACCACTGACAAACTGAGCCATGCCTGCCTCGCAGTCAGCCGCCACCTGCTGCAGCGCCATCACCCCTCGAGCCTTGGTTGGGACCCCAAGGACCTCTGAATTGCACATACAACTGAAAGGGGAAGCGCACCCATACTCATTCACCATCACGTACCACTGACGAACTGTGCCGTGCCTGCCTCGCAATCAGCCACCACCTGCTGCAGCGCCATCACCGCCCGAGCCTTGGGGCCCCAATGACCCCTGAATCGCAGCCTGAATAGCAACCCCATCACACCTAGTCAATATCCCATTTGGGTACGTACCACTGACGAACTGTGCCGTGCCTGCCTCACAGTCAGCTACCACCTGCTGTAGTGCCATCACTGCCCGAGCCTGGGGCCCCGCCGCAGCCCCTGCCGAGCCTGACAGGCCCGGGGACGGCGACAGGTGCGGCTGCACGGCGGCCAGCAGGCTCGGGAGAGGTGTGGTGGGGTCCTGGTTCTGAATAGCCTCCAGCCGCTGCAGCAGCCGCTCTGCTGTTGCCCATTGCACTGAGTTTAGATTGTTGCTACAACTATCTTCCTCTTGTTCTTGCTTCTGCTGCTGCTGGTGTTGCTGCTGTTTTCCCGAATGATCCTTGGCCCCCTTGCCCTTGCCATCTTCCTTCTGCCCTTGCTGGTCTGCCTGCCAAGCTGTCAAGACAGTGCGAGCCTGCAGGGTTGGTTGGTGGAGAGAGGAGAGGAGGAAGAATCAGCTCATCCAATGCATGTGAAGTGCATGAGACGAGAGGGAAGGCACTCCAAGTAAGCACTTTATTAGCACTCTGGAAACATTCTCCAATCTGACAGAATACATACACTCGTAAAGAAGCCATCTCTCTTTGCTAACGGTCTGCTGTTGGTCAGGTTTGGGATGCTACACAAACGAGAGGAATGAGAATGAGAAAGAGAATGCAACCATACCTGGTCGAGCAGCACAAGGGCGTCAGGGGCGGTGCGAGCCTGTGTTGCTGCTGCATCCAGCAGCACTGCCACCTGCATGCAGAGTGCAGTGAAGATACATTAGGATGTGAGCGGATAGTGCGGGGAGGGAAACTCAATAGTACTAGTACTGAACAGACAGGGGAAACTTTTCAACATACCATGTCAAGGGCCGGGAACATTTCCCACATGGCTTGCGATGGAGCGAAGAAGAGCGAGAATAGCGAGTCCACCTGCTCGTTCTCCCTCACCCTCCTCTCCCTCGCCTCCACACTCCCCACCCTCTCCAACCCACCCCTGCTCCCACCTCCCTTCCCACTCCCACCACTGCCAGCAGCAATATCACCACCACCACCACCACCACCACCGCCACCACAAATGCTGCTGCTGCTGTGCAATCGCCCTCCTCCACTGTCCCACCGGACGACTCTGGATTGATCGTGGCGGGCGAGCCATGCAGAGAGCTGCACTCGTGCTTCTGTGTGCACGGCCAGGGGGAAGCGACAAGTGAGCGACTGGCAGAGAGAGAAGTCGCCCACTGACAGGCAGCTGACCAGAGGAACAAGGGAAACAGGACAGGGGGAACAGGGGGACAGGAGTGAGGCGAGCCATGCGGAAAGCTGCACTCGTGCCTCTGAGTGCACGGCCAGGGGGAAGCGACAAGTGAGTGAGTCGCAGAGAGAGAAATCACCGACTGACAGGCAGCTGCACATGACAGGGGGGAGAGGGGGAACAGGGGGAACAGAGGGAATTAGCCTAGAGACTCAGGCAAGCCACGCAGAGAGCTATACCTGTGCAAAGGGGCGAGCCGAGTAATGCTCGACTCGTCCCTAGCCTTGCTCGGCTGAGTACGAGCCCGAGTCGAGTAATACTCGGCCGAGCATTTCCCCCCCTAACAGAAACTCGTTACTCGCCTTATAAAAGGGAACTCGGGCGAGCATTTAGAAAAGCTCGTCCGAGTACGAGTAATGCTCGGCCATGTGCCCTACTCCTGCATAGAACGACTATGTGCGTAACAACTAGTGAAGGCCATTGGTACCACAGAAGTATTGGGGTTTCCAGGGCCGCCCAGATAAACCCAAGGTGGTCCCAGGGAGCCTAGGGAAGCCCAGGAAAGTCCTGGGTTGCCCTGGGTAGCCCAGGGTAGCCTTGGGTTGCCACGGTAAGCCCCGAGGAAGCCTGCTCGCCTAAAAATACGCGAGTACTCGTCGAGCAAAAAAACTCGGCGAGTAAAACTCGGCTCGACTCGGACGAGTAAAATTTACAAAAACCGAAACTCGTTGCTCGCACCCAAACGGGTAACTCGGGCGATACCGAGCGAGTAACTCGTCTCGTTGCACAGGTATACAGAGAGCTGCACTTGTGCCTCTGAGTGCACAGCCACGGGGAAGCGGCGAGTGATAGACTCACAGAGAGAAAAATCACCGACTGAGAGATAGCTGAAGAGGACGGGGGGAATACAGGGGGAGCAGGGGGAGATAGGGAACAGGGGAAACGGGCCTAAGAACTAAGGCCAGGCAGGCAAAGAACTGCACTGTTGCATCCACGGCACCACCTCGTGCCATCCCTCCCTTGTGTTATGATGCTTCCCAGCCACGCGTCAGCGCATCATAGAAATTCAGAGGATTGCTAGGATGGACCAGGGAACATGGTGCTTCAACTCACCAGGATATGAGCGCGGAGGGCTCCACTCGCATCCATGGCACCACCTCGTGCCATCCCTCCCTTGTGCTTTGAGACGTCCCACCCAACCAGAAAGGAAGAGCACATCCGAGATCTAAATGAAAACTGGAACGACCCGGAGAGCCGACCCACCGCGACGAACCAAAGAGGCTGGAATGGCTCACCAGGAGATGAGAGCGGAGGGCTCCACTCGCATCCACGCCACCACCTCGTGCCACCCCCATGCCGACCAATCACTCCGCAGTCGCCACTCCTGCCGCTTCCCTGTCTGCCCCTTCACCTCCCCTGCCTTTCTTCCACCCCCCTCCATTCCACCCTTTTGCCCAGATTCACTCGCCTCAACTTCTTTTTCCACCTCCTCTCCCTCCTCATATATACTTCTTTCCAGATTCCCTTCCTCTTCCAATACTTGCTCCTCCAAGTCTCTCCCCCCTGCACGAACGCCCAGCCAATCAGCTTTCAGCACAGCCAGCCGCCACTGCCAGTCGTCCAGCCAATCACGCACCACCTGCGCCCTCTGCTTCCAATCAGAAGCCAGCACTCCCACTGCCGCCGCTGCCACGTCAGACGCCTGTGCGTCCAGCTCAGCATCCAGCTCAGCAGCAATATCAGCATCTAGACCATCAAATGTAGCGTCTGAATCTGAAGCATCCGAAGCATCTGAATCCTCCGATCCACGTTCAGCCAAGCCCTCCCCTAATGCCCCTCCATCCCTCTTTCCTCCTGTCATTCGTCCCTCACCCTTCCCATCCATCCCTCCTCCTCGCTGTTTCAATCCCCCCTCTTCCATCCCTGTGTCCTCCTCCCCCTCGTCCCCTGCCCCATCTCCACTAAGCAACCTCCTTTTTCTTCTGGACGAAAAGCTAATCGTCTCTTCCATCCTGCTCTCTTCCGGACTCCCCTCTAGCTCGTTCCAAAGCTGCTTATCCCCTGACTTAACTTGTGTCATGCTAGAAGCAGCAGCAGAAGCAGCAGCAGCAACAGCAGCAGCAGTGGCAGCAGCAGAAGCAGCAGCAGCAGCAGCACCAGTGGCAGCAGAAGAAGCAGCAGCAGCAGCAGCAGCAGTGGCAGCAGCAGAAGCAGCAGCAGCAGCAGCACCAGTGGCAGCAGAAGAAGCAGCAGCAGCAGCAGCAGCAGTGGCAGGCGCACCACTTACACCAGCACCAGAGGCACCACCCGCAGCAGGACTAGCGGCAGCATCACCATCACCTCCACCAGATCCCACCTCCCCCACATCCTTCCGCTTCAGCAGTGCCCGTGCCGCCCGCCTGTCCACACCGCTCAAGGGAGACGCATCCAGCAGAAAAGGACGAGCCATGCCGTGCGTCTCCGTGCCCTGGGGCGGCAGATGCTTGGCTACAGCCGCCAGCAAGGACTCCATCACTGCTACAGCCGGAGGTGCTGATGGTGCTACAGCCGGGAGAGATGATGCTACAGCTGAAGATGCTGATGGTGCTACAGCTACTGCAGTAGCACCACCACCAGTGTTTGACCCGCCAACACCACTGGCACCAGCAGCATGAGCAGCGGAGCCAGCTGCAGCATCTACATCCGCTTGAGCAGCAGCAGCATCGTGTTTGGCCAGCAGTTGAAGGCGGGCCATGGTGACAGCTGCCAGGCAGTCTTCATCGTCCACTAGACAGTGATTGGTGGGAGGTGGATTGTTGGAAGCGGCGAGAAGCAGCGACCGCACGGTGTAGCCCATCCAGATCTGAAAGGCAGAAAGTGAAAGAGATCACGAGAGCCACAAGACAAGGTGAGTGATCAAATGATTCAACACCTGCCAGGCAGTCTTCATCGTCCGCTAGACTGTGACTCGTGGGAGGTGGATTGTTGGAGGCGGCAAGAAGCAGCGACCGCACGGTGTAGCCCATCCAGATCTGAGTCGCAGCGAGATCCAGGGAGAGAAACGGCAAGGATCGGTAATTGACTTATAAAAACAACGCAACTTCCTCATTGTTGCCTTGCTGCATGCATGCTGGCATTATTCCTCCTCTCCAACCCCTGCCCTTCCTCCTCACCTTGCGGGCAGCAGTGGTAACACGGGCTGCATGATGCTCAAACGACTCAACCGCCCTCATAGCCTCTGCTGCCCCACACTGCTCCCCTCCCCTCCCCTCTCCTTCTCTTCTGTCTCCTCCTCTGCTGCCCCCTGTCATGGCACGCACGGCCATCTCTGCAGCCTGGGCGGCAAACAGCATGTGAAGGAGCTCCACGTCCCAGTCCCTGGGAAGGGGGAGAAGCAGGGAAGGGCACACAGAGTAAGGGAAAACTGGATCTCCCAGTCTGACCCAACCCATCCACATCGTCCCCCCCCTGCCAACCCCTGCCATGCCATGCACCTGCAGCAGCTCCAACGCCAGCCGTGCAACCAACGCGCCAGCTGCTCGCACTGCACCATCCCATACCATGGATCTGCTCGTACTGCTCGTACATCTCACCTGGCAGGTGTGCCACTGAGAACGTTGCCTCCAGCTCCTGGCTCAGCCTGCAGCAGGTGAATGACTTCCTGTGGGAGGAAGCAGTGTGCGCCGAGAGACAGCAGCACGTGCAGTGCAGGGGCGGCTGCACCTGCACATGTTTGCCCGCACCATACCATACTGCTCCACCTCTCACCTGCCAGATGTCCCACCAAGCATGTTCCCTCCAAATCCAGGCTGGGCTTGCAGCAGCTGAATAATCTCTCCCGGGCGAAAGCAGTGCGCACCGAGAGACAGCAGCACGGGCAGGGGCGGCTGCACCTGCAGCAGCTCCACTGCCAGCCGTGCAACAAACGGGTCGGCTGCACGCACCATGTGAGCCACTGCCTTGGGACTCAGCACACGTGCCACCTCCTCCTTCGGGCTGCACACACGCGCTACATCAGAGGGATGCAGCTGCTGGTGCTGGTTCTTCCGGTGCTGCCCATGCTGCTGTTGCGGTTGGTCGGTGTGAGGCTTAGGCGGAGGCTGCTGCTGCTGGTGTGGCTGCTGTTGGTGCAAGGCAGCATAGCGAGCTGCAAAGAGGAAGGCCAGGTGCGCGTGGTAGATGAGGTGAGAGCAGCACACGCCAGCATGCTGCAGGACCTGCTGCGACGGCCAGGAGTTGCTAAGAAGAGGCTTGTATGACAGCAGCGCATGGGCGGACTCCTGGGGAAGCAGGGCTTGAGAAGACTCGTGAGGCCAGAGAGCCCAGAGGAGACGCAGGCGGGTGGCGGGGTGCGAGGGGCCTATGAGGTCCCATGCGATGAGCGTGGTGAGGGGACGGAGAGGGGGACACAGATGGAGGATCTGCGGGGAGGGAGGGGAAGGAAGGGGAGAGGGCAACAAGGAGGGATATTATTATTGGGCATGAGCAGGCAGGTGGCAGGGTGAGAGGGGCCTATGAGGTTCCAGGCGATGAGGGCAGTGAGAGGGCGGAGAGGGGGACAAAGACGGAGGATCTAGAGGGAGAATGGATGGGAGGGGAGGAGGGGAGGGGGAGAGAGAGACGGGCATGAGCAGGCAAACGGGGTTGGAGGGGCCTATGGTCTCAGGCGATGAGCGTGGCGAGGGGCCAGAGAGGGGGACTTACATGGTTGGCCTTGCTGAACTGCCCGGCATGCACAGCAGCCAAAGCTCCCTCCAACACACTCCCTCCCACCCTTTCTACACGCTGTTGGTGAGATTGTTCAGATACATCCCTTGCACAAAACACTCACATGATTGGCTTTGCTGAACCGCCCCGCATGCACAGCAGCCAGTGCCCCCTCCAGCACACTCCCCACCACTACCCGCCTCTCCACCCTCGCATGCTCCACCAGTTCCCACACACACTTCTCCTCCACACTCTCCCTCCACAGACCTTCTCCTCTCACGGCCTCTCTCCTCCCATCCTCTCCGCCGCCTTCCCTCTCCCCCATCGCCTGCCCATCTTCATCCCTGTGTTCTCCCTCACCCTCGCCCTCCACTGCACTCGTTTCTTTTGTTCCTGCTACGGCACCCTCCACCTCGTTCGTTTCTGCCTCAGAACAGCCCTCCTTCAGTTGATCTGACTCTGCTTCGGCGTTGCTGGCACCTCGCTGATGTGCCAGCAGCTGGGAGTGAAGGGCTTCCAAGGGAGGGGCGATGAGGGAGTGGTGTGCGGATTGCTGGACCTCGCTGTGAATGTGATCATCCCATACAGCCTGGAGGCGAGACGATGAGGGAGAGGGGAGGAGAATGCCGAAATCATAAATGACAAGGGAGAGGGATGGAACAAAGGAATAAGCCGTACTCAGATAAGAGATGGAAGAATGTGGACTTTACCCCATCCCACCATTCCCCCATGTCATCAGAACCTCATGCCATCGTAATCCATGCCATCACACCGACATGGCACCCACCACAGCCCCACATCATCACACCCCCATGCCTGTCATGCACACCTCCATTTCATCACATTTCCACTCACAATTCACACCCCGTTGCCATGCCGCGAGCACCTGAACAGGCTGATAAGTTTTGAAGCGCCTTAAACGTCGTTCCTAGGTCACCACACCCCGTTGCCATGTCATCACATCACACCCCGTTGCCATGTCATCACATCACACCCCGTTGCCATGTCATCACATCACACCCCGCTGCCATGTCATCACATCACACCCCGCTGCCATGTCATAAGCACCTGGAACAGCCTGATGAGACGGGCCGAACCCGAAGCTAGCAGCTCCTGGACGGCTATTCTTGTCACTTCCTTCCTCACTGCCGTCCAAACAGGAGTGCTGGACGGCGCTTGTTGGGGCACCTGTGGGCGCAGTGCAAGCACCAACTGGTGCAGGGCAGATCTGCGGGGAAGGGGTGGAGGTGGAGGGGAGGAAGTAAAGCAGTGTAAGAGTGAGCTGTTGCCAGTTATGCTTCCGAATCGACTCAAAAGTAACCTGGTTGGACAGCAGTGTAGCAGTGAGCATCTGTGGCCCTGTGGGCAGTGCAGTGCGAATGCAGTGCAAAGGCAGACCGGTGAAGGCAGGATTCCTTATAAGCTCCATCTCCATGCATCTCTCAGCTCAACGCATGGATACTGCTCTGCTCAATGCATCGCATGGTCACCTGTACCGTTCCTCCTCCACAACCCCATACTCCACGTTCAGGCACCGCATGCGGCATTCTGCTCTCACCACGTCCCCACCTCTTTCTATATTATGTCTCAAGGCATGTTAGCGTATTGCATGCTCACCTGTACCGTTCCTCCTCCACAGCCCCATACTCCACGTTCAGGTACCGCATGCTACCAGCTGCTCCCTTCACATCCCCTGCATACGTGTCAACGAATCCCAGTGCAACTTATGCTCACCCTTAGAGGCATCTCGATGCATTGTATCCTCACCTGTATCGTTCCTTCTCCACAGCCCCATACTCCAGATTCAGGTACCGCAGACGACCAGCTGCTCCCTGCACGTCCCCAGCCTCTAGCAGAGATGCCACCGCCCCCAGATGAGCCTCCTGCACCCATCTCACAGCCGGCACAGCTGCTGGCCAGGCTTGCAAGGGTAAATTACCCTCACTTTCAAATCTCTCGCTTCGTGACGCCGCCTCCGTCACCCTCCTCCTACTCTTCTGCCGCAAAACGTTCCTGGAAAGCTCGTCCAGGATATCAGGGTATTCTCCAACGACCAATGAGACGCCGACAGGTGTCGCATCAGGAATGATTGATTCAACATGGCCTTGCTCCCGCTCCTCCGCTGCTGCTTCCATTCTCTCTTCATCTGCTGCAGATCTTACTGACTCAGTTGCCCCTGCGGACCCAGCCAGCACTGTCTCTTTCACCTCTTGCACTATTTCACTGGCACTACGTTTGCTCCCCACAACCAGGGGTTTACTGGGAAGGCCCCAGACCGACCGGTCATGAAGCAGTGTGACTGCTGCACGCATCTCCTCCCCTCTCCTTAGAGCCTCCTCTTCTCTCTCCTTCCATTCTCCCTCCTTCCTTTCTCTCTCCTCACCTTCCCTCTCCCCCTCTCCTGCGTCAGATATACCCCCTGCTCGCCTGTACGCGTTACAGGACGGTCCACTCTTTGGAAGGATGCAGATTCATGCAGCTTGAGTGAGAGCTGGGCCAGATACAAGTCAAATTCCGCTTCATCCAACATCACTCTCTCCTCCTCCAAACCCTCGCCTGTGTCCCTCCCTCCTCGCTCCTCCCCTTCCTCCTCCTCTTCCCCCATCCTATCCCCATGTCCTCCCTCCTCCTCCCTCTCCCGATCCTCTCCCTGTCCGTCCTCCTCATCTGCAGCAGCAGCCGTCCAATCACCCCTTTCAGAGCCTCTTCTCTCTGCTCCCCTCACCCAGTCACCCCTCTCTCCCCTCTCTTCCCTCTCTCCGCTCTCCCAATCGCCTCTCTCCCCCCTCTCTCCCAGCAGTTTACAAATCTCTCTGTATTCCCCAACGCACAGCCACGTCAGATGGGCGGCAGACGGGACAGATGCCGACCACACAGCCCCGGGAATATCTCCCCCCGTTACAATCACATTCCTGAGCAGAGAAATCGAGCGGGAAGGGTTGAGCCGTGCAAGGTCCCTGACGGCGGCTCTCGCAAGCTCGAATTGTGACAATATCAAATGGTTCGCCACGAGTCGCTCCAGCAAGCTGATCTCATCCTCCAAACCGGATGTGACTATATGGAAAGCCAGGGGAACGTAACGAACGGGGAATTCTGACAGGAACTCGGAACCAGCGACACCAGCAGCATCATCAACATCATCACCACCACCACCAGCAGCAGCATCAGCAGCAGCCGAAGGGGAGCCTGTCTCATTCTCCTGCTCACTTCCTCCTCCGTCACCAGTTGTAATATCTACAAACGTCCTGCTACTACTATTCTCAGTTGCACCAGAATCGTCCAATCCCCCAGCGTTACCACCTCCAAAACCTCTGGACCTGAGCTTTGGATTGTCATCATCAGCAGCAGCAGCAGCAGTAGCTCGTACCGCGTCTTTAGCATCGTTGTAACCAGCGTCTGCTCTCTCCCCGGGTCTTTCAGCAACGCTCGCTGGTGGGATTGCTGGGTTAACGGGACTGGTAGGCGTCGCTGCTGGCACCACTGCTGCTGAAGCGGTTCCTGCGGCTGCTGCGGATGCTTCTAATGCTGATTGAGACGACTGCGCCGCAGCTGTTGCTGCAGATGACGCTGCCGGCGATCCACCTTCTAGGGATGACGTCACGGACGGGTCGGTTTCCTGGATGCTTCGGTCCCCTTCACCAGCGGGAAACTCGTCTTCGATCTTCGCCAGTCGCGGCTTTCGCTTACGGCTCCACATCGTTGAAAAGCTTCTTTTCTCAATCTCTTATGCCGAAATGATTGCTTGAAACACACAACGGACGACAGGAAAAGAGGCCGCCTCTTATAACGCGGCGTTATCAGTGCTTCTAATGTCTAATCGCCGTACAGCCAAACCAAGCCTACATCCTCATCCTACTCTCCCCCTCTTGCTCTCTTCTCCTGGATAACAAATTCGCGATGTCGCTCTGGCGCCTGAAACTCCAGATAACATTCTGTGGCCTGTCAGCCCTGCCATACGCATCCGCCTTTTAAGAAAACCGAGCTACCAGTATTGGCGCAAACCCGCACATAAACAGGTACTATAGTTTTTATTATTATCTCTTGGGCACTACTTTTGAGGTTCCATAGCCTATAATGGAGTAGAAGAGCTTACTATATTGAATCAACGTCCAATCCAGCATTTGAACCAGCTGGTACGGGTGTAACATTGGTTTTCGCTTCATTTTTTTATACGAGGGAGTACCTCTGGCAGAATGGAACATACGGAACTACACGAACATGAAACAGATATATAGCTCTTTGCCTGCTAAACAGAAGCAATTGTCGTAACCACGAGGGCGTAGATTAGAGCAGAAGCATTGTGAGTGGTGTGCAGGGCGACAGCTGGCAAGACGCTATTGGAGTAGACAGCGAGCAGCCCGGTGGCAATCCCAAGGGCCATGTTGGGGAAGAGCAGCGAGAGGGAGAGGTGGAAGAGGGCGAAGAGGGCTGCAGATAGCATGGCAGCGTTGATCCTGAGGGAGAGAGGCAGGAAGGGGGATAGCAAAGGAAGGTGAGTTAGTCAAACAAGACTTTGCCTGGTGATTTGACTTGACAAAGCATGCTTTGTGTTGACTTATTGACTTAGTTCTGAGATGTGCCATGACAGGCAATGGTAAGAAAATAAATACCCAACCGGGTGGAATTGGATTACCAGGAAAGACTGTGCTTGGTGACGTGTGGAAATCACCTAACTTAGAACAAAAGCAAACCTCTTGCCAGACCTCAAGCCTCTCACCAGCCTGCCTCTCACCTGCCAAGCCTCTCACCAGCCAAACCTCTCTTTAAGAGCCGTGAGCAGCAGCCCTCTGAACAGCAGCTTTTCTGCTACAACCGGTGACACCGCCATGCACAGGAACCGCAAGCGGAGGGCCGCAGTGGCTTTAGCAGAGGCAGCTGTAGCAGCCACACCCCCTCCAGTGCCATCAGGAAGTAACAAATGACTTTGCAACAAGGCCGTAGGTAGCACTCACACTATTCCCTCCGCGTGCCACCCGCCTCCTCCTGCTGCTCATGCTCCTGCTGCTTCTGCTAGTTCTGGTAATACCCCTGCCGCCTCCCCCCCACTGCCTGGTTGAAGGGACACGATAGAAAACCCCTTGCGAAAAAAGCAGCCCATAGAATAGGACCCCTTACCGCCCCTGCCACAATTGCTTTCCACCAGCTATTGTTCCCCCCCCCCCCCCCCCACCCCTCCCAGAAGCTCCCCTCTCCCAAACCCCGGAGACTGTACATTATCGCTCATTGGAAGCCACAGAAGCCTATCAGCACTGACCTACAGCTTGACCCCAAACTTCTCCTCAAACTGCAGGTCTGAGCAGTGGAGTAACTGGCGCAAGCACACTGTTTTCTTTGTCACCTCCAAGTTCCCAAGCTGCTGCTCTGCAGCGCCTCTCTCCCCAAGCTCATCAATGCTTAGATCAACCCCATGTAACATTCCACTCCTTTCTTCTGCTCCCCATTCACCCTCTACTGCCGCCACACTCTTAGACACAGAACCCAGCTTGCTCCTTTGATTTTCAGCTCCAACACTCGTCCGACTAAACAACTCGTGTGTCACTACCTCATAGCCCATTCGCGCCAGTGCCTTATGCCGCGGTCTGATTCGCCGAACCAAACTGTACCCAAGAAATTCAGGAAAGGCAAACACCTCCATTATAGAGAGCCCCATGTCCCGTTTTAAGTACTCGAGCTTGGGCTTCAGGTTCGCTTTCCAACTGTAATGCATAGACGGCGGGTACCTCCCAACCAAATCCACCACCAACCGACGAGCCCTGCATCTCTCAACAGTTTGTGCTCGGCAATACTTCTTCCCTTCCAAACAATTACCTCTATCACCTTCCCCCAACATTTGCCTCCCACTTCCCACTTCTCCACTGCTCTCCGATGCCTCTTCCACTTCTCGCACAAGCTCTCTGAAACTTTCCCTCATGCAATCTTCACTAGAATTCATTAGTGTAGGAAATCGTGTTACCGCCCTCACAAGATTCTCCCGGCCAATCAAATCAGCCAATACCGTCACCTTGCCTTGCAGGTTCTCCCTCGATAGTAGCAGAACCCCTGGGTAAATCCCCGCCACTCTTCCTGCTCCTTCCTCCCCCACCAGCTCCACAAAGAACTGGAGCTTAGCTAAGAGAGCGTTTTTGCTGAGACCAAGGATTCTGGGGGCACGAAGGAGCACAGAGCTCGCAATAGAGGGGGTGCCTGGGGGAGAGAAGGACTGGAGGATGGCGATATTCTCTGCAATGGCATAGGAAGAACGAGAGAGGATGGCTGGGTCTTTCAAGATAAGATTGCTTAGGTGGCTCGTCTCCAAAGGCCGCTCACCTAGTCGCTGCTTCAGGGGGCTTGTGCTGGTGCTATCTGCTTGTATCTTCCCTCCAGACATCGCCTTAATATAGGATGATAGCATCTCAAGCTGAGTATTCAATGCCTCTTTGTTCCGAGTCAAGATCGCCGGACATCTCTCTATAATGAAACCCAGCTTGTCCACAGGAACCCCTGCTCTCTCCACCAGAATGTCCAGGTTCGTTGGACGTGCCTCGGAGAAGAGTAAGCCCCATCCGTGCAGGAGCACAAAGACCAATCTGCTTCGTCGAACGCCTTGATCCAAAAGGAACTCAAGGGTGCTTTGAATCCGTGGCAGGGATCTTCGGAGCCATGCTGGACCTTTCTCAGTAAAGTAGACGATGTCGGCATGAGATATGCCATATGACTGGAGGAGACGGACACGTGGCAGGAAGTCATTGGTGGGATTGGAGCGGAGGAGCGGAGGGTAGGAGGCGAGAAGGGAAGCGACAGTGGAAGGGGAGGAAATACCGAGGTGGGAGGAGAAGAAGCGGTAGAGGGAGAGGAGGGAGGAGGGAGATACGACCCGCGGGCTGTTGAGTGGAGGAGGGCGTGCGGGGAGAGATGTGGCGGGTCTCGCTTCTGGTTCTGCTGATTCTTCCTTCCCAAACCCTTCTACGCCCCCATCCTCCTCCTCTTCCTCCTCCTCCTCTTCCCCCTCTTTCTCTTCCGCCTCTTTCACTGTCCCCATTACCAGTTTGTCCGCGCTGCTTCTTATCCCACTCCCCCACCCCTCCACCTCTTCTCTCACAATCTGAGACCCAAATTTCTCCCTCAGCACTCCAGCAATCACTGCCACTGCTTCCTCCTCCTCCTCCTCCTCCTCCTCCTCCTCCTCCTCCTCCTCCTCCTCCTCCTCCTCCTCCTCCTCCTCCTCCTCCTCCTCCTCCTGCAGCCTTTCCTCCCGTACCTCTTCCTCTTCTTGCCTCCCTCGCGCTTCCCCGCTGCATTTCCCGCTACTACCCTCTCCACCCTCCCATCCCCACCTCCCTTTTCTCCCCCTTCCACTTTCCTGATTCTCCTCTGCCCTCCTCTCCCATCCCCCCTCTCCTCGTCCTTCACTGTACGCGTTTTAAGCTCCACTTGCACCGCTACTAGAGGCTTTCTTTTGGTAATCAATCTCGACCCAGAGATAACAGTCTCTTCCTCGGAAGCTTCTGTGTCTACTCGCTTAGAAGCCGCAGCAGCGGCTGACCACGCCACGAAGCTTCGGCCGTGGAATGAAACCGTATTTTGAGGCGCCTCAAAGTTTTGGCGTTGGTTTCGGAGTTTAAAAGACGCGTTTCGTCCACGTTCGTTTGGATACGATCTGATCCGATCGAGACTTGGTAAGAAAGGAAGATAAGATCGCGATGCGATCTGGTGCGTTTTAGAAGTCCCCAAAGTAAGGAGCATGGGAATCGGGCCAGCAATTTGCCGTGATGTATGAGGTCGGACCAGCCATAGCAAACAGCGGGCTGATCTACGCGAGGCGACGTAGAAGCTGTTGAAGCTGTTGATTTCGTTGCATCTGTCGAATTCGTCAATTATAGCCTGGATCCTTGCTAGCCTTAGCTAGCTAGTGATGCGAAATGTGAACTTCCAATTCCCTGTGCGGATTCGATCGTCGAAATCTGACTATTATTAGGGAATACGTATCTCAATGAATTACTGATGCCTCGATCTAACAGCACCTAGCTCCCATGCGAAACGGTAACACTTCTGGAAACTGGGTTCCTTGGCACTACCAACAAAAACAGAGTGACGATCACCAGGATGTATCAGGTGCTTTGTAGAACGCTCGAACACGTATACAGAGTGGTTCAGATGGGTTCTAAGCCAATTCCTGCTTATGTGAATGCTCCCGTGTGGGGACTATTCGTCAGCCCAGTGTCGAGGCCTTGGGATTTGACCGAACGGAACGGGACGTTGATGCAATATTCGCCAAAAAAAACTGTAACCGTGGCTGCTTCGCATCTCTGCATCGCGACCAGAATCATTCGCGTTTTCGCCAAGGAGGTGCTGGTGTGACCATGATCCTCGCTATACGATCCCGAGTATAGTTATAAACTTTGAGGCACCTATTCCCCACAGCCACCACAAGCCCTACCGTGTTATGGTGTAATTAACTCTCTGAAAAAGGAACAAAATTTACACAAGGTGGTACCTCATTTCTTTACAATGTGACGACACAAAGATGGCATGGGCAAAGTGATGAAATCATTACGTGTTCACTCAAGGGACCTTCCAAATGGCAGAGGCAGAGTGATGTCAACTCAGATTTCACAGTTTGACTTCAAACTTCTCCAACTCTTAGTCTGTACCCCCAAAAAACTGCTGCAAGCACAGAGCTTTCCTTGCCGCTTTCAGATTCACAAGTTGCTGCTCTTTGACAGCTCTCCCTCCTGGCTCATCACTCCCTAGAAACCCCCAAGTAACAAGTTATTGCCACAATCCTCCCCTTGGCACTGCTGCTCTTGCCTGTCATCCGTTCCTTCATTTTTTCCTTTCTTCCGCTCCGCACTCAATCCCCTCTACCCCCTCCACTTTGTCAGACACAGTACCCAGCTGGCTCCTCTCCTCTCCAGCTCTCGTCGAAACACCCTTCCTGTCTCCAACAGTCGTCCGACTAACCAGCAAGCAGCAAGCAAGCAGCAAAGAGGAGGGAGAGGGAGAGGAGGAAGAGGCCAAAGAGGGCTGCAGAAAGCATGCCCACGTTGATCCTGAGAAAGAAAGGAAGGCAGGAAAAGGGATGGTGCAGGCAGGAAAGAGGGTAGGAATGCAGGAGATTTGATATTAAGTGAGCGAAGATAGTAAAGAACGAGTGACATTGGATTAATGCGAAAAAGTGTGGGCTATGAGAATGGAGGACCCTAGAAAACCCAAATAGAAGGTGGTACGAGTGGAGCCTTGCCAAACCTCACTACTGAGCCTCCTGCAAAGCCTCTCACCTGCCGAGCCTCTCTTGCAGGGCCGTGAGCAGCAGCCCTCTGAACAGCAGCTCCTCTGCTACAGCCGGCGACACCGCCACCCACAGGAACAGCTGTAGCAGGTCCAGCAGGGGGAGGGACGTGGCAGCTGTAGCAGAGGCAGCTGTAGCAGCCACATTCCCTCAGGTCCCATCCGGCGGCAACAAAGGACCCAGCGATAATGCTGTGGTACCAACACCTGGCCGCCTGACAGCTTGATATTCACAGTGTGGAGGCACAGACTCAGGCATTGGCACACACCCTCACACTCAGGCACTATGTTGCGCCTGACGCCCAGGAAGGGCAGCGTCGTCCGGACGCTGGACGCGTCAAATCTGTTTGACGCTGGACGTTCGGGAATTTTTTTTCCGGGCAGCCCGGAAAAAAAAATCGCGCACGCAATTGACGCGCGATTTCATCGCGACCAGAATTGCGATGAAATTGGCAAGCGAGGGTTGCGTTTTTGACCCACAAAAACGCAACCAACATTTATTCCCCCCGAAACATTTGTACCCATCCATATCTATTTCTCCCAACCAGGTCGATCCCCAACTAAACTAGAGAACCAGATCTAGGTCGACATTACACAGATCTGTTTCTCTCGACATTGCCAAGCATACCTAACACTAGAATCCGCCAGTCACGCTACTAAGCCTTCCTAGCTAGATTTAGGTTAAAGCGATTAAGTTATCATGTCAACTCTTAGTCCCGCCGGATTTAGGATTTTCAGGATTTTCGGGAGTGTTTATAACTTTTGGTGAAAATTGTGAACTTGTTGCATTCTAACCCCTGTGTATCCTTACTAGGCAGGCTTTTTCACTCCTGCCCGGGAAAAGTTTTGCCCTGCCCGGACTAGCGTCAAGCGGGCGTCCAGGGCAGAGGAACCCGGGCGTCAAGCGTCTGGACGCCCCGTCCAGACGCCAGCGTCAAAAACGCCTGACGCGTCAGGCGCAACATAGCTCAGGCATGGACTGAGGCCCGGGGGCACATTGGAAGCCTTTGAAGCCTATCTGCACCAGCCCTATGGTTTGACTCCAAACCTCTCCTCGAACTGCTTGTCTGTGAAGTAAAGAAACTGGTGCAGGCCCACCCTTTTCTTTGACACCTCCAGATCCAGAAGCTGCCGCTCTGTAACAACTCTCTCCCCTGGCTTATCATTGCCTGCGACAACCCCAAATAACGGCCCACTCTTCCCTTCTCCCGCTCCCCATACAGTCCCCTCTACCCTCTCCACATTGCCAGACACAGAACCCAGCTTGCTCCTCTGTATCCCAGCTTCAATCAAATCATCCTTCCTGTCTCCAACACTCAACCGGCTTGACATTTCGCGTGCCACAACCGCATAGCCCATTCGCACCAGTGCCACATGTCGCGGTCTGATTCGCCCATCCAAACTGTACCCAAGAAATGGAGGGTATTCAAGCACCTCCATTATAGAGAGCCCCATTTCCCGTTTCAAGTACTCCACCTTGGGCTTCAGGTTCGTTTTCCAACTGTAAAGGATAGACGACGGGTACCTCATAACCAAATCCACCACCAACCGATGAGCCCTGCATCTCTCAACACTTTGTGCTTGAGAATATTTCCCCCCTTCCAAACAGTTACCTCTATCACCTTCCCTCAACATTTGCGTCCCACTTCCCATTTCTCCACTGCTCTCCAATGCCTCTTCCACTTCTCGCACAAGCTCTCTGAAACTTTCCCTCACGCCACTTTCACTAGAACTCATTAGTGAAGGAAATCGTGCCACCACCTACACAACATTTTCTTGGCCAATCAGATCAGCCAATGCCGCCACTTTAGCTTGCAGATTCTCCCTCGATAGTAGCAGAACCCCTGGGTAAATCCCCGCCACTCTTCCTGCTCCTTCCTCCCCCACCAGCTCCCCAAAGAATTGGAGCTTAGCTAAGAGAGTTTCTTTGCTGTAACCAAGAATGCTCGGGGCACGACGAAGCACCGAGCTGGCAACGGAGGGGGTGCCTGGGGGAGTGAAGGACTGGAGAATGGCAATATTCTCTGCAATGCGATAGGGAGATTTTGAGAGAATGAACGGACAGTTCAGAATAAGCTTGCTAAGGTGGCTCTTGTCCAGATGCGGCTCATGTACTCGTTGTTTCAGGGGGCTTGTGCTGGTGGTATCCGCTTCTACCTTCCTTCCAGATTCCGCGTTAAGATAGGCTGATAGCATCTCAAGCTGCATATTCACCGTCTCTTTACTCACAGTCAAGATGGCCGGCCACCTCTCTATAATCACACCCAGCTTGTCCACAGGAACCCCTGCTCTCTCCACCAGAATGTCCAGGTTCGTTGAATGAGCCTCATAGCAGAGTCAGCCCCATCCGTACAAAAGCACCAAGCCCAATCTGCTTTGGCGGATGCCTTTAGCCAAGAGAAACTCAAGCACACTCTGAATTCGTGGCAGGGAGGATCGAAGCCAGGCTGGATTTCTCAGAGTCATGTTCACGATGTCAGCATTGGAAATGCCGTATGATTGGAGGAGATGGACACGTGGCAGGAAGTCATTGGTGGGATTGGAGTGGAGGAGTTGGGGCTTAGAGGCGAGGAGGGAAGCGACAGTGGAAGGGGAGGAGATGCCGAGGTGGGAGGAGAAGAAGCGGTAGAGGGAGAGGAGGGAGGAGGGAGATACGACCCGCCGGCTTTTATGTAAAGGAGGAGGGGGTGTGGGAGGAGATGTGTCGCCAGCAGCGTCCTCCTCACTCCCTTCTGCTGCTTTTTCTTCTTCCTCCCCAAATCCTTCTACACCCCCCTCCTCCTCCTCTTCTTCCTCCTCCTCATTTCCCCCATCTTCCTCTTCTGCCTCTTTCACTGTTCCCATGACCAATCTGTCCCCATCGCTTCTAATATCACTCGCCCACTCCTCCACCTCCTCTCTCACAATCTGAGGCCCGAACCTCTCCCTCAGCACTCCAGCAATCACTGCCACTGCCTCCTCCTCCTCCTCCTCCTCCTCCTCCTTGCAGCCTTTCCTCCCGTGTCTCTTCCTCATGCCTCCCTCACTCGTCCTCGCTGCATTCCCCGCTACTACCCTCTCCACCCTCTCATCCGCACCTCCCTTTTCTCCCCCTTCCACTTTCCTGATGCTCCTCTGCCCTCCTCTCCCCCCCCTCTCCTCGTCCTTCACTGTACGCGTTTTAAGCTCCGCTTGCACCGCTATCAGAGTCTTGCTTTTGGGAAGTGATTTCGACCCAGAGATAGCAGTCTCTGCCTCGGAAGCTTCTGCGTCTGCTGCCCAGGAAGACGTACCAGCGGCAGACCATGTCGCGAAGCTTCGAACGTGGGATGAAAATGTCTCTTGAGGAGCCTGGAAGCCTCGGCCTGGGTTTCGGAGTTGAAAAGACGGGTTTTGCGCAGGTTCGTTTGGATTCGATCCGATCTGATCGTGGCTTGACGAGAGAGGAACAGAAGATCGCGATGCTATTCGGTGCGTTTGAGATGTTACACATATTCTATCGACAAATGGCCGTGATGTATGGGGTAGGACTAGCCATAGCCAACGGCGAGCTGACCTACGTGAGGCGACGTAAAAGTTCATGAATGCGTTAAACTCGTTGCATTCGTCGAATTCGTCTAATCCGTCCTATTTATCGTGTATGCCTGGACCCTCGCTGATCTTGGCTGGCTGGTGACGCGAAATCTCAAGTTAATTACGCGAGTACGGATTGAGTGATGGATATTTGAAGACTATCTCAGGGGGATTGATGCCTCGAGCTCCTATTTAGGCTAAATAGTTATCTAGGTATCTCTAATTTAGCTAGCGTCTAGCTGCTCTGTGATGTGGACTGGAGACTATAGGAGACTTCAGGAGAGGAGTGTGATGACTTTTAAGGTCCACGAGTGCGGCTTAATCAGGTGCGTTGCGTTTACAAACGCTATAATAAGTACACGGAGTGGTTGAGCCTGGAGCCTGGTGAATGTCTCCCCCTGATGGTCAGCCTTGGGGATTCCCGAGGTGAGCACTTCCACCCAACTGTCGGAATTTGACCGAACTAAACGAGCTGTGATAGTTTTGTCGCCAGGACTTGTAACTCTGTTCGCATCGCATTTCTACATCGCGGAGAAACACACAGCATCGTTTGCCAGGCCCATGGGTTGTCGCTGTCGTCTCATCTCTTCGCTAGCGAAGAGCCAGGCTTCGCCGTCGCGAAAAGAGTGCGTCGGGAGGAAATGCTCGGAATATGATCCAGTTTGATCGAAGTGTTTGAAACGACCCTCGGGGTTGGTTCGAAAGACACAATCCGAACCTAGACACAAAGAAGGGAACAGTAATATCCTACCTCTGTTTATTCCAGCAAAACACAGGGTCGACTGGCTGTCCGTCTATTATCGACAAGTGTGCGTTTTTCATCAGTGCTGGTCAAATTTCACGTTTTTCTTTTCTGAAAAATGACGAGCGTAGGAGCATTAGATTGTTTCAGGCAGTCTAGAGAACGAGCTTAGAAGCATCTTAGCGCGCGCCAGCATCATGTGGCACGAGGCGCGGCGGTCGGAGAAGCGCGTGCACGAGATGATGGACGCCGCGAAGAAGCGCGCCGAGCGGCGCGCGGATCAGCGGTCTCGGCGCGCGGGGGATCCGACGCAGCTGCTGCGCGTGGCGGGCACCAAGCTCCGCCTGGCGCACGATTCCGCCGTCTACCAGTCCGCGCAGGACCTCTCCGGCCTGTCTGTGACTCCCTATCCCTCCTTAGGCTTTCCCGCTCTCCCCCTCCGCTCGCTCCGCCTGGCGCACGATTCCGCCGTCTACCAGTCCGCGCAGGACCTCTCCGGCCTGTCTGTGACTCCTTACCCCTCCTCTCGCTCTCCGCAGAGGCTTGCCAAGGCCTGTCTATGACCACCTATCCCCTCCTTTGATTCGCCTCCCGCCATGGCGGTCATCGCCTGATAGACATTACCCCCTGACCTGGCTTTACGAAATCACAAAGCGGTGCTCTAAGCACTGTCTGAGACCCCTTAATTCCCCCAAAGATTCGCGTCTCGCCGCGGCCTGTCCGTTAACCGTTTCTCCTTCACCCTGTCTTATTTCCTTCCCATGCATCCCCCGTGTTCACTTCCCTTCCTGCTCCCCTCTTTCCCTTCTCTTCTCCCCATGCCCCCACACCCCACCGTCTTTCCCCCCTTCCCTCTCTTCCCACTCAAATCACCTTTTTTATTTTACCTCCTAACCTTGCCTCCTGCCCTGTCTTCGGTTTTCTCATGTAACACTCCCATTTTCCGTTTCCCATTCTATGCATCACCTATCACCCGTGACTGCGCTGGCACCGTTTAAGTAGACTAGACCTACGATTCCAGTCAATAACAAATTATGTTCTTTGGTGACCTTCCCTCTCTCTCTTTTTTGCTAACGTACCTGCTAGGCACTGCCCTGCGCAAATTCCCGTCACATGTTTCTATCCTAATGCCCCTCCTTTTTCTTGCCCTCCTGCTGCCTTCCCTTTCCCTGCTTTCCTCTGCACCTCACTTTCCGCTGCACTACTCTTTGCTGCTTCTGCCCGCGCCTCGCTCCCTCCGCTGTGCTGCTCTGTGTCCCGTGCTCCGCTCTCCGTTCTCTGGCCGTCTGTGCATTCCTTTCCGTGCCGTGCGACCGCCTACAGCATCCCGTGGAACAACAGAGAGGACACGCTTATAGACAGGTAAAAAGTGTAGACAGAGGTCTCCTGTGCATCCCTTTCCACTCCGCTTGACCGCATTGCAGCACCCCTTGGAGCAACAGAGAGGACACGCTCATAGACAGGTGCGTGAAACGGGGGTCTGTCTGTGCTGCGTGGTGCTAAGTCTGGGTTGATATATCTCGAAGACAAACCCCCGTGGCTGCCTGCCTCGTGCAGCATCCCTTGGAACCACAGAGAAGGCACACTCATAGACAGGCGCGTGGGTGAGAGATAATTATTCAGTCTAGAAGAAAGAGAAAGCAACGAGGACATTTTGACCGACATGTGTAAAGTATATAGTATAATGGGTAAGGTGAGTTGTATACATTGTGTGTGTGTCTGCTGCTCTGCTGGTCTGGTAGGCTGATCTTTGACCAGCCTGACAACAATGGCTTCCCTTGGCAAAGAGAAAATGCCATCCCCTCATAAGCGCGGGCCATGGCAGCCTGCTTCTGCCTGACAACAATGGGTATGATTGGAGTTCCCCATGTGCGTTCCTTTCATTCCTGGCAAGCCTGCTTTATGGCACTTGCTGTATCTTAAGTGCATGTCAAATCGAGCACTTGCTTACCGACCCCGCCCATCCCCACCCATCCCCACCGCTGTTGACCACTCGCTGGCATAGGTTTGACGGGCGAGCCATCCTGGATTCTATTCGAGAATACGATCCGCACAGGCACGGGGAGAGGGAGCTGACAGAGCAGCCCAGCACCAACCTGTTACCCGTCTTTCCCCCCTGTCCCTGTGCATTCCCGCACCTGCGACAACACAGGTATGACGGGCGAGCTATGCTGGATTTCATTCGGGAATACGATCCGCACAGGCACGGGGCGAGGGAACTGACAGAGCAGCAAGAGGAGGAGGAGGAGGCATGTAACTTTGAGCGGTACCGGGATCTCGTGCGGCTGGGCTGGCATGCAAGTGAGTAGCCTATCCCGTGTATTGAGGGAGTTAGCGGAGCAGCAGGCGCAGGCGTGCAATTTTGAGCGATACCGAGAACTCGTGCGATTGGGTTGGCATGCAAGTGAGTGTTTGGTATCCTTCTCGTGATCACACTGTAAAGACTTACAACCCTTCACATTGCAGAGCACACAAAGACTGTGTTCTCCGCAGTGTAACAGTCCTTAATCGTTTCTGTCGCATCATATTATCATATACCACTATCCATGACATTGACATTGGCAGAGACGGAGGAGGAGGGATTGCAGCAGGTGGAACGAGAGATGGAGGCAAGAGCCCACGCTCAGCTCAAGGCCAACAGGTAGATAGCACTTGCCCTCCCAGGTAGCACCTGCCCTCCCAGGTAGCACCTGCCCTCCCAGGTAGCACCTGCCCTCCCAGGTAGCACCTGCCCTCCCAGGTAGTACCTGCCCTCACATGTAGCACCTGCCCTCCCAGGTAGCACCTGCCCTCCCAGGTAGCACCTGCCGTCCCAGGTAGCACCTGCCCTCACATGTAGCACCTGACGAGTTAGCGAAGGAGGGATTGCAGCAGGTGACGCGAGAGATGGAGGCCAGAGCACACGCTCAGCTTTTGAGGCGCCTCAAAAGAGATGACTTTTGAGGCGCCTCAAAAGAGATGGAGGCCAGAGCACACGCTCAGCTTAAGGCCAACAGGTAGCCACTCCTCTCTCCATGTTCCCATGTAAGTGCAACACCCATCCCCTCATCATTCAATATCCCCCTTTGAATTTCCAGGTTTTTTTTGTTCCAGTCCAAACTGTCTTCTGTTACTGCTCTTCTGGTCTTGTCTTCCTTCCCGCTCACTTTTTCCCAGGCCAAAATAGCCTGTTGCTTCTACTCTTCTGATCCTTTCTTCCTTCTCTCTTCCTTTTCCCCAGGCCAAAACAGCCTGCAGCAGCTGCAGCACCATCCGCAGCAACACCAGCACCAGGCAAGGGGGCTTATGCTAACGTGGCGTTTTCTTATGGGGCCAGTGACAATAACGCAGGTGATTGTAACGAGGTTGAGGAGGAAGAGAATGAGGAGGAAGAGGAGGAGGAAGAGGAGGGGGATGGGGTGGAGGGGGGAGACGTGGAGGAATACGGGTGGATGTCTCCTAGTGTGCGGCAGCGTTTGGCGGATATGGCGGAGCGGTACGGCATAGAGGAGTATGGGCGGCACATGGATTTGGCAGTATCTGCCTTGGAGAAAGAGAAGAGGCTGCGACAGATGGCGGGCAATGATTCGGTGAGCTCCTGTGCCTTACTTTTCTACTCTTCGATTCATTTTCCTATATACTCTCCCATCCACTCTCCCGTTCACTCCCTACCAGTCACTCTCCCATCCGCCTTCTGTTTTTGATATGCCTTGCCCCCTGCCTACCGGCGGCCTCCTTGTATGGACAGGCTTAAACCAGCCTGGTCACCTCCCATCCCCTCTGTTCTGCTCTGCTCTGCTCTGTTCTGTTCTGTTCTGTTCTGTTCTGTTCTGTTCTGTTCTGTTCTGTTCTGTTCTGTTCTGTTCTGTTCTGTTCTGTTCTGTTCTGTTCTGTTCTGTTCTGTTCTGTTCTGTTCTGTTCTGTTCTGTTCTGTTCTGTTCTGCTCTGCCTGCTCTGCTCTGCTCTGCTCTGCTCTGCTCTGCTCTTCTGTTCTGTTCTGTTCTGTTCTGCTCTGCTCTGCTCTGCCTGCTTTGCTCTGCTCTGCTCTGTTCTGTTCTGTTCTGTTCTGTTCTGTTCTGTTCTGTTCTGTTCTGTTCTGTTCTGTTCTGTTCTGTTCTGTTCTGTTCTGTTCTGTTCTGTTCTGTTCTGTTCTGTTCCGGATTCTCCTTCCTCGCCTTCCAGCGTCCTTCACGCAAGGAGAGGAAGAAGCTTGCTCGGCAGGGGAAGGAAGGGGGGGGGCAGGGGAAGAAGCAGCAGGGGAAAGGGGAGGGGTGGAAGCAGCAGGGGAAAGGGGAGGGGTGGAAGCAGCAGGGGTTGGTGCGGGTTGCGGGCCACACAGAGGGGCAGAGGGGACAAGATGATAAAGGGAGGGACAGGGAGAGAGAACGAGAGTGGGATAGGGATAGGGAGAGGAGAAGGGAAGGGGACAGGTGGGACAGGGAATTAGACAGAGGCAGGGATAGGGACAGGGATAGGGACACGGATTTAGACAGAGGCAGTGACAGGGATAGGGATAGGGACAGGGAGCAGGAGAGGGGTAGGGAGTGGGATAGGGGCAGAGGGGAAGACGCAGGGGGGAGGGGGTCAAGAGGGGATGGGGAGAAGGAGGGCGGGATAGAGTTTATTACCCAGTTTGGCGGGGGTGTTGGTGAGGATGAGGGCTTTGGCAGGGAGAAGGAGAGGAGGAGAGGAGACGACGAGGAGAGGAGGAGAGGAGGCGAGGAGGAGAGGAGGAGGGGGTACGGTGGAGAGCGGTTTGAGAGGGGTTCAAGTGGTGGAGATATCTCGGTTGGTTCCGCTTCACCTGCCTCTTCCAAGCTGTCGCCAGCTGTCAGGTGGGTTATGGTGCGATGGGTGCTCATGCTCACATTGGTCAGGTGTTTTATCAGGTCCCTCTTTCAAGAAGTCGCCAGCTGTCAGGTGTGATAATAGTGTGATGTGTGCTTGTGCTGGTTTGGTGTTATGTGTTTGCTTGTCCTGTACTGGTCGGGACTCAGGTGTGATGTGTAGGTACGTGCTTATGCCTATCAATGCCTGTCAGGCTGAGAATTTTCCAGTGGAATTCGTCATGTGTTTGATTGTACCAATCAGGTGTGTTTTTGAGTCGACTCAAAAACAGGCTTGAGTCGACTCAAAAACGTGGTACGTGCTCATGCCTGTCAGGCTGCCTTTGCTACAGCTGTCACTTGCTTGCGTTGGTGCGTTGGCTTTTCAGTTTTTTCAAACACCAACTTTCCACTTCCTCCCGTCTTTCCCACAGCCGCTGCTTGCTTACATCATCGTCGCCACCTTCATTGGCAGGGGCAAGGGAGCAGAGGGAGGGACAAAGGAGATTGATCGTTCTAATCAACTGAAAAAATGGTATTCCCCTCTCCACTCCCCCTCCTTCCACTTTCTCCCCGTTTTTTTCCCACAGCCGTCGCTTGCTTGCACCATCTACATTACCTCGAGTGGGAGGGACAGGCAAGGGAGCGGAGGGAGGGGCTAAAGAGACCCCGCAGGAGAGGCTGAAGCGGCTGATGGCGAAGCAGCTGAACAAACACAGTAGGTTGGGTGTGCAGTGGGTTAGGGGTGAAGCGAGGGTAGTTGACATGTTGATATGTGAAGGGAGGGCCATAGGATCAGGAGAGGCTGAAGCGGCTGATGGCGAAACAGCAGACACAGTAGGTTGGGAGCGTGGCGAGTCGTGTTAGGTCGTGGTGGGCCGTGTGGGGTGCGTTCAACAAGAGTGGGGGAAAGTAAGAAGAAGTGGAGTTGGATAGTTTCAAGGTTTGAAAGTTGAAGCGTATACCATGTTATTCTCCCATGCTTTCCCTGTACCTCTGCCTTTTTGTGTGTGGCAGTCAAGAAAGACACAGCAGCAGAGAAAGCGAAGAAGCAGGAGCAGGAGAGATTGAAAGCAGCTGACCTCCGTTTTCCCTGGGTCTGTTACACCATGTTTGTTCTCCCATGCTTTGCCCCATGTCTGTTACCGTGCTCCCATCCCATGTTTGTGTGTGGCAGTCAAGAAGGATACAGCAGCAGAGAAAGCGATGAAAGAGGAGCAGGAGAGGTTGAAGCGAGCCAAGCTTTTCCGTTTGCCCTGTGTCCATTCCTCCACGTTTGTTCTTCCATGGTTCTCCCGTACCTGTTTGTGTGTAGCAGTCAAGAAAGACACAGCAGCAGAGAAAGCGAAGAAGGAGGAGCAGGAGAGGTTGAAGCGAGCTAAGCTAATCCGTTTGCCCTGTGTCCATTCCTCCATGTTACTTCTCCCATACCATTTTGTGTGTGGCAGTCAAGAAAGATACAGCAGCAGAGAAGGCGAAGAAGCAGGAGCAGGAGAGGTTGAAACGAGCTAAGCTGGAAGAGACTCGCCGTGCTGCTGCAAGGTACCGAGACAGGAGCAGAAGCAGGAGCAGGAGCTGGGACAGGGACAGGAGCAGGAGCAGGAGCAGGGACAGGAGTAGAGACAGGGACAGGGGAAGGAGCAGGAGCAGGAGTAGGAGCAGGAGTAGAGACAGGAGCAGGGGCAGGAGCAGGAGCAGGAGCAGGAGCAGGAGCAGAAGCAGAGACAGGAGCAGGAGGGGCAGAAGCAGAAGTTGGAGCAGGAGCAGGAGCAGGAGTAGCAGCAGGGGCAGGGGCAGGAGCAGGAGCGGCAGTAGGGACAGGGGCTGACGAGCAGGAGCAGGAGCAGCAGCAGCGACAGGGGCAGAATGAGTAGAAGTTTTGTGTTGCCACACAAAACCCACTGATTGCCACACTTGCGAAGAGTTTTGTGCGTTCACCCATCAAGTCCGCAAGCTGGTTTGTGCCGTTTCGAATACGCACCCGTTTACTGAAAATGATGCAGGAAACATTACAATTTACATAAAAAGGGTCATGTGCAGTTATTCCCACCATTTCAATTGACTGACACACATGTGCAAGTTCAACAAGTTTGGTGCTGGTCAATTGAACCTACGCGCGACGCTGCGACGCTGCGAGCGCACACACGCTCTGCTGCATGCCTTTGGCTGGCTCGGGCTTTCCGGTGCTCCTCAGAAGAAATTATCGTCGACGATATTGAGTTTTGTGACTGAAAGAAGTTGGAATGGGCATTTGGTGGTTACTTGAGCTAATCGACGGGAGATGGTTTGTGTGAGAGGTGGTGCCGTGTGCGCGAATCTCAGTTGGATGGAGTTTCTGGAAAGGATGGGGCTCGAGAATCGAGGGTGGCAAATTGCCGCCGCTAAATTCGAACGGCCGCGATGTAATCTCGAGCCATCCGCCGACGGCCATGCGGGACCGCCAAAATCATCAGTCCAGCATCTTTTGGCGTGCGGGCAACCCAGAATGATTTGGTGAGATGATGGAAGCAATTGGTGCAAGACTTTGTGAAATGTGCCTCGGAAGGCGTGGTTGTGCGGCCTGTGCGAATCGCGGTCGATAATATTGAAAGCTCTGGGGATTTTGAATCGAGGGTGATAAAACGCCGCCGCTAAATTTGAACGGCCTTGATACATTCTCGTTCCGTCCGTCGATGGCCGTGCGAGTCGCCAAAATCACCAGCTCAGCATCTTTTCCAGTTCGGGGGAGTCAGAATGAATGGGGTGATTTATTGTGTGAGTGTTGGTGAATGTGCCTCAAGTCGAGAGGTGTGGTGCTGCCTGTGCGAATCGCGGTCGATTTTGAAAGTCGGTTCTGAAAGTTGTGAATCAAGGGTGGTAGATGGCGCCGCAAAAAGTGAACGACTTAGATTGAAGGTTGAGCCATCCGCCGACAAGCGGCCAGACCGCTAAAAAGTGAACGACTAAGTTGATTCGGGTTTTACCTACCGCATGCAGATCTTGCTAGTGCAGCTTTGCAAACGCATGCAATAGACGGTTCAGGGGAAAATGGTCGGCTTGCCGGCAAAAACATGCGGTTACCCGTGTTTAGGGTTGAGGCTCCCTCAATCGCATGCCATCCAGATGGGGTTTATTTTTTTCTGACCGCGGGCAGATAACAGTCCGTCAGTCTCTTTCCCCTGCGGCCGTCTATTGTATGCGTCTGCATAATCGCGCTGGCATAAGTTGAATGCCGTTAAAAATGGCCCAAGTTGATTGGCACTTTTTTTATGTCAGCGATACTTCGACTTCGAGTAGAGTCAGAATGGTTGGCGCATATACCCGTTTGTAGCTGTTCTCGTGTTTATATTCTTTAATTTGTTGAACACCTCCGAGCGTATCTGCTCATATACAGAGTGTAGCACAGGTTTGGCCAGCCCTTCCAGAAGGTTCCGAGTTACGGGCAGGTTAGGTATTAGTCTGGCCAATATTTTGCGTGAGTTACGGGACGGCAACTGCCGTCGCAACGAGCAAGGCTCTTGCTAAATCAGAGTTCGGGCAGCTGAAATGGAACTGGTTGGATGGAAGAATCTGTTAGGACCAATCAGGATGGGGAACCGAGAGCAAAGAAGAACCGAGAGAGGAAGGAAAGCTGGGGAAGCAAATCCAAACAAATTTGTGGTAACAGGGAAGGGAATCAAAACATCAAGCAAGATAGCAAATCACTGTAACGGGGTGTGGGTTGGTGCACCAACCACCCGCTCGCTATAATCGACATTGTCGCTGCTGTTGTCCACGTTCCTGCCTCAGATCCAGACTTTGGTTGTCTCAGATCTGAGCCTAGTCCAGTAACTACTCTCGCCTTTCCTCTGACCTCCTAATGTTTTCGATTGATTCTTCAGATCCTTCCACCCATGGTCGTTCCGTGACGAATGGTAACAGCATTTTTCAGATGCGTACTATTTTCAATCCTAGGAATGACAAGCCCAATTCGTGCACTAATTTCTTCGCGGAAGGGACTTTCGGTAGAGCAGTCACACAAAAATGTACGACCGCTTTAAGATTGATTTTCGCGTCGTAGGTAGATCTGACGATCTCGCCCGTTTTACAGCTAACCCTAGAAACGCCATGTCCGTGTGAAGCTCGTCAGCTGCTGACGCGGGCTTTAATGTCTTCTAAGAAGACGCCGCTGACGCTGTCTTTTTAACTAGACGCCGCTGACGCTTTCCTTGATGGACGTTAAGACTGCTAAACTCGCATCAGAGGTATCGTGAAGTGGAGCACGAATGTGAGTTCATTCTCCCTTCCCCTTCCTGCCCCCTCTCCTCCCCCTCCCCTCCCCCTCCCCCTCCCTTTCCCCCGGTCCTTTCGCCGTCTCTCTCTCCTTTCGCCATTGCATGGTAGCAATCTTGTCTCTTCACTCCGTCTTGCCTCCGCTCGTCCCTCAACTCCCCGTCACTCGCGCTCTCCCCATTCCCAATTTCGCTCGCCCCTCGTCCCCCTACGCTCATCCGTTTTCACTCAGCGCTGATACCTTTCCCCCCCTGCGCTCACCCCTCGTCCCCCTGTGCTCATCCGTATTCACTCAGCGCTGATACCTCCCCCCCCCGCGCTCACCCCTCGTCCCCCTGCGCTCATCCATTTTCACTCAGCGCTGATTCCTTCCCCTCCCCCCTGCACTCACCTTTCCTTCCACCATAATTATCCCCCTCAACCCCCCTGCGATTACCTCTCATCCCCTCTTTGCTCCCGTCATTTCTCCATGTGCCCCCCTCCTTCCGCCTGCGCTCACACCTTATTCCCCCTTTGTTTATCCCTCATTCTCTCCGTGCTGCTGCATACCTCTGTGCTCACCCTTTTTCTTGAGCCCATCCCTTTCCCATCCCCCGCTTTCCCCCCTGTGTTCATCCATCCCCCATTTCCTTACCTCCCCCCCTGGCCGCATCCCTCATCCCCCCTTGCAACACTCACCCTTCGTTCCCCCTTCCTTTCCATCACCCATCCCCCTGTGCCCATCCCTCATATCCACTATGCTCACCCCTCCTCTCTGCACTCATCAGTCGTTTGCTATGTGAGTTCCTCGTTGCACTCATCCCATTCCCCTGCACTCATCCCTCATCCCTCCACCCCTAAAGCTCCCTGCATTTATTCCCTTTCTGAAGTCTGATCTGAACATAACATGATAAGTTCGTGTAGAGAATTGATGTAAATTCATACGTTTAGATGTTCTGAAGGCAAATGTGAAAATGTGCAAATGTTTGATCACCTGTTTTATTTTACAAGGCTGTCTCAAGCAAGTGCAGCATCCTCTTGTACCATGCATGATTCAAAGTATAATGTATGATACTATGATACAAAAACACATTCCAACTTAATAATCGTGGGATGGGGCAAGGATCCACAAGAGCAGATCTGTGTCAGGCTTGCTTCATAACAATGTGCAGGCAAGCCATGTCCAAAAATACCTGGATACCGTACAACCAGACCAGAACCTATCAGACTAGACCAGACCAGACCAGAACCTATCAGACCAGACCAGACCACACCAGACCAGAACCTATCAGACCAGACCAGACCACAGCAGGAGAGTTGGCTCGACCGTCTGAGGCTATGGTGCAGTCGCTGCGAGGGAAGCACCCAGCTAGCAGTGGCGAGGTACCACCGTGGGTTCGTGAGTTTACTGTCGACGCTCCTCAGCGGCCTCCACTCACGACCGACATCCTGGCTAGAGCTATCCACACAGCTGCTCGCGCCTCAGCTGCAGGGCCATCGGGATGGGTCACAGAGCATCTGCGCGACACTTTCCTCACGGAACCTTCCTGCCTCTCCCACCTGCTGGAAGTGTTCAACCAATGGGTGGCGGGACAGGTCCCCGAGCGAGCTCGGCCCTGGCTCGCCGCATCCAACCTAGTCGGGCTTTCCAAACCCAACGGTGACGTCCGGCCGGTGGCGATCGGGGAGGTGCTTCCGCGTATCCTCGCTCGAGCTCTCTGCATCTCGCTTCGCCCTGTGATGGCTTCTTATTTTCTGCCGTGTAACCAGCTGGGAGTGGGCACCAGGGCCGGGGTGGAGATTCTTACTCATTCTTTCCGGTCAGCGCTGGCCACTCACCCCGACTGGTGTGCGCTGCAGATAGATGTCGCGAACGCCTTCAATTCGTTTCATCGCCACGCGATGTTCGAGGGGCTGAAGGAGTCGCCTTTCTCAGGAATGATCCCATTCTTGCGTGTCTTCTATGGGACACCTAGCGACCTGTACCTCCGAGCGGGCCCTTTCGTACAGAGTCTTGAGTCGGCACGAGGATCGCGACAGGGGGACCCGCTCGGCCCTTTTCTTTTCGCTTTCACGCAGCAGCAGGTGCTGGGGACGGTGACTAGAGAGTTCAGGGACCTACTTTTCTTGAGCTATGCAGACGATACCTACATCCTGGGACCAGCGGCTAGGATTCTGGAGGCTTTTGGGGTGCTGCGGGAGAGGTTGGAGTGGGTGGGGCTGGAAGTGCAGGCGCACAAGTGCAGGTTTTGGGAGCGTGGAGGTGGGGATATGGAGCGGGCATTGCCTTTGGGGATGCAGCGGGAGGAGGAGGGTCTCACTGTGGTGGGCGTGCCTATTGGGGAGGAGGATTGGGAGGGGGCCCGATTACGGAAGCGGCTTCGCGAGTTGCAGGCGCCATTGCCGTGGCTCCCCCTGCTCGACCACCCCCAGATGGCCTCGCATCTCCTCGCTATTGCAGTTTCAGCACGGCCGATGTACCTGGCCCGGACTATGCCGCCGCGGCCGGAGGTGGTGGAGGCCTTTAGAGAGTGGGACAGCTGTCTGGAGGATTGCTTTGAGCAGCTTTTCCCCCCTGGCACTTGGGAGCAGGACCCCGGCAGGTCTAGGCGCGCACGCATGCAGCTGCATCTCCCTGTGCGCCTCGGAGGGTTTGGGATCCGGGCGGCGGCCTCTTTGAGTCCGCTCTCCTATGTTTGTGGGTGGGCGCAGGCCGCACGGGATATTGCACATTTGGGGGTGGCGGGCGAGGAGGCGATGTTCGCAGAGTACCTCACCACTTCAAGGGGGCGGAGCTTCTTGACCCGTGGTTTGCCAAGGCCATTGAGCAGTTGCCCGCGACTATACGCCAGGAGCTGCCGGACTTACCCCTGTGTGTGGCGGCCCCTCCTCTTCGGCTTTTCCAGGCGCGGCAGCGGCAGTTGGCTGTTGAGGAGCTCCAGGCACTCCGCCGCTTGGCTCGTGACGATGCCACCCTGGCCCGTTTCACATCCCTTCAGGGCCCGGGGGCTGGTGCATGGGTTTCGGCAGTTCCGGCTCATTCAGATCTCACATTCACTGCAGCGGAGTGGGGCATTGCTGCTGCTATACGGCTTGGTCTCCCAATCCAGCAGCTGCAAGTGGCGGGGAGGTGTGTTTGTGGCACAGCGTATGATGACCCAGCAGACCCGCATCATGCGCTGAGATGCAAGCACCAACACGGTCCATCTCGGGTGCATGATGAGGTGAAGTTTGCGGTGGCAAAGATCGCTAAGGCGTCAGGGGGGGTGGTGACGATGGAGGATAGTGCGGTGCTGCCGGGGAAGCGGGTTGACGTAGCGGTGCGACGACCAATGGCTGGGGAGGCTCATGCTTTAGAGATTAGTGTCGCGGACCCGCTATCACTGTCTCCATCTCTGCTAGGGCAGTGCGGGCGGTCTATAGGCGTGGCGGCAAAGGAGTGGGAGCGTCGCAAAACGGGGGATTACGCGCCTCTTCTTGCACGGAACCGAGGCGTGCAGTTCACCCCTTTGATAGTGGAGACGTGGGGGTGTCTCGGCGGTCGCTTCCGGCGGTGGCTTCGACAGCAGGGGGACGCGCACGTGGGGCTAGCTGTGTCACGGGGGGCTTGTCGGGAGGATGACACTTCGTTCTCGGCTTACCTTTTGGGGTCTCTGAAGGCGCTCATCGGAGTGGCGTTACAACGGGCGCAAGCTCGTGTCATCCTGCTTCGGGCGGCGTCTTCCATGGGGGGGTTGAATGTGGACTTGGTGGATCGGGAGAGGGACGATGTCGAGGTGGAGGGCGGGCCTCTTTGGGTGGAGGCCCCCTACATGGTGGATGTGCAGATGTGACTTGGGGGGGGAGGGGGGGGGGCGAGGGGGAATGGGGTGCGAGATGGGACGTCTGGTAGGGGATCCTGGTTGGGTTTTTTCTTTATGGAGTATTTTTATGGGGCTTTTTATGGGTGTTGCGTTTGAGTTGTTTCTGGTGTCTTTCTTTCCCTTTTCCTTCTCCATTAGCTGGTTCTGTCATTTCCTTGGCTTGAAGCATTCGCATGTCCTCCGCGGTGGATTGTTGAGGAAGAATGGTGTATATATCCTTACAAATATTTCTACAAAGACGCAGATTAGACCAGAACCTATCTGTGGATGGAACACCTGGTTTTGATGTTTAGCTGCTGGTAACCAGCTCCTTTGCCCGTAACTGCTGTCATTTTCCAAGGTATTGACACTAAAAGTCGATCTCATGGGTGGAATCCCATGAGATCACTGCTCTTCTGAGATTGGACGGCGGAAATTCCAGCCTCAGCTGGTAACCAGCTCCATTGCCCATCACTGCTGTTATTGTCACGCTGTTGACACTAGAAGTCAATCCCATGGGTGGCATCCCATGAGATCACTGCTCGTCTGAGATTGGACGGCGGAAATTCCAGCCTCAGCTGGTAACCAGCTCCCTTGCCCATCACTGCTGTTATTGTCACGCTGTTGACACTAGAAGTCAATCCCATGGGTGGCATCCCATGAGATCACTGCTCGTCTGAGATTGGACGGCGGAAATTCCAACCTCAGCTGGTAACCAGCTCCCTTGCCCGTCACTGCTGTTTTCCGCCTCCTGCGACCACCGCCCTGCCACGCCAGAAAGAGAGATACGCAGAACAACGATTATACTTTAGGCACCTCCGAAACAGTCTCAGCTGGTAACCAGCTCCCTTGTCCTGCGAAACCGCCCTTCCACGCCAGAAAAGAGACAGTATAACCTACAAGCAGGAGGAGGTGAGGTGCATAAGAAGAGTGCAAGGAATGCAACAGGTGCCACCCCAGCCTTGAAGGAAACAGTCAGGAGGAGGTGAGGTGCGTATGCGGAGTATGGAGTAGGCACCTCACCAGCCTTGTACCCTGCCCGAGGTGACTTTTGAGGCGACTCAAAAGTCATTAGGCACCTCACCAGCCTTGTACCCTGCCCGAGGTGACTTTTGAGGCGACTCAAAAGTCATTAGGCACCCCACCAGCCTTGTACCCCACCAGCCTTGTACCCAACACTGACTGCCGCACCTTGAAATGAATTATAGAGGACATGAGGTGCTGGACAGTGGAAATTGTGGTGCTAACTAAGGGAGTAAAGAAGGCAACAAGAGGAGGTGCGGTGCGAGGTGCTTACGAAAAGGGTGAAGAAGGCAACAGGTGCCACACCAGCCTTGTACCCAACACTGACTGCCAACACGCCCTGAGATGCCTCTGCTGCTCCCCCTACTATCTCATTGGTTCCCAGGAACCGTGTTGTCTCCATCTCCCACCCTTGCCTTGTGCCTGATATTGTGCTCTTGAATCTGAGAGGAGAGAGACCAATAGAAGTAAGACGGAGAGCGGGTTTTGCAGATAATCAATAAACAGGAAAGTGATGCCCTCTGTAGGTTCCACAGCTGAAAGAGTGAGAACCCACTAAATACCATCTGTCGCCATACAGTAACTTTCCGTATTTCAACTGCTGTTACACAGAAGCTTACAATAACAAAGAAAGAACTGATGCATCAAATCATGCGTGTGCTTCAACACATACCGCATTTGAGCCTCGGGCTTGACAGCGGGTCCCAGCTGTCGCACTGTGATTGGCTGAAGCACCTCCACTGACACTCCCCGATCGGCGAGGGAGAGTGAGGGCGTCACACGCGTTCCCAAGGGGTGCTGTGGGGGGAGTGAAAGGAAGGGGGGAAGAAGTTGAATGGAAGGGGAGGGAACGAGAGGGAGAATGAGGGTGTCACACGCGTTCCCAAGGGGTGCTGGAGAGAGGAGAGGGAGGGAGAGGAGGGGGGGGGAGGGAGAAGAAGGGAAGGAAAGAGAAGAGAAAGGAAGGACTTTTGGCACGTCTCAGAAGTTGGCTGAAGCACCTCCACTCACAACCCCCAGGCGGCGAGACCAAAGGGGTGCTGGGTGAGGGAGACGGAAAGGGAAGGGGAGAGAGGAGGGAAGGTGAGTGAGAGAAGGCTGAAGCACCTCCACTGGCACTCAGTGGTCAGCGAGAGAGAATGAGGGCGTCACACGCGTTCCCAAGGGGTGCTGTGGAAGGGGTAAAAAGGGAGGGGAGAGAAGGGCAGGGGAAAGAAGGGAAGGGGAGAGAAGAAAAGGGGAGAGAATGGAAGGGGAGCCCACCTGATAAGCAAACCCCACAGTGGCCATGTCAACTGACCGCCCCTCCACCTTCAGCACGCCAATGGCACGGCAGGAAGAGAATCACCTTGACCCCGTTGACCCCGTTGACCCCGTCGACTCCGTTGACTCCGTTAACCCCCCATTGGCTCAGTTCAGCTCCCTCCATCCCACCTACCTGATAGGCGAACCCCACAGTGGCCGTGTCTGCTGTCCGCCCTTCCACCTGCAGCACACCCCTCAGCGGCTGGCACGGCAGGAAGAAACTCGCCTTAAACCCGTTGACCCCGTTGACCCTGTTGACTCAGTTCACCACCCACCCACCTGGTATGCAAACCCCTAGTGGCCATGTCTGCTGTCCGCCCTTCCACCTGCAGCACGCCCTTCAGCAAATGGCACGGCAGGAAGAAACTGGCCTTGGGAGATAGAGAGTGTGTGACACCTGACCAGGGCTGAGCCGCGCAAAGCATGCACAGTCACTCCCCACCTGATAAACTACCCCTCACCTGATAGGCAAACCCAACAGTGGCCGTGTCTGCTGTCCGCCCCTCCACCTGCAGCACTCCCCTAAGTGGCTGACACGGCAGGAAGAGACTGGCCTTGACTCCATTGACCCGGTTCATAAGAAACTCGCCCCGAGGGAAGTCAACCCACAGCATGTCCTGACAGGATGAGACACATAGTGGGGTGAGGGGAAGGGAGATCAAAAGAATGAAGAGACTGGCCTTGACTCCGTTGACCCGGTTCATGAGGAAGTCAACCCACAACATGTCCTGGCAGAGGGCAGGGAGAGGGGAAGGGGCAGAAGGAGGGGAATCTGGGCATGCAGGCATGCGGGCATGTGCGCATGTGAGCATTTGAGTATGTGAGCATGTGGGTGCGAAAGCATGGGGGACATGCAGGCATGCGGGCACATACCGCGTGGCAAGCTGGCAGCTTGAGGGAGAGGAGGGCTCGGTAGGCCATGGATCCAAACAACAGAGCGCATATTAGGCCGTGGGCTGGTAACATGTGGGCACACACATACCACGTGGCAAGCTGGCAGCTTGAGGGAGAGAAGGGCACGGTAGGCCATGGAGCGAGCCCACCACCCCACCATGAGCGCCGTGCGATGGCTGGGCCGCTCCTGGCATGGGTGGGAAGGAGGGAAGGGGAGGAAATAGCTTTCCAGGGGCGTCAGAACGGGACCAAACAAGAAGTGCATCACCCCAACAACACACACATGTCAACATACCTGAAGGTCATGGAAGATTTGCACAAGGGAGTTGATGCCAGAATGCAGGGTGGCTCGAAAGAAGGGCACCAGACAGGGCGCATAGAAAACCTGAAGATCAACATACCTGAAGGTCGCGGAAGACCTGCACGAGGGAGTTGTCGCCAGAATGCAGGGTAGCTCCGAAGGACAGCACCAGGCGGGGGCGGTCCCATCTCAGGCGGAGAGGGCATCAAGCATCACCGTCAACCCCAGACGCACCTGAAGACTAACACACCTGGAGGTCGTGGAAGATTTGCACGAGTGAATTGTCGCCAGAATGCAGGGTGGCTCCGAAAGACGGCACGAGGCGGGGTCGGTCCCATCTCAGGCGGAGAGGGCCGATCTCGGGAGCGATGGAGAAACGGGTGAAGGGCGAGGAGGGACGACCTTCTGCCACTGCTCTGATGCGAAGCGGGAAGGAGGGCCGGGAGGAGGAAGAAGAGGAGGAGGAGGAAGGGGAGGAGGAGGAGGTAGAGGTAGAAGACGAGGAGGAGGATTCAGGAGAGTTTGACGAGAAGAAGGGAAGGTGAGGGAGAGGGAGGGACGGGAGCGGGAACGGGAGGGGCGAGAGCGAGGGGATGTCTAGCGAGAGTGCGGTTCGGAGGATGTCGGTCCGCGAGTTGTACTTGCTGGTAACCGTAACCGTGCGTCTCTTGCGCGCGGCCTCCACCCGCTTCGCCACGTGGTCAAAGGCGCGCAGAAACGCCTCGGGATTAGCCTCTACCATCTGACGCAGCTGCATGACTGATATCCTCCCCCCTGCCCCTGCTCCCAATCCCGCTCCTAATCCCGCTCCTCCCACTCCAAAACCCCCTCCTCCTGCTCCTCCTGCTCCGAATCCTGCCCCTCCTCCTCCTGCTCTTCTTCTCGCGAACGAGGCTGTAGATCGTCCAAATTGGGTATTCAGCCCGCCTATGCCCATCCCCAACCCATTTCCCTCCCCTGATTCCGCGTCTGCGCCTCTGCCCCATAGTCTTTCCGCTGCGCCCATCCCCTCCCGCACTTCCTCCGCATTTGCGCCCTCCCTCCGCCTCCCAAGGCTGATGGGCAACATGCGAAATAACCCCAGCCTATTGGGGGTACGACCCACCCCAGCCTCTTCTAGACCGTCTCTCCTTCTGACCTCGCTAAGAGAATCCCTGTAACGGGTTCTAGATGACACTGCGAGCTCCCTAGTGGGCCTGGACTCTTCGTACTCGTTACAGCCCTGGTTTGGTAATAGGCTCGAGACCTGCCTGATACACTTTTGCACGAGCCCTAGGCCATCTGAATCCTCACTTTCCAACCTAGCTTCAACAGGACCGCCCACAGGAGAAATACGCTTATTTACAGTAATAGCCCCCTTTTCTCCCTCAAAACCCCTCCTATTTTGGTCACTATGAAACCGTGCCTGCTGCTGCTCAGCGAGTTGCTGCTGTGCAGGCTGCTTCTTCTGAAGCTTCCTCCATTGCTGTATCAGCGTCTCTTCACCACCCCCACCATCTCCACCACCCCTTCCCCTTCCCCCATCTCTTCCCCCCTGCTCTGATGCTGCTCCCTTCTTTCCTCTCGCAACCCCTCCCGAGCCTATCACCCCTCCCTCCGGACCTCTTAGGACCAAAATTTGAACTCTCTCATCGCCCGAATCCGCCTCCACCAATGGCGAGCTCCCATTCTCCGACTTGACGCGGATACCGCGTCCTCCATCAGAACTGCCGTCCGCTGCCGGCCAGCCGGCTGAGCTGCCGTGCCGTCTCTCCCACCCGCCGTCCCACCTCGGGATTGCCTCGTTTTCCTCTCCGTCCGCTCCCTCAGAGCTCCCCTCAGGACGCGAAACCCTAGACGCTAGTCTATGAAGCAGGCTGTGCCGCGACGGCTGCCCGCGAACGAGCTCCCGCCCGGGAAACGACTTTTGCGGCGCTTCGAATAAAGACCTAATAACTGTGGGAGACGCCAAGGAAGATCTCGCTTCGGGAGCGGGAGAATTTCCTCGCGGAGAGGCGGAACGCGGAGGAATTGCAGGGGAAGGAACCGGGGAGAGGGCTGGCGGAAGGAGAGCAGGGAAGGACGCGGAGCGCGGTGGGAATAGACGAGGGTTGAGAGGCGGGGAAGCGGGGGAGGGGGAGGAAGTAGCCAGCGACGGAGATTGCGAAGGCGGGTGAGCTGACGACGTCGGCGACGACGTTGGCGACGACGACGTTGGCGACGACGACGTTGGCGACGACGACGTTGGCGACGACGACGTTGACCGCGAACTTCGAGCACCGCGTGACGGTTCTTGAGGGGAATCTTTCGAGGCTAGCGCTGTATACGAGCCCCCGCTATACGAGCCTATTTCCGCTACCTCCCGCTGCCATAAGTTGTCATCCACTGGAAAGCCATCATCCAGTAGAGCCTTCTGTTTCTCCTGCCTTCCTGTTTGACTTGCGCCTGAACCTTTTCTATACGTCCCGTCCTTATTCAAACGCCTTACGGATGATTTTTTTCGCGAACGGGCATTCCTGACAGCGCCCGTTGCAGCTCCTGCTGCTGCTGCGCCATTTGCGCCGTTACTTCCGCTTCTTCTGCTACTAGCGCGGCTCCCCGTAGTAGGATTTGGGCCAGCGCACTGGTTGTCGTTTTCCGCGGCTTGGTGGGCAGGAGAGGCTGAAACGCCGGGGGAGAGCAGCAGCGAGAGCTGCTCTGCCGCCTTCCTCGCGCGACCCTTGAGATCGCCGAGGAAATCCATAAGAACTGAAGGTGCGTTCTACAGACGAATTTTGAAGCGCCTCAAAAGGCGGGACCCTTGAGATCCTCGAGCACGTCCATAAGAGCTTAGGGCGCGGTTCATAGAGTTACGACCTGCTCCAGTTCGAACCGCCACCAGATGTACCACGCTGGTGACCACCTAAAGTACACCACAGTGTTTTTGGCCTCTTTAGATTATAATCTGTGAGCTAGACATGAATATACAAACTCAGGTCTAGCTATTCCTGGAAATTGAAAAGCTTTACTACATAAGACTGTGTGGGAAAGTATGGGAGCTCCTAGGTTTCAGGTATGAAATCAAGTACCAGGTGAATTTTTGAGCTTTCTAGGTGAAGGGATAAACGGGGAGGGGCCGAAGGGGCGAGGTTCGGCAGTGCCGCTTGCGGTGCGGAGATTTCAAGGTTGGTAGGGAGTGAAGCCACTTTGGTTCGGTCCAAGCTTGCCTCATTCCGCAACTGCCACATCCGCTAGATTTGTTGACGAAGTCCTCCATATTCATTTGCGGTGTAGACCTAGGTCGTGCACAAAAATGCATCTAATCGCTATAGAGGTTGTCCCGCTTCTATCGAGGTCGTGTCCAACGGAGTCCGTTGCTTGCTTGGGGGTTGAAATTCAAAATTCAAAATCAAAATCCAAGACTGCATCCAGCTTCTGCTTTCTCTGATTAGCGGTATCCCGCCAGGTCGTTGACTACTACACCTGCTCTCCTGACCTAGTGAATGCAACGCACGCTCGTTTCAGATTTAAACGCTTTAAGTCGCCGGCTAATTCAAGTTCGCTGCGTCTATTGCCAGCATCCAACTTTTCAACAAGACCTTAGTCGTCGATAGTAGTAGTAACCCACGATCATCGGCATGGACTCAAGCAAGCGGCTTCGAGGCCCTGCCGCTCAGATAGCCTCGTCAAAACGGCCGTTTCCCGCTCGCGGCGGCGGCGGTAGCGGAATTCCCGCGTCGCGACGCGACGAGGAGGAAGGAGATGCGATGGCGGTAGGGACGGAGGAGGAAGAGGAAGAGGTGGAAGAAGCCGTCGCGATCGGCGGCGACGCGGGAGGAGCGGATATGGATGAGGACGAGGCGATGATGATCATGATGGCGGAAGACGAGACGGATTTGATTCGCAGAGCGGAGCAGGCGGCGAAGGAGGAGGCCCGGCGGGTAGGACAGATGGGTAGGCTGCAGCCGCTTTTAGCTAAGTGGCGGCGACAGCCGGTGGCGGAGTTTGACCCTAGAAAAACTGATATAGGTGAGAAGGCCAGTGATTGATAAGTGTAGTGGGTCATTTGTCAGGCGAGTCTCATTAAGCTTGGAATTTGGCGAAGTACGGCGAAGCACATGCAGAAAGATAGGTCTGATGCCGTGTCCTGATGCGAGCGGTCCAGAGCCTTAAAAGAGAGCCGATCGTTGGGGAGAGGCAGATAGGGATGGACCCTCGACTTGACGGACGAGATGACGGACGGATAGAAAGAGCTGAAAAAATGACTGACACACGGACAGACGTTCATGACATAGTGCAGAATGGGTGTCAAGATGCATGATGGATGTCTATGCTCATGAGTGTCAAGATGCATGATGGATGTCAATGCCTATGAATGTCAAGATGCATGATGGATGTCAATGCTCATGAATGTCAAGATGCATGATGGATGTCAATGCTCATGAATGTCAAGATGCATGATGGATGTCAATGCTCATGAATGTCAAGATGCATGATGGATGGATGTCAATGCTCATGAATGTCAAGATGCATGATGGATGTCAATGCTCATGAATGTCAAGATGCATGATGGATGTCAATGCTCATGAATGTCAAGATGCATGATGGATGTCAATGCTCATGCATGATGGATGTCAATGCTCATGAATGTCAAGATGCATGATGGATGTCAATGCTCATGAATGTCAAGATGCATGATGGATGTCAATGCTCATGAATGTCAAGATGCATGATGAATGTCAATGCTCATGAATGTCAAGATGGATGATGGATGTCATGTGCATCGATGTCATTGTGCAAAGAACATATGTCTGTGCACCCCTTTCCCACGCTCTCATTCCTGCAGTGTTTCAGCAGCTTGACATTGACTATTACTTGACATCCGACTCACCCTTCAAACCCCATTGCAAGAACCGATTTTATTAGTCGACTCAAATTATCCCATTCCCACGCTCTCACTCCCGCCGTCTCTCAGTGTTTCAGCAGCTTGACATTGACTACTACTTGACATCTGACTCACCCTTCAAGACTCATTACAAGAGCTCCGCTGTACTGCGGATCTTTGGTGTCAACGAACATGGTCAGTTCACCTCTTTCTGTCAACTATTCAGGCTTATTTTCCGTCCCTTTTTATAATCTTATCTTTTCTCCTACCTCCCCCTACTGCCTCTGTCGTCCCCCCATCCGCATCAACAATTTGTTTGTTTCACAGCTAAAGTGTTTCCCCTTTCCTCTAATCTCACTCCATTGTCTCACCACTTATTTGTCCTGGCTCATGATGCTTCCAGGAAACAGTGTGTGCGCTATGGTGCACGGCTTTCTGCCCTACTTCTATGCGATGGCACCGTCGCAATTCACATATGATGATGTTGCTGCCTTCCACACCCAACTCTCGGTATAGTCACACGCTTTGACATTTCCAGTTGCACTTTCTATCTTTGGCAAAGTCTTACAATGGATATGTATTATTTATTTATACATGTATGTAAATGTACGTATATATTGATATGTGTGTCCAATTGTGTGTGGATGTGCACCTTCATGTAACAGCATGAGTAACTGTACCGTACTGTACATGTGACTGCAGGAACGAGGTCAGGCGAAGGGAGTGGTTGTGATAAAAGTGGAGATGCTGAAAGCGCAGGGCCTGCTTTACTATCAAGGCCCGGATAAGAAGACATTTCTTAAGATCACACTCGCTCTGCCCACCATGGTGGCTCCATGCAGAGGTGAGTGCTGCACTGTCAACCATGGTGGCTTCATGAATCTCATGATCGATTGCCACTTCTGACTGACTGTGATGTCATCTTGCTGCTGTCTCCCTCTCCTTCCTATCACTTTCCCGGCATCCAGCATACTTTGAACAAGGCTTCGAGTGGAACGGGTTTCACTTCCCCTCCACCACCTACGAGAGCAACGTGCTCTTTACCCTGCGATTCATCATAGACTGTGAATGCCCGTTTTCTGCCCTCTCCCACTTTCCTCCAACCAGCTTACTTTGAGCAGGGGTTTGAATGGAACGGCTTTCACTTCCCTTCCACCACCTACGAGAGCAACGTGCTCTTTGCACTGCGCTTCATGATCGACCGTGAATGCCCCTTTTCTGCCCTCTCCCCTTTCCTCCACCCAGCTTACTTTGAACAGGGATTTGAATGGAATGGCTTTCACTTCCCCTCCACCACCTACGAGAGCAACGTGCTCTTTGCACTGCGCTTCATGATCGACTGTGAATGCCCGTTCTCTCCCCTCTCCCCTTTCCTCCACCCAGCTTACTTTGAACAGGGATTTGAGTGGAACGGGTTTCACTTCCCCTCCACCACATACGAAAGCAACGTGCTCTTTGCCCTGCGCTTCATGATTGACTGCCACGTCACCGGCGGCAACTGGATCTCGCTGCCAGCTGGCACGTACCGCGTGCGCGAGGACAGCCGGAAGCTGTCGGCGTGCCAGCTGGAGGTTGATATCCTGTGAGTGACGTGTGATGATGTGTGACATGATTTGATATGATCTGTACGTTGACACGTAAAGTGATTGGGATGGAAGGCACCTGAGCTGGCAAAAACAGTCGGCGTGCTAGATGGAGGTTGACATCCTGTGAGTGGTGTGATGTGGTATTGTATGATCTGGTATGATGTGATATGATATGATCCACATCCTAAACCTTAAATCCGAAACTTACTCTTGCCAACCGTTTCTTCCCTGCTCCCCACCCCCCCCCCCCACATCATCGCCCCTCTGTAACTAGCTATACAGACCTTGTTAGCCACGAGGGAATGGGCCAGCGGTCCCGAACGAACGGCCCCCTTCCGCATCCTCAGTTGTGACCTCGAGTGCAGCGGGCGCAATAGACATGAGCAGGTGCCCCGCTCGGGTCGGGCCGACCCGACCCGACCCGTGGTTTTGCCCGGGTCGGGTCAAAGTTTCTGAATCTCTGCCCCGTGCGGGCCGACCCGACCCGACCCGGGTTAAGACCCGACCCGAGGGCCCATTTCGGGCCGAGCCGAGCCGGGTCTCGGGTCGGGCCTGACCCGACCCGATTTCGGGTCTAAAATGTCGAAATCGGGTCGGGCCAGGTGCGCGACCCGATTTCGACAGGGCTAGGGCCGAAACCCTAGCCCAAATGTAAATCGATCGAGGGGATTTTTTCCCCTTCGATTTACATTCGCCACGCCAGCAGCCCCTAGCCTTAGAGTATTAAGTACCCTCCTTTAAACTACCTCCTATCTTAGGCATTCCCCCACGAATGCACTTACTTTCAGTTACATTGATAGATATACGATTCTGGCTGCACTTAGTGCATTTCGCGCTGGTCAAATTCGTGGTTTTTAGGGTACTTAAATTCAAGCGCAACCTCTACTTTCCTTCGAGCCCACTACTTCCGTGGCGTTTTCGCTGTAATAGACGCATTTACCGGCACCCGCTGCACGATTTCAAATAGGTTCGCGTCGGCCGCCAGGTGATGTACAAATCAGCGTGATAAAAATGTACAAATCATGATGAACACCCCCAGCCTCCCCCTAAAGGGGCGGGTCTGCCTGGCCCGACCCGGCCCGACCCGAACCCGGGTCCCCTTTGACCCGAGTCAGTAGGCCCGGGTCGGGCCAGCTGTTTCAAGATTCTGGCCCGAGCCCGGCCCGACCCGACCCGACCCGACCCGAGGGCCCGTGTGGCCCGGCCAAATCGGGTCGGGTCGGGTCGGGTCGGGCCACCTGCTCAACTCTAGGGCGCAAGGGGCACTTCCCAGAGCCATTGCAGTCCACTCACTGTCCTTCTTCCCTCCCTCCTCACCCTTCCCACGCCTACCAGCTACACGGACCTGATCAGCCATGAGGGCACGGGGCAGTGGTCCAAAATGGCCCCGTTTCGAATTCTCAGCTTCGACATTGAGTGCAGCGGGCGCAAGGGGCACTTCCCAGAGCCGCAGCACGACCCGGTCATTCAGATCGCCAATATCGTCTCCCAGCAGGGCAGCAGCGACCCGCTGGTTCGCACCGTGCTCACCCTCGGCTCCTGTGCTCCCATTGTGGGGTGCGATGTGGTGGCGTTCGAGACAGAGCAGCAGCTATTGCTCGCTTGGAAGGTGCGTTTCTTTGGTAGCCAGAGCAGTGCCCTCTGCGCCCTGCCCTGTGTGCTCACTCTTGGCTCGTGTGTGCCCATTGTGATGTGAAGTGCAATGTGGTGGTTTTTGAAACAGAGCAGCAGCTGCTGTTGGCTTGGAAGGTGCGTGCACGTGTCTGGTAGTGAGAGGCTGCCCTTTGGAAAGACTGAACGGTGCTCACTCTCGGCTCCTGTGGTCCCATCGTGGGGTGTGATGTGGTGACTTTTGAGACGGAGCAGCAGCTACTGCTCGCCTGGAAGGTGTGTGCGTGTACCTGATACTGATAGCATTGTCCTGTTGTGCTGCGTCCACTTGTGTACTCCCATTGTGGGGTGCGATGTGGTGGCGTTTGAGACAGAGCAACAGCTGCTGCTGCTGGCTTGGAAGGTACGTCTGTGTAGTACCCAAAGCACAGCTTGTTGCTTCCATTCCTCCTGCCCACCTGTTCGTCACTGAGCACCACCTTTCCTGCTCGCTCTCTCCCATTCCCTCCTTCCATTTCCGCACAGGAGCTCATTCAGGCTACAGACCCTGACATGATCATCGGCTACAACATCCAGAAGTTCGATCTGCCCTACTTGATTGAGGTGGGTGGGTTTACACAAGGGATGATGCGATGTGTGATGAGGAAGTATTTGACATGCTCTTCACCATGTTACGGAGACGCTGTATACAGAGAACCTCCTAATTACAAGGAGGTGTTATTTCTGTTACTTCCCCCCCTCTGTTGCTCTCCCCATGCAGAGAGCCGAGAAGCTGAATCTGACGACCTTCCCGTTCCTAGGTCGGATTCTCAACACCCAGCTGAATTTGAGTCACTTCTGAGATTTCTCAAAAGTCGTCTGTCTTTTTCTTTTCTCCTCTCGCAGAGAGCCGAGAAGCTGAATCTGAAGACCTTCCCGTTCCTAGGTCGGATTCTCAACACCCATTGACTTGAGTTCTGCTGCGCCTGCCATTTCTGTTACTGTTGACCCTCTGTCCCCCCCCATCTGTTGCTCTCCCCATGCAGAGAGCCGAGAAGCTGAATCTGAAGACCTTCCCGTTCCTGGGTCGGATTCTCAACACCCAGCTCAAGATGCGCGATGCACGCTTCCAATCCAGGTGCGACCCTGACTGTAACTCAACTTATTTCACAATTTGGAAACATATTCTGATCTGAGTGTTCATTTTGTGATCACGCCATGTGACGCATGTAGTCTGAGTGACTGGCTGGTTATTATTGAGTTTTCCTCCCTGTTGGTAACTGAGAATCCCTCCCGTTCCTTGTTGCGCCATTGTCCTCATCCAGGCAGTACGGCACGAGGGAAACCAAGGAGGTGACTCTTGACGGGCGCGTGCAGTTTGATCTGCTGGTGGCCATTCAGAGAGAGCACAAGCTCAGCTCCTACTCCCTCAACTCCGTCTCAGCTCACTTCCTCAACGAACAGGTCATTGTTTTCCTAACTCTTATCTCTGCGCCTTTTTCAAATATGTTTACTCAACGTGCTTGTACCATATGTACCTGTATGGAATGTTCTTCCCCCTCCATGGGAGCAGACGGAGGACGTGCCTTCAGAACTGAGACGCCTATTCTCTTGTGCCGCTACCCCTTGTGCTTGTACCGAATGTGCCTCTATGAAATGTGCTTGTCCCCACAATCCCCCCAACACACCACCACGAGAGCAGAAGGAGGACGTGCATCACTCCATCATTGCAAACCTTCAGAACGGCGATGCCCAAATGCGTCGCCGCCTGGCCGTGTACTGCCTCATTCCACTAATGTGCTTCTTCTAACCTATGTGACATTCTGCTTGTACCGAATGTGCTTGTAATGAGCAGAAGTAGGACGTGCATCACTCGATCATCGCGGACCTTCAGAACGGCGACATCCAAACGCCCATCCACCTCCCCGTCTACTGCCTCATGGAAACTCATTTGCTTCCACCCACCCCATGTGCTTGTACGGAATGTGCTTTCCTTCACACCCCCCCACTTCCCCCCTCACGAGAGCAGAAGGAGGACGTGCATCACTCCATCATCGCCGACCTTCAGAACGGATACGCCCAGACGCGCCGCAGGCTTGCGGTCTACTGCCTCATTCCACTCATGTGCTTCTTCTATCTCTTGTGACATTCTGCCTGTACCGAATGTGCTTATAATGAGCAGAAGGAGGACGTGCATCACTCCATCATCGCCGACCTTCAGAACGGAGACGCCCAGACGCGCCGCCGACTTGCAGTCTACTGCCTGAAAGACGCGTACCTGCCGCAGCGGCTGCTGGAGAAGCTCATGATGGTCTACAACTATGTGGAGATGGCGAGAGTCACGGGTGTCCCAATCTCTTTCCTGCTTGCACGCGGGCAAAGCATTAAGGTACGCTACACCCCACCCAGCATGCTGGCCGTGTACTGCCTCAAAGATGCATACCTGCCGTAGCGCCTGCTGGAGAAGCTCATGATGGTCTACAACTACGTTGAGATGGCCAGAGTGACGGGGGTTCCCATATCCTTCCTGCTTGCTCGAGGCCAGAGTATCAAGGTACGCCACACCTCTGCCATGACGCTGACAGCCTGCTGCCTCTCAAGCACGGGTACCTGCCACAGCGCCTCCATGCGCGCCTTGGTCCACGAGCGCGCCTTGGTCCACGAGCGCGCCTTGGTCCACGAGCGCGCCTTGGTCCACGAGCGCGCCTTGGTCCACGAGCGCGCCTTGGTCCACGAGCGCGCCTTGGTCCACGAGCGCGCCTTGGTCCACGAGCGCGCCTTGGTCCACGAGCGCGCCTTGGTCCACGAGCGCGCCTTGGTCCACGAGCGCGCCTTGGTCCACGAGCGCGCCTTGGTCCACGAGCGCGCCTTGGTCCACGAGCGCGCCTTGGTCCACGAGCGCGCCTTGGTCCACGAGCGCGCCTTGGTCCACGAGCGCGCCTTGGTCCACGAGCGCGCCTTGGTCCACGAGCGCGCCTTGGTCCACGAGCGCGCCTTGGTCCACGAGCGCGCCTTGGTCCACGAGCGCGCCTTGGTCCACGAGCGCGCCTTGGTCCACGAGCGCGCCTTGGTCCACGAGCGCGCCTTGGTCCACGAGCGCGCCTTGGTCCACGAGCGCGCCTTGGTCCACGAGCGCGCCTTGGTCCACGAGCGCGCCTTGGTCCACGAGCGCGCCTTGGTCCACGAGCGCGCCTTGGTCCACGAGCGCGCCTTGGTCCACGAGCGCGCCTTGGTCCACGAGCGCGCCTTGGTCCACGAGCGCGCCTTGGTCCACGAGCGCGCCTTGGTCCACGAGCGCGCCTTGGTCCACGAGCGCGCCTTGGTCCACGAGCGCGCCTTGGTCCACGAGCGCGCCTTGGTCCACGAGCGCGCCTTGGACCACGGGCGCGCCTTGGTCCACGAGCGCGCCTTGGTCCACGAGCGCGCCTTGGTCCACGAGCGCGCCTTGGTCCACGAGCGCGCCTTGGTCCACGAGCGCGCCTTGGTCCACGAGCGCGCCTTGGTCCACGAGCGCGCCTTGGTCCACGAGCGCGCCTTGGTCCACGAGCGCGCCTTGGTCCACGAGCGCGCCTTGGTCCACGAGCGCGCCTTGGTCCACGAGCGCGCCTTGGTCCACGAGCGCGCCTTGGTCCACGAGCGCGCCTTGGTCCACGAGCGCGCCTTGGTCCACGAGCGCGCCTTGGTCCACGAGCGCGCCTTGGTCCACGAGCGCGCCTTGGTCCACGAGCGCGCCTTGGTCCACGAGCGCGCCTTGGTCCACGAGCGCGCCTTGGTCCACGAGCGCGCCTTGGTCCACGAGCGCGCCTTGGTCCACGAGCGCGCCTTGGTCCACGAGCGCGCCTTGGTCCACGAGCGCGCCTTGGTCCACGAGCGCGCCTTGGTCCACGAGCGCGCCTTGGTCCACGAGCGCGCCTTGGTCCATGGGCGCGCCTTGGTCCACGAGCGCGCCTTGGTCCACGAGCGCGCCTTGGTCCACGAGCGCGCCTTGGTCCACGAGCGCGCCTTGGTCCACGAGCGCGCCTTGGTCCACGAGCGCGCCTTGGTCCACGAGCGCGCCTTGGTCCACGAGCGCGCCTTGGTCCACGAGCGCGCCTTGGTCCACGAGCGCGCCTTGGTCCACGAGCGCGCCTTGGTCCACGAGCGCGCCTTGGTCCACGAGCGCGCCTTGGTCCACGAGCGCGCCTTGGTCCACGAGCGCGCCTTGGTCCACGAGCGCGCCTTGGTCCACGAGCGCGCCTTGGTCCACGAGCGCGCCTTGGTCCACGAGCGCGCCTTGGTCCACGAGCGCGCCTTGGTCCACGAGCGCGCCTTGGTCCACGAGCGCGCCTTGGTCCACGCACGCGCCTTGGTCCACGAGCGCGGCGAGGCAGCGAGAGTTGCTGTTTCCCAACATGAAAGTGCAGGGCGGGGCAGGAGCAGATGCGACCTACGAGGGGGCAACGGTGCTGGAGCCAACCCTGTTACCCCCTATACTTCTTTCCCCCTTCAAACCTGACAGGTTCTCTCTCAAATTCTGCGCAAGGCGAGGCAGCGAGAGTTGCTGGTTCCCAACATGAAAGTGCAGGGGGGGGCTGGAGCTGATGCGACATACGAGGGGGCGACGGTGCTGGAGCCGAAGCAAGGGTTCTATGAACGCCCCGTTGCAACTCTTGACTTTGCGTCGCTGTACCCGTCCATTATGATGGCCCACAACCTCTGCTACTGCACGCTGGTGAGTGATTGAATGGGGAAACATGCAGCATGCTCTCTTTCCCGCCCCCACATGCACGCATTCGCCTCACTCACACACGTACGCACACTCTTGACTTTGCATCGCTGTACCCGTCGATTATGATGGCGCATAACCTCTGCTACTGCACTCTGGTGAGTGGCCTACAGTCACGCTCACAACCTCACGCACATGCATACTCTGTCATTCGTCCTCACAGTCACGCTCACACACACACTCACTTGACTTTGCATCGCTGTACCCGTCGATTATGATGGCGCATAACCTCTGCTATTGCACTCTGGTGAGTGGCTTGAGGGAGAAGGTCATGTGCATAACCTCACATGCATACTCTCACTCACACACACTCTCTTGATTTTGCATCTCTGTACCCGTCAATTATAATGGCGCATAACCTCTGATACTGCACTCTGGCGAGTGGCTTGAGGGAAAAGGCTGATAGGATTCAAGGAACGATTGAGTAATGAGCCATGGAGGCTCTATAGTACAAGCATGCAAGGTGCAAACCCTATTGGCCACTAAGTTGGCCAATGGGTGAGTTGCCTTGTGGAGTAGGGAACCCCACAATGTTGCTAGCTTGTGATTGGTTGGCCTTAGGACCAAATGTTGGCAAGTGCCAACCAAGGACCAAGACCAAACCAAATCTTGACCCAACCACAAAGTGTGGTTGGAGTGTACACCCAACCCCCCAATAGCTTAAAGAGCTACACCTATTCTAGCCTATGTATGTTGTATATATAAGATACATTTACAACACAACCCCCCAACATGCATAAGGCTAGAAAAAATGTAATCAGGAGGCCGCCAAAACTGGTGGCGGGGTGAGCCCAAGGAGACGCAACAGGAAGGAGTGGGACGCTTGGGGAAGAGCTTTGGTGAAGATGTCGGCGAGGTTGGCTGCCGAGTCGATTTTGCCAAGACGAATGTGGCCGGCCTCAACGAGATCGCGAATGAAGAAGTAGCGAAGCTCAATGTGTTTTGAGCGCCCATGATACACAGCGTCCTTGGTGAGGTGGATGGTGCTGGCGTTGTCACACCAGATGGTGGGACAGCGTTGGGGGGCTCCTAGCTCATCAAGGAGGAAGGTGAGCCAGCGTGCTTCTTGCGCGGCCATGGTCGCAGCGTAGAGCTCTGCTTCGCAGGAGGAGAGGGCGACGGCAGAGGAGCGTGTGGACCGCCAGCTGATGAGACCGCTGCCGAGGGAGAAGCCATAGCCCTGAGAGGACCGCCGATCCGGTCGAGAATCAGCCCAGGAAGAGTCGCTGTAGCCGTTGAGGAGTGGTGGGGAAGGGCCGCCAAGAGTGAGGACATAGTCCTTGGTGCCACGAATGTAGCGAAGGACACGCTTGGCGGCCTGCCAGTGCTCTTCCGTGTGCTTGCCAGCGCCAACGAACCGAGCGAGGACGCTGATGGGGTAGGCAAGGTCAGGGCGAGTGGAAAGGCGTACATGAGAGAGCCGATGAGTTTAGGATAAGGATGGGAGGAGGGAGAGGGAGAGGAGGGTGGGGAGAGGTGGTGCCCAACCGAGAGGGGAGTGGGCTGGGGGTTGCCGCGCGCCATGTCAAACCGGTCCAAGACCTGCTGGAGGTAGTGACCCTGAGAGAGTGAGATGGTGCGGGCGGAGCGGTCGCGAGTGATGGTCATGCCGAGGTAGTTCTGCAGCTCTCCCAGGTCTTTGCACTTGAGACGGCTGCCCAGCTCCGCCTTGACAGTCTCGAGCTCGGCAAGGTCGGCGGTGAGGAGGATCATGTCGTCAACATAGACGAGGATGTAGAAGGGGGAGGGGGAGGTGCGGAGGAAGAGGCTGGCGTCAGAGCGGGAGGTGCGAAAGCCAAGCTCAGCAAGGGTGGCGGCGAGCTTGGCATGCCACTCCCTGGGTGCCTGACGGAGCCCGTACACGGGTCGGCGCAGCTGCCAGACGGAGTCGGCGGGGAAGGGGAGGTGGAAGCCGTCTGGGCGCTCCATGTAGATCAGTTCACGTAAAACGCCTTGGAGGAAGGCGTTGGAGACATCCATCGAGTGGATCTCCATGTTGAGGCGAGCGGCGAGGTCGAGTACAGCGCGAACGGTAGCAGGTTTGGCGGTGGGGGAGAAGGTGTCGAAGAAGTCAAAACCATACCGCTGCGTGAAGCCCTTGGCGCAATACCGGGCCTTGTAGACGGGCGGCTCTCCTGGTAGCTGCTTGACGCGAAACACCCACTTCCCCTTTACCACGTTCGTAGAGGAGGGAGGGCGAGGCACATCAACGAACGAGGAGTTGACGATAAATGCCTCGAGCTCCTTGATGATGGCGGCAAGCCAGAGCGGGGCGTCGGGGCAAGCCATGGCCTCCTCGTACGTGGTTGGGACGAAGATGGAGGGAGCAGAGGAAAAGGCGAAGACTGGTGTTCCAGACAGGTCAAAGGTGATGGGGAGGAGGGAGGGGCCGGAGAGGTGGAGGTCAAGGAGCTCCTCATGGGAGTCTTCAGAGAGGGAGGTGTGGAAGGCGCGGATGACCGCTGGTGCCGCTGCTCGTGCTGCTGCTGGTGCCGCTGCTGGTGCCGCTGCTGGTGCTGCTGTGGAGGCCGCTGCTGCCGCTGCTGGTGCTGCTGCTGGTGCCGCTGCTGGTGCCGCTGCTGGTGCCGCTGCTGGTGCCGCTGCTGGTGCCGCTGCTGGTGCCGCTGCTGCTGCTGCACCTGCCGCTGCTGGTGCCGCTGCGGTGGCTGCTGCTGGAGCTGCTGCTGCCGATGATGGAGAGGTGGTTGAGGGGGCTGGTGCATGAGGGGCTTGATGTAAGACAGCCTGGAAGAAGTGGTGAAGGAGGGGAGAAAGAGGGGGAAGGGAAGAGGTAGAGAGGGTAACAGGGGGCGGTGCACCAAGGATACTGTCACGTGACCTGGTGTGAGGATACCGGGTGAGTATGGTGCGGGGAGTGGGGGAGGGAGGTGAGGGTTGGGAGGGAGGGGGAGGGGCGCCGGGGGAGGAGTGGGCGGGGGAGACAGGGGAGGATAGAGGGTCCGGATCAAAGATGTCACCAGACGAGGGAGGGGCACCGTGGGACTGGGAGGGCGGAGGGGGAGGGGGTGGGAGGATGGGGGGAGGAGGGAGGAGAGGGGGAGGGGTGGTGTCAGACCAGACAAGAGGACGAGTCAGAGGTGGGAGTGGGTCAGTGGATGGAGGAGAGGAATAATAGGGGGTGGATTCGTCAAAGCCGACATCTCTGCTGCGAATTAGTCGACCGGAAGGGGGGTGGAGGAAAAGATAGTCGGGGGAGGAGGGGTTATGACCAAGGAAGACGCAAGGAAGGGTACGAGGGGCAAGCTTTCCAAGGGAGCGGGATCGGTCAGACGGGTGAATGAGGACATATGCCTTAGAGCCCCAGACTCGAAGAGGGGAGACATCGGGTTTGTCCTTTGTCCATAGCTCAGTGGGGGTGGTGGAGGGGAGGAGGGGGTGAGGGTAAAGGTTAGTAAGAAGGGCGGCATGAAGGAGGGCGTAGCCCCACAGAGAAGGGGGGCATGAGGCGTGGACAAGAAGACACCGAGCCGTTTTGGTGATCTCCCGAACACGGCTCTCAGCGACACCGTTCTGCTGTGGGGAGTGAGGGAGGGTGTGGGTCCAGAGAATGCCGCGGGACTGGCAGTAGGAGGAAATTTGGGTATTAAGGAACTCACCACCACCATCAGAGTGAAGGCGGCGAACAGGGCGCCCAAAATGGGTGTTGGCTTGTTCGAGCCAAGCAGTGATCGCGGTCGGGGCGTCCGCTTTCGTCCGAAGGAGAGAGACGGACGAGTACCGACTGTGGTCATCGACGAGCACGAGGAGGTAGCGATGGCCTTGGCGAGTGGGGGAAGGGTTAGGGCCCCAGAGGTCCATGTGAACAAGATCAAGTGGCTGAGCAGCAGCGGAGGGGGAGCTCCGGTGCGGCTGCTGCTTGAGCTTGCTCTGAACACAGACGACGCAAGGGAGGGCAGGGGACTTTGGGAGGGGAGGGAGGGAGGAGGGGAGACCGTGGAGGAGACCGGAGGATACAGAGGAGCGCAGAGTGGCGAAGTTGGGGTGACCTAGCCTGTGATGGAGGAGGATGGCAGGGTGGGAGAGGGAGCGACATGAGCAGTCAGAGTCAGGGGGGCGGGGGGGGGACGGGTGGGTTAGTGGAGGGGAGGGGAGGAGGGGGGGGGGGGAGGGGGGGGGAGGCAACTTGGAAGGTGAGGGGGCGAGGAACCCGAAGGGTGTATAGACGGGAGCGGGGACAGTAGGGAATACGGGCGAGGAAGCGACCTGTGGAAGTTTGGTAGAGGTCACAGTGGTTAGCACCACCTGGGTTGAGAGTGGTGATCATGGATTGTTGGAGGGACCTTTGGGAGAGGAGGTTGGTGCGAAGGGAGGGAATGTGAAGACCTGTGACAGTACCTGAGGGAAAGAGAGGACAGGGAAGGGTGGAGGTGTTGTGACAGGGGATGGAAAAGCTGCTATCAGCGCCAAGGAGGGACGTGGATGTGGGAAGAGGATTGAGTTTGCCGGCATCTCGAAAGACATTATCAGTGGCTCCACTGTCCAAGACGAACTCAAGGGTGGAGGAGGGTGAGGCGGAATACTGAATTGAGGTTTCATTAATAGCAGGGGCATACATAGGAGATGCAACAGAAGGAGGCTGACTAAGGAGACCAACAAAGCCAGAGGAGGGAAAGGGGGTCACACTGCCACCTGTGGACGGCGCAGGGGATGGACCGGAGAGGTGGGCCGCGGAGGCCGCATTCCCGGCGGTCCAGCTGGGAAACGGCTGCTGCTGGGGGACAGGAGGAGAGGAAGCTGGGGCTGGAGGTCGAGCTGCTGCTGGAGCTGCTGAAGCTGCTGCTGCTGGTGCTGCTGCTGCTGCTGCTGCTGCTGCTGCTGCTGCTGCTGCTGAGAGGGGAGAGCAAAGGCCTGGTGGGCCTGGGAGGAGGAGGAGGGGGCGTAGAGGGGAGAGGTGCGAACATCGAGGGGAGTGGGGCGGGGATTAAGGGCGGACCAGCGAGGAGGGGTGCCAGAGTTCCCACGAGCGAACTTGCATGAGTGGTTTGGTTGCAGCGTTGGCCTCGGGTGGGGCCATAGAGGGGAAGATACTGACAGGGCGGAAAGGCCGCTGCTGCCCCACGACCCGCACCACCACGACCGCCAGAGCCGCCTCGACCACCACCACGCCCACCTCCACGCCCTCCCCCACGTCCGCCCTTGCCGCTGCGCTGCTGTGCTACCGCGGCAGTGGAGGAGGAGTGGCGAAGGATTTCAGCCTCAGTGGTGATAATCCACTGGGCAACTTGAGCGGGAGTGTCATGCTTGGAGAGGAGTTGCATGTATGCGAGCTTGTGGGCATCGAAGGCGGGAGTGAGGCCTTCGAGGAGGTGGCAGCAGATGACGGTGTCAGGGTAGGTGACGCCAAGTGTTGCAAGGCGGCGAGCAAGGTCAAGGACGCGGCGAGTAAAGGCGGCTGCGCCGGCAGTGGAATCCATGGTGATGGATCCAAATTCCTTGATGAGGGCATAGAGGGTGGCGATGTCCTGCCGGTCAAAGAGGTCGACAAGCAGTTGCCACAGGTGGGAGGAGGAGGTAGGTGAAAGTTCCCGTTTGAGGGAGGAGGGGATAGTGGCGAGGAGGATGGCGAGAGCTCGACGGTCAGCAATGCGCCACGCAGCGATGTCGGTGGTGTAGCTGGCGAGACGTGTAGTGTACGCGGTGAGCCGGGCTTGGTAATCGCGGTGGCGGGCAGCAGCCTCGTCGTAGGCGCGCTTGTCGTCCTCATAGCGCAGTTGACGGCGAAGGTGGTCGTTGAGTGCGGTGCGGTAGGTACGGATGGCAGTTTCCATGCTCTGAGGATTGTTGACATCCGGCGCGAAGGTGGGAGGATCACCAGGAGGCTCGGGCTCAGGTCCGGGCTCGTCAGGAGGAGGTCCGGTGGGAGGGGAAGGGGCGATGGGCTGGAGTCCGCCTTCCTCCTGGAACACGACGGAACGGAGGGTGTATCCACTGACGACAACCGAGGAGAGCAACACCTCGACGGAGTGGGCATAAGAGTGCCAGTTGGCGGCCGAGTTGTCGCCCAACAACTCGAGAGAGTCAATGGTTGCCAAGTCGACCGATGAGTCTGCGGACGCCATGATGGCGAAGTCGGGAAGGTGCTGCTGCTGGTGCCGTTGACGGTGCCGCTGCTAGTGCCGTTGACGGTGCCGCTGCTGGTGCCGTTGAAGGTGCCGCTGCTGGTGCCGTTGAAGGTGCCGCTGCTGTTTTAGGGTTGAAGGTGCCGCTGCTAGGTGCTGTTGCTGGTGCAGTTAAGGATGGAGCAGGGGGGAGGAGGTAGGGGAGAGGGAGGGCGGCGCGGAAGTGTGAGGCGGGGCGCGGATGAAGGGGGGAGGTCGCGGTGAGCGCGAGCAGGCGACCGCGAGGGCGCGGAGGTCAGTCGCGGCGGCGCGCCGGCCGGCCGCGAGTGCGCGAGGGTCGGCCGCGGCTCCGCGTCGGCCGTCCACGTCAGCGCGAGGGACGGCCGCGTGGCTCCGCGTCGGCCGTCCGCGTCAGCGCGAGGGTCGGCCGCATGGCTTCGCGGTGGCCGTCCGCGTCAGCGTGGGGATCGGCGCCGCTCGCGTGCTGGCTGTCCGCGCTGGCGCGCAGGTCGTCGATGGCTCCGCGCTGGCCGTGCGCGTCGGCGCGCGGGGTGCTCGTGGCCGCGTGCTGGCTGTCCGCGACGGCGCGCGGGTCGTCCGCGACGGAAGGCGTGAGGGAGGCGTGACGGCGGGAGAGAGGATTGAGGCCACGGGAGAGCGGTTGGAGGCCGCGAGAGGGAGGATTGGGGCCGCGGGAGGGAGGATTGAGGCCGCGGGAGGGAGGATTGAGGCCGCGGAGGAGTAGATCTGAGCCGCGGAAAGCTAGATCTGAGGTACGGGAGGGAGGATTGAGGCCGCGGGAGGCTAGATCTAAGATGCGGGTGGACGGATGTGCATCGTAGTCCGCTAGAGTGGAGAAGCGGAGAGGAAATTACGGCCTAAGGATCGAGGGAGGTGGCGTGAGCCATTTGGCTCTGAATACCATGATAGGATTCAAGGAACGATTGAGTAATGAGCCATGGAGGCTCTATAGTACAAGCATGCAAGGAAGAGAGGTTGGAAGAAGGTGCAACCCTATTGGCCACTAAGTTGGCCAATGGGTGAGTTGCCTTGTGGAGTAGGGAACCCCACAATGTTGCTAGCTTGTGATTGGTTGGCCTTAGGACCAAATGTTGGCAAGTGCCAACCAAGGACCAAGACCAAACCAAATCTTGACCCAACCACAAAGTGTGGTTGGAGTGTACACCCAACCCCCCAATAGCTTAAAGAGCTACACCTATTCTAGCCTATGTATGTTGTATATATAAGATACATTTACAACAAAGGCCTCGTCTTTTGAGTCCATTCACAACCCATCACTCACCCTACACCATCACTCACCCATCACTCACCCATCACTCACCCGTCACTCACCCTACAACTCCCACCATCAGATTCAAAAGGAGCACGGCATCAGGCCACCAGACGACCAGATATCACAAACTCCTACAGGAGACCTGTTCGTGAAGCCCTCAGCAGCCAAGGGCATTCTGCCAGAGATCAATCACACACACCATCACCACTCCTGTCATGCTCACCATCACTCCCACCACTCATCCCATCAGATTCAGAAGGAGCACGGCATCAGGCCACCAGACGACCAGATATCGCAAACCCCCACAGGGGACCTGTTTGTAAAGCCATCCGCTGCTAAGGGCATTTTGCCAGAGATTCTGGAGGAGTTGCTTGCAGCGAGGAAGAGGGCAAAGGCGGACCTTAAGGTATGGTGGTGGATCTGGGTCTGTGGCACATGCTCTAATATGCATGGCTCAAAACATGCTCCCACAAAGCTGATCATTAGGGTGAGGTTTTGTGTTACTAATTAAAAAAAAACGAACTTCGAAGGAATATGTCAATTCCTGCTGCTGTTGGCAGGTTCTTGTATGCATGCTTCAACGACAAAACTCCAAGGTCTCTTTTCCTCCTTCCCTCCCTCTCTCCCTGCCTGGCCGTATTCTCCTCGTGCAGAAAGCCACGGATTCCTTGGAGACGGCCGTGCCGGTTACCTCTCTTCCAAACTCTTGGTCACTTCTTAACGCCGATTGCTCCCCACCCTTCCCCTCCCACCCCCCCTCCCCACCTCACTGCATTCCCTCGTGCAGAAAGCCACGGATCCCTTGGAGAAAGCCGTGCTGGACGGCCGACAGCTGGCACTCAAGGTAGGATGACAGCTGGCACTCAAGGTACGATGACATCTGGCACTTAAGGTATCATGACAGCTGGCACTCAAGGTAGGGTGACAGCTGGCACTCAAGCTATCATGACAGCTGGCACTCAAGGTATCATGACAGCTGGACTCAAGGTAGGATGACGCATTCGCCACCGCCTTTGCTACCATTGTCTACGGCTTCGCAGGGACTACTCTCCTTCACTAAGGTCTCTACTGCTGCGATTTTTTAGGCGCCTCAAACTTTGGATTTTTTAGGAGCCTCAGAACTTTTACCAGCACTGTCCACGGCTCCACAAGGGCCACTCTCCTTCACTAAGGTCTCTACTGCTGCGATTTTTTAGGCGCCTCAAACTTTTTATCTTTGAGGAGCCTCAGAACTTTTACCAGCACCGTCCACGGTTTCAGGGCTACTCTCCTTCACTAAGGTCTCTATGGCCGCGCTATCATGCCTCTGCTTTCCAGGCTACTGCTCATTCCCTTCCCCTTCCGATCACCTTCCTCACAGGTTTCTGCAAATTCTGTCTACGGTTTCACAGGGGCTACTATCGGCGCTTTGCCCTGCTTGGAAATATCATCCAGTGTTACAGCCTATGGTGAGTCACATGTGTCCGTGACTCTTCATGTCCTTGCCACACGTTTGTCTCCTTTCGCATGAGTTGGTGGGCGCATGGAGGGCGGCAGATGATTAAGAACACGAGGGTGTTTGTGGAGCAGTGTGGCTTAATCAGCATCAGCATCAGCATCAGAATCCGCATCACCATCAGCATCAGCATCAGCATCAGCATCAGCGCATCAGCATCAGCGCATCAGCATCAGCATCAGCGCATCAGCATCAGCATCAGCATCAGCATCAGCATCAGCGCATCAGCATCAGCATCAGCATCACCATCAGCATCAGCATCAGCGCATCAGCATCAGCATCAGCATCAGCATCAGCATCAGCATCAGCATCAGAATCAGCATCAGCATCAGCATCAGCATCAGCGCATCAGCATCAGCATCAGCATCAGCATCAGCATCAGCGCATCAGCATCAGCATCAGCATCAGCATCAGCGCATCAGCATCAGCATCAGCATCAGCATCAGCATCAGAATCAGCATCAGCATCAGCATCAGCATCAGCATCAGCGCATCAGCATCAGCGCATCAGCATCAGCATCAGCATCAGTATCAGCATCAGCATTAGCATCAGCATCAGCATCAGTATCAGCATCAGCATCAGCATCAGCATCAGCATCAGCATTAGCATCAGCATTAGCATCAGCATCAGCATCAGCATGAGCATCAGCATCAGCATCAGCATCAGCGCATCAGCGCATCAGCATCAGCATCAGCGCATCAGCATCAGCACATCAGCATCAGCATCAGCATCAGCATCAGAATCAGCATCAGCATCAGCATCAGCATCAGCATCAGTATCAGCATCAGCATCAGCATCAGTATCAGCATCAGCATCAGCATCAGCATCAGTATCAGCATCAGCATCAGCATCAGCATCAGCATCAGCATCAGAATCAGCATCAGCATCAGCGCATCAGCGCATCAGCATCAGCATCAGCATCAGCGCATCAGCATCAGCATCAGCATCAGCATCAGCGCATCAGCATCAGCGCATCAGCATCAGCATCAGCATCAGCATCAGCGCATCAGCATCAGCATCAGCATCAGTATCAGCATCAGCATCTGTATCAGCATCTGCATCAGTATCAGCATCAGCATCAGCATCAGCATCAGCATCAGCATCAGCATCAGCGCATCAGCATCAGCATCAGCATCAGCATCAGCATCAGCGTCAGTACCAGCATCAGCATCAGTATCAGCATCAGCATCAGTATCAGCATCAGCATCAGCATCAGCATCAGCATCAGCATCAGCATCAGTATCAGCATCAGCATCAGTATCAGCATCAGCATCAGCATCAGCGCATCAGCATCAGCGCATCAGCATCAGCATCAGCGCATCAGCGCATCAGCATCAGCATCAGCATCAGCATATCAGCATCAGCGCATCAGCATCAGCATCAGCATCAGCATCAGCATCAGCATCAGCGCATCAGCATCAGCATCAGCGCATCAGCATCAGCATCAGCATCAGCATATCAGCATCAGCGCATCAGCATCAGCATCAGCATCAGCATCAGAATCAGCATCAGCATCAGCATCAGCATCAGCGCATCAGCATCAGCATCAGCATCAGCATCACCATCAGCATCAGCATCACCATGAGCATCAGCATCATCATCATCATCATCATCATCATCATCATCATCATCATCATCATCATCATCATCATCATCATCATCATCATCATCATCATCATCATCATCATCATCATCATCATCATCATCATCATCATCATCATCATCATCATCATCATCATCATCATCATCATCAGCATCATCATCATCATCATCATCATCATCATCATCATCATCATCATCATCATCATCATGCGCTCTCCTTTCTCCTCATGCATTGCATGTGTATGTCCATACATGCATTGCGGCAGATGATAGAGCACCCTAGGGCGTTCGTGGAGCAGCTCTTGGGGTTTCTTGTCGTTGCTAATCTATCATTACTGATCCGTCTCTCAGTCTCCGTGCATGCGTGTGTGGGTGTGTGCGTGTGTGGGTATCGGTGCATGCAGGGCGGCAGATGATAGAGCACACGAGAGCGTTCGTGGAGCAGCACTACTCCATCGCCAATTGCTACTCGCAAAATTCCTCTTGAGGCACCTGGCACCTCAATTTTCACTTCTGCCTCCCCTTCCTCGTGTTCGTCGTGCATATATGCATGCGGGCGTGCGTGTGTGCATGCATACATGCAGGGCGGCAGATGATAGAGCACACCAGGACGTTCGTGGAGCAGCACTACTCCATCGCCAACGGCTACTCGCACAATGCGAATGTGGTGTATGGTGATACGGACTCAGTGATGGTGATGTTTGGTGTGGACACTGTTGAGGAGGCCATGCGCATGGGCAGGCAGGCGGCAGAGGAGATCTCCGACACCTTCCCCAAGGTACGCTCCGTCATTCTGTGGTCTCAGGGCGCTCGAATGTGATCTCTTCAGCATGGAGAGAAGGCGCTGCCACGCGCATGGGCAGGCCGGTCGCAGGCGGCGCGGCAGGGGAGATCTTTGATATCTTTTATTATTGATAAAAGAGACACAGAGAGCCCTTTTGTTATTAATAAAATGGAGTGGCTGTGGCTGCCTGCCAAATAGACCACACTAGAGAATCTAATTAAGTGCTGCTCTTTTCTTTCTCTTTTCCTGTCTGCCCTGGTCTTGCCTGTCAGCCAATCAGGCTGGAGTTTGAGAAGGTGTATTTCCCGTACCTGCTTATCAACAAGAAGCGCTATGCCGGGCTGTACTGGTCCAACTCCAAGGCCTTTGATAAGATGGACACTAAAGGTGGGTACGATGTATGAGGTGTGCCAGCCAGGATCGACGGACGCTTGACTGTTCGACTGGCCCCAAGGTCACAAGGACAGTTGAACAGTCAAGCGTCTCTTGGTGACCACTCGTCGTCTCTAAGGCATGTTGCTTTTTTTGTTGGCATTCTTAGCGCAGTAGAAAGAAGTGCCTTTCCCTCGATTGTCTAATCAGTCTCCCCTCATCTTCCCCTCCTCTCGAATCCTCTCCTCTTCTCTCTCCTCCCGCCCTGTGACCCCCACAGGTATTGAGACGGTTCGGAGAGACAACTGCCTGCTGGTCCGGCAGGTGGTGGACGAGTGCTTGCGGCGCATTCTCATGGAGCGGGATATCCCCGGAGCGGTGGCATATGTGAAGACTGTCATTTCGGACCTTCTTATGAACAAGCTTGACCTCTCCCTGCTGGTTATTACCAAGGCGCTAACCAAGGGAGGTGACGACTACGCAGTCAAGGCGGCCCACGTTCAGCTGGCAGAGAGAATGCGCAAGGTATGCTCGTGCTTGTGACTAATCAGGTGAGCCCTTGCGTGTGGCTTTGAGTCGACTCGAAACACCTCTCGCTGCTGGTTATTACCAAGGCGCTAACCAAGGGAGGCGACGACTATGCGGTGAAGGCGGCTCATGTTCAGCTGGCAGAGAGAATGCGCAAGGTGAGCTGATATATTGCGACTCATTTTCGCACCTTGCGACTCAAATATTGCGAGAAGCCTTTCCTTATTATACACATTGAGATCAATCAATGGATGATGATGAAATCACCCTTACCACCCTTGTCCACATTTCTCCACCTCCTTTTCCACCTTCGTTCTTTCATTCTACCCCTCTTGCTCTCTCTCAGCGTGACTCCGCCACAGCACCAGGCATCGGGGATCGAGTGGCGTATGTCATTTGCAAGGCTCCCAAGGGCAGCAAGGTGAGCTCGTTGTGTCTGCATGTATGAGAGGTCCCAGGGATGCTCACCTTACTCGTGGGACTCTGCCACAGCAGCACCAGGCATCGGGGACCGAGTGGCCTATGTCATCTGCAAGGCTCCCAAGGGCAGCAAGGTGAGCTGGTTGCGACATGCATGTAGCTTGCTTGCAAGGCATGCCTCACAGTGTGGCATTCCAAAAAGAAACCGCGTGTAGTTAGTCGATTTTTTAGCAGACTAAAAAATGGACCGCTCAAAATCTGCTCAAATGAGAATGCCTTGTGACCTGTCGCCACATGTCTTGTCAAAATATGTCTTGCCTACGACATATCAGCTACCTTAAGAGACATTCCTTGTTTCATTTCTTGTCTTGTCTCACCCCATGTCATCTCCCATCATCAGGCATACGAGAAGTCAGAGTACCCGATTCACGTGCTAGAGAACAACATACCCATCGACCCGCACCTCTCGAGTTTGAGCAGGTGTTCTGAGAAAATTGTAACCAGTGTCCTTCCACTCCTCATTCCTTGTATCGCCCTTTGGCACGTCCCCTGCCATCAGGCATACGAGAAATCAGAGGATCCCATTCACGTGCTGGAGGACAACAGACCTGAAAGGCTGATGGTGAATGGATGGATTGTTGTTGTGAGAACGATTCACTTAGTGACCTTTCGCCGCACATCCTTTGTCTTGTCTTCTCGTCCCCACATCCTACCATCAGGCATACGAGAAGTCAGAGGACCCTATTCACGTGCTGGAGAACAACATACCCATCGACCCACAATATTATCTCGAGAACCAACTGAGCAAGCCTCTGCTGCGGATATTCGAGCCTATTCTGAAGAACGCAAGCAAGGAGCTGCTGAGTGGGGCGCACACGCGGGCAGTCTCCATATCCACGCCCGCGACAGGTGGCATTATGCGATTCGCCAAAGTCCGGCTCTCCTGCCTCGGCTGCAAGACGCCTCTCAGGTAGCCCTGCTGCTCTGGTTCGATGTTTTATTTTAAAACTCAAGAAAAAAAAAAAATCAAATAGTAATGATTAAGGTAGAACACTGCTAGTCCTTTTATGGTTTGGTGCTTGAAATTGCTGAGAACAGCTGTACTCACGGTTTTAAAACTCAAGAACAAAAACAAATAGTAATGATTAAGGACACTGCTAGTCCTTTTATGGTTTGGTGCTTGAAATTGCTGAGAACAGCTGTACTCACGGGACAGTCCGAATCGTCTCTGACCTTGGTGTGTATGCACGTAAGCGGCATTTTTACCATCTTCTCTTCTCCTTCCATCGTCCTTTGTGTTCTCTCTCCGGACAGTGGGAATTCTCAGACGCTGTGTGTGCACTGTATGGATCGAGAGGGAGAGATTTACCAGCGGATTACCACAAACGGTGAGGCATTACTCCTCTCAAATGCTTGTGCCAGTGGTGTGAGGCAATGACTTCATCCCACACGAGTTAAGCGGCAATGCTGCTTGCTGTGTACTTTCCTCATGCTCCTTTAACCTCTCTGCTTGTTTCAAGTGCTGCCTGTGATTCAGTGCGGGAGTGTGAGGAGCAGTTTGGAAGGCTGTGGGTGGAGTGCCAGCGATGCCAGGGCAGCTTGCATCAAGATGTGCTCTGTACCAGGTATGCTGTATGATGTTGCTGTAGCAGGTTTTCTAGCGAGTGATTTTTGAGAATTCTCAAAAATCACTCGCTGTAGCAGGTTTTCTAGTTGACTAGCAGGTTTTGTAGCAGGTGGGTGGAATGTCAGCACTGCCAGGGCAGCTTGCATCAAGACATGCTCTGTACCAGGTGGGTGGAATGCCAGCGGTTCCAGGTGCTACTGTTGCTGTAGCTGGGAAAGTTTTGCTCTCAAATGTGTGGCTGCTCACAAATCACTGGAGGTACCGGTAATGTGTCATAGCTTTCTCTTGCCCCCCCCCCCCTGTTCCTTCTCTTGCCCTGGCAGCGAGACTGCCCCATAATATATGGCAGGAAGAAAGCACAGAAAGACGTGAAAGAGGCACCACCGTTGACTGCCTGGCCTCAATCATCTTCTCTTGCCCATCACCCACTCCCCCCTCTTCGCTTGCCCTGGCAGCCGAGACTGTCCCATTTTCTATCGGAGGAAGAAAGCACAGAAGGATGTGGAAGAGGCACACGCTCAGCTCGCAAGATTTGACTTTTGACTTTTCAGTCTCACTCACTCAAGAACCGGCTCTACTAGTGGTTTTGAGCCAACTTAAAAAAGGTTTTGAGTTGAGACACAACAAATATATACATATTGTACATGAACAAGCACAGAAGAAAGCGGAGGCAACCTAATGTTGACAACTCTCAAGATCCAGTACCTGACCAATTCTAAAAAAAGGGTTTCTTGATAAGCTGACAGCCTGTTTAGATGTAGTCGGTCAGACCTCGATTGTATCGACCCTGTTCTTGCTAGAATTTGTGCTCCAATGCTGCTGTGTTGTCGAAGCAATGTGAAAGTTGTGCTTTGGAGAAGCAACTTGTACAGTTGTTGCTGAGATGCGGGATGAACACAGGCCTCAATTGTGGGATGCTGCTGTGTTGTGTTGTCGAAGCAATGTGAAAGTTGTGCCTTGGAGAAGCAACTTGTACAGTTGTTGCTGAGATGCGGGATGAACACAGGCCTCAATTGCGGGATGCTGCTGTGTTGTGTTGTCGAAGCAATGTGAAAGTTGTGCCTTGGAGAAGCAACTTGTACAGTTGTTGCTGAGATGAGAGACGAGTGCAGGAGGACGGGATGGAATGAGTGAAAAGAGTTTGGCATTCAGCAATGAGGGATGAACACAGGGATACTGAGCAATTAGCAGAAGGCCTGAGGGAGCTTAGGGGGAAAGAGGGATGAACACAGGGGAAGGGGGTGAGCGCACGGGGGGATGAGGGATGAACACAGGGTGAAGGGGATGAGTGCGCTTGGGGATGAGGGACCAACACAGGGGGGGGTGAGGGATGAGCACAGGGGGGATGAGGGTAAGGTAGGGAGGGTGATAGGCAAAGGGGAAAGGGTTGGGGGAATAGAAAAGGGATGAGTGCAGGGGGAAAAGGTGAGGGAATGGGGAAGGGATGAGTGCAGGGGGGAAGGGTGAGTTACAGGGGGAAAGGGTGAGCACAGGGGGGATGAGGGAACGGAGAGGGGATGAGGTATGAGTAGAACGGAAATAAGGGGTGCGCGCAGGGGGGGGAGAGGGGAGAGCACTGGTTAGAATTATGGGAGCAAGGGGAAAGACAGATAAGTGCAGTGAGGGATGAACGGGTGGAATGAGAGGTGAGCGCAGGGAGAAAAAGGGACCAGCGCAGGAGGAATAAGGATGAATGCGAAAGGGACGCGGGGTGGGCGAAAGAAACGCGGGGTGGGCGAAATGGGGAATGGGGTGAGGGGCGAGTGAGCGGGGGCGTGGAGGAATGAGGGGGCAAAACTGCCACCTTTCAGTAAGAAGGTAACTCGGCGAAAGGAAGGGGGAACGGCGAAAGGAGGGGGCGAGGGAGACAGGATGGGAAGGAAGGGCAAGAAAATTTTCGGAACTTGCGTTCGTGCTCCGCTATACCGTTCCAGTGCGCGTCATCAGTGCGCGTCATCAGTGCGCGTCAGCGCAGAGCGCATCAAACAGACATTGCGTTTCTAGGGTTAGCAGTAGATCTTGAAATTTACTACGCGGAAACTAAGCTTAGCGCGGATTGCCTGACCCTCAAGCATGCGCTCAACGAGTGGGCCGCCACCGTCCGTTCGATAGTGTAATCCCTCCGTGAAGTAACGAGTAAACAGAAGAGACGGGTGATTCTTACTGGTTTCGAAAAAAACACGCAACTGAAACAGACTGCTACCATTGCAGGCTAAAAAGGGTGGTAAGATTCGTAGCGATATCGACTAATAGGGCACCAGGAGCAATGGAAAGTCATACGAGAGACGAGATTACTAAGCTAGGTTCTAGATCTGAGAGCGAGGTGAGCACCAAATGATCAGATCTGAGGTTGCACCAACATCGTCAATACTAGCGACTGGATAGTTGGCACGAACCCAAACCCCGTTACAGTAACTTGTTATGTTCCCGTGGTGTTTCGATTCTCTTGGTTTTACTTTCCTAAGTGTTTTCTTTTCCTTGTTCGGGTTTGATTCTCTTGTAATCTTCTTTTGTCTCTGGATTCTTCTTTGCTCTCGATTCCCCATTCTGATTGGTCCTTGAGAATTTTCCCATCCAACAACTTCCATATCAGCTGCCCAAACTATGTTTCAGCCTTATGGTGTTGCCGTCCCGTAACTCACGCGAAATATGTCTGGACTAATCCTAACCTGCCCGAGACTTGGAACCTCTCGGTCGGGCTAGCCCTGATCTTGTGTCACACTCTGTATACGAGCAAAGCCGCATTTAATACAACAAAATCAAACTACGTGAGAAAGTGTTCAACAAAATACAGTTTGGGCCACACGGAAACAGCTACAAGCGGGTATCTACCTCTCGGTCGCGCCAGCCAATCGTTCTCCCAGCACAAGATTCGTTGGCACAATATAGCGGTCTGGCCGTCGACTGTTGGCGGGGACCTGCCTCACTCTTCAATCCAGATCGTCGTTTTTGCGGCGCTATCTGCCACCCTTGATTCACCACAATCCCCAGAGCTTTCAAAAACATCGACCGCGATTCGCACAGGCAGCAGCACACCTCACAAGCCGCGTTTTCGCACCAGTTGCTCCCATCATACAGAATCATCCGCCATTCTGACTCCCCCAGAAGCCATAAGATGTTGAGCTTATGTTTTTGGCGGTCTGGCACGGCCGTAGGCGGACAGCACGAGATGACATCGAGGCCGTTCAGATTTAGCGGCGGCATTGTACCACCCTCGATACACAATCCCCACAACTTTCAAAGTTTACGGCCGCGATTCGCACAGACCGCAGTATCTCGAGGAACATTCGCGGATTCTCGCAACAATAGCTCCCGTCATATCACCCCAATCATTCTGACTCCCACGGACGCCAAAAGATGCTGAGCTGATGATCTTGGCGGTCCCACATGGCCGACGGCGGATTACATCAAAGCCGTTCAAATTTAGCGGCGGCATTCTACCACCTTCGATTCATAATCCTCACGGACTAAAAAATATCGACCGCGATTCGCACAGACCGCACCACCACACATCTCGAGGAACATTCACAAATCCAGGCACCAGTAGCTCCCATCAAATCACCCCAGTCACTGTGACTATCCTCGACGCCAAAAGATGCTGGGCTGATGATCTTGGCGGTCCCGCATGGCCGTCGGCGGATGGCTCGAGATTACATCGAGGCCGTTCGAATTTAGCGGCGGAAATTTGCCACCCTCGATTCCCGATCCCCATCCTTACCAGAGATTCCATCCCAATGATTCGAGCACACGCAACACCTCTCACACAACCCTTCTCCCGTCAATTAGCTCAAGTAACCACCAAATGCCCATTCCAACTTCTTTGAGTCGAAAAACCCATTATCGTCGACGATATTTTCTTTTGAGGAGCACCGGAAAGCCCGAGTCAGCCAAAGGCATGCAGCAGAGCGTGTGTGCGCTCGCAGCGTCGCAGCGTCGCGCGTAGGTTTGCAGCATTAGGCGCGCAGCATCGCAGCATAGGCTCGCAGCGCAGCGTCGCAGCTCAGAGTCGCAGCGCAGAGTCGCAGCATAGGCTAGCAGCGCACGCTTTGCTACATGCTATTGGCTGATTCGTGTGCCTCGATGGTGCTCCTCGCCTCCCTTCTCCCGAACGTGTCTACTAGCCTCAACTTGAGTAGATCTGACCGCTGCCGTAACTTGATGACATTTGAAGACTTTGAAGACAATTGAAGATTTTTTTTCACTTGACGGGTTCAAGGCGCCGCGAGCAAACCAGGATAAGGCTGTCGTGCTTTTATGTTATATCTATTGGCGGGCCTAATCAAGATTGTTTCTATCATTTTCAGAAATATCGTCTTCAGCTCAACGCTCCGACGCCGCTTCACAAGATCGTCGGCGTCCCTTCGCGCGGCATCACGTCGGCGTGTCAACGGCGTGTCAACGGCGTCTCAACGGCGAGGCATCACAACGGCGTGGCGTGGCTTCACGGGCGTCGCGTGGCTTCACGGCGTCTCCCCGGCGCCTTCACGGCGAGGAGCGACTTCACAGCGTGGAGAGAGGCGTATCTCACGTCCCCCACGTGTTCTTCTCTTCCGTTCCACCCGCAGCGACAACGAAGGCGTTCAAGGGCGGACGAGCACAACGGTCGAGGAGGACGCGGGTGTTATCACCTCCTTTTTGTCTTCTCTCTTCTCTCTCCCAAGGAAGCGGCGGAGGAGCACAAGGCGCGGCAGATCGTGGCTAGAAAGGTAACCGTTTGTAAGTCTCTCGAGCCCTGTCGCACTTTTCGTCGCTCTTTTCGTCGTGCTTTATTTCCTGCTTTTGTCGTGCTTTTGTTTTAATTCTTTAACGCTGTCAACGGGTGATCTCGTTGTTAGCCTCTCGTGGTGGAGGCGCAGCCGCAATGAAGCGACCCTAGCCGACACGAAGGTAAAAATGGTAAGGTTCTTTTCCATTTTTTGCTGCTTTTCTTGACTTTGTTTTTCCTGCTCTTTCTGTTATTGTTTTCATCTTATTTTCATCAGTTTTACTAACGTTTTTCCGTGTTTTAGTGCGCAGGTTTCGTGGAGGGGAGACCGCTGGAGCTATCAATCTTTCCCTTCTGTCTCTCTCTCTCTGTCTTGTCTCCTCATGTCAGTGGAGGACGGAGCACAACGGACGGGAGGTCGTGGCTGGAGAACGCAAACAAGCGTGAGTTTCTCTACGTTTGTTTGTTTGTCACGCTTTTTCGTGCTTTTCTAGTCTTTGTTTTTCCAGTTCTTTCGTCTCGTTTTCATCTGTTTTACTAACGTTTTTTCGTGTTTTAGTGCGCAGGTTTCGTGGAGGGGAGGCCGCTGGAGCTATCACTCTTTCCCTTCTGCCTCTCTTTTTGTCTTGCCTCCTCAGGCCAATAGAGGGGGAGCACAGCGGACGGGAGGTCGTGGCTGGAGGAACGAAACCAAGAGTGAGTTTCTCCACCCTTATCGTGTTTGTCTCGCTTTGCCGTGCTTTCTAGTCTTTGCTTTCCTGTTCTTTCTGTTCTTGTTTTCAATATGATTTCGTCAGTTTTACTAACGTTATTTCGTGTTTTAGTGCGCAG